CTCTTCCTGTGATTTGTGGGCCTGGAGGTAGACCTTCAAGCCAAACTCATTGTGAGCCCAGCTTTTAGCCTTCTGTCTTGACTCTCCAAACCTAAATTTTCAGCTCCTCGTTCTGCTTTGACAGCTGCCTTTGGCGTAAGCCTGACAGTCCATAGGTAGCCTTCCCCCTGTGCTTTGGGGTAGGTTTGCCTTTCATCTAGAGCACTTGGGAGCAGGAGGCAAATAGGAATACCAGACAGACTCAGTACCCTAGCCAGATCCTCCAGTGCTAGGGGTGCTCAAGATCTCCACGGCCTCAGCTTCATATAGTTTGGTCACCCCACAGACATGTTTTATTTATTTGGTTCAAAACTTGAGTTAATCTGGCTCGGTGCAGCTTTGATCTGTGACATTTCATTTAGCTGATGCTTCATAATTGATACTAGATTTATTTTCAAATCTTGCTATGGCCCAGTCTTCAGGATGGTGTAAGACACAATTCTAAATCAGTAGAAGCCCCTTTGTGATTTCTCTTTGGTCCCTGTGCCAAAGACAAAAGTGCTAAAAGCATGTCCTTTTGATTTCTCCCATTCCAGGTGGCTGAGGTTGTTTCCGAAGGGAAGTGCCGCTTGTCTGTGAGCGGCTGGTTTCACGGTCCCTCAGTGGCAAGGCCAGTGCGCTATGTGGAACCGCTTTTGCCACGGAGCCCTCACCTCCCTCGTGATGTAAATAAATGTTGCTCTTTCTATGACCTAATTCAACAGTATATTCACCACTCAGTTGCTGCATGGGACAGGGGAGCACAAACACCTACTTTTCAGATTCCACACTGGTCTCTGCTTTTCTTCTGCCACTAGGCTGCCACACAAGAGAGAATCCTTTGGGGCTGAAGTTTAATTCCACTCAAGTGGGGGCAGGAAATTCTGTGCCTGTAACAGGCCAAATGAGGGGACACCAGTTTTATGTTTCCTGGCATCCATGCCAAATTTTTCATCAAATTTTAGCTCAGAGTAAAGGGAAGGGCACGTTTTTCAGATATAGAGTCCACTCAGTAAAATTATTCCAGATTCTTGTCCTAAAGGGGGTTCCTGGTGAGGGAGATTTCTTCATAATGGATAGTTTGTTGGATTTTTCTTTCTTAGCCTTTCCTTGTTTCATTTTTCCCTAGCACGAAATTTTATATGATTGGATCAATCCCGTTTATCTAGACATGGATTCCCAGGCCCAGATCCAAGAGGAGTTTGAAGATCGGTCTGAGACCCTGCTAAAGGATTTTCTCAAGGTGGGTTTTGGAAAGTCATTTCCTACCTTACAGTGTTGTTCAGTACAATGGGGTGAGCAGAAGGACGGTTTAAAAAGGGAAAGAGAAAAGTTGAAAATGCCATGCCTGCTTAATAATGTGTTGGGAGTTCCTGAGAGGAGGAGGTGCTACCCTGAAGGATCAGTTCTTGCAAATGAGATACAAATATTACATGACACTTGTCAAAGTGCCAGTTCTGCAGATTGACATGATCAAGAGGGGATCTATGGAAATAGATCCTAATCTGTTAAGGGTGTGATATACTAATAGTAATGCCTTGAATTTGGCTTGGTGACAAATCACAGCCAGTGCACATCTGAGCAGAGATATTATACTCTGACAGGGTCTCACTCCTGTTGGTTATTGTACTGCAGCACCTGTGTGTAAAAACCTGTGACTTGTGTGGCTGGAATGTAGCCTGTGGTATAAAGGTAGTGCAGGTTAATTTCTATCCCCATTTTGCTTCTTGCCCCTCAACCACTAAGGCATGGTCCAGAAGGTTGCCCATAAGATGGTGCAGTCCTTGGGCTGAGTAAGGTCCCTCACTGCTGGGAATGCCATTACTTTGGTGCAGTTAATCAGATGGAGGCCCAAGGATCAGCTACATGAGGCATTCCCCTGCAAGAAAACAAAAAACCATGTGTGATTTAACTAAATTCTATTTGGACCTACTTGCTTTCTCTAGTTTTCTAGAGACAGCCTGGCATGCAGCACTCAAACTGAAGCAGAATGGCTAGTACTGCTTAGGCAGAAATGTGGGACTTGCTTCAAAAGCTTTTTGAATGTGCCTTGGTTCCTAGAGAGAGAAATTTCAGCTCGTCTGTGAGGCTCTGAAGAAGGAAGGACTCAAATGGAGCAGCAGGGGGCCCCCTAACAAAAGGTAGGACCATTTCAGGCAGTTTCTGTCTATACTGCATCTTGCTTCTTATGGTCAACTGTGTTCATGCCAGCTCACCCATGCTGTGTGTTTTGAACTCATTTTTTCTGCGATTGTAATTTGAGTGTATCTCGTGTATTTGATTTGCTGAGAACTTCAGTAAATCCGTTTGCTAATCTTTACGTTTACAAGAGAATGCCTTCTATATTTTAACACTGCATGAAATCCCTGAAGACAGATTGGGCTGAGCAGGACTTCTTTAGATTTGGATCTAGGGCTTCAGCATCCTGCCTTGTTTCATGTCCCTCACCCTACTGGTAATGTTGGAAGCAGAGGACATAAAAGTGTACTCCAGTTGAACTGTTCTCCCACTCTTTCTCCCCCACTCCTATATATATAATTCATGAAGGATGGTGCTGTCAATGGCTAGGAGCCACAATGACTGTGCTTTGCCTCCATTGTTGCGGGCAGTAATGCTTGTGATTGCTGGTTGCTGGAAACCACAGGAGGGGAGACTGCTTTTGTGCTCAGGTCGTTCTTGCAGGTTTCCCACAGGTATCTGGTTAGCCACTGAGAACAGGACGCTGGACTAGATGGGCCTTTGGCCTGATGCAACAGGCTCTTCATATGTTCTTATCTGATGCCAGCTCCTCTCCAGTAAGGCTGGTTGTTTTGGTTTGGTTTGAGGGCATATGGTTCTTGGTTAACCTTTTTTTTGTATTAAAAAAAAAGTTATTAGACATTTTGAGGACTCCAGTGAAAAAGTGGGATGGAAATCTACAGATACAATAGTTTTGCTTTTCCCAATGGGAGGATTACCAGGCTGGGGGGGCAGAACTGAATGCTAAGTGCAGGCTGCTGCAAAAAAAGTCTTCCTGCACCCCACTCACTTTTCCTGTGTTGTGATGTCATTGTGCAGGGAAAACTCACCCATGGCAGCCAGTGATGTGGAGCAGAGACAGGGGAAGCATACAAAGCAAAGATGTCCTGGCACAAGTAGCTTTGCCTACAGGTTATGGGCAGTCCAAAGAACACCTGTTTTTGTGGCAGATCCATGCCACACATAATGCATAATTCAGCCCTTTTGACCAGGAAGTTCTGCATTCAAATCCCTTCTGAGCCATGAAACATTCTGGGTGACCTTGAGCCAGTCACCTTCTCTCAGCCGTAACCGACTTCCATAGGGTTACCAGGAGGAGAAGTAGAACAGAAGCCCACATACTCCTCCCTGAGCTCCTCAGAAATAAGGCAGGATACAAGTATGAAAGTCTCCTCTCCCCATGATCTGTGCTTTGAAAACCTGCATCTTAAAGTGGAATCAACGTCACAAATGAGCCACCATGTGCTTTATTTGCATAATGTAATCTCTTTCTATAACTGGGGTTGCCTTAGTTCAGAATTTGAACAAGCTATCTTTGAGGTGTGCAGAGTGATGTAGCCCATCTTAAGAATGCTTCTTGTCATTTTTAGGCATTATGACAAAGCTGAAGAGGAGAGCCTGCCGGACATTTTGAAAAATTGCATGGAGCTATTCCGCTCAGAAGCCTTCTTCCTGCTCCTTTCCAACTTCACAGGCTTGAAGCTGCACTTTCTAGCTCCTGGGGAAGAAGACGATGAAAAGGAAGGGGAAGGAGAAATTGCTGCAGGCGGGGATTCTTCCAGATGCACACAAGGAGAAAGCAGCCAAGAGGAAACTGGCAGTCGGGAGTACACAGAGGCACATGGGAGCATCTCGGACAACAAGGTCAACAGAGTGTGTGGTGTGTAAATCACTGCTATCTAGTTGCAATGACACCTTATTTTTCAACATAGCCACTGCTTTATGGTATGCCTTAACGATGAAGTGCTCAGGGCCCAGTTCCTAGACAATTCAAACCACAGTTGTTACATTCTACTTTGGCTGGATTAATATTCTTGGGTTCATTTGTCGTCACCAGACTAGCTTCTGCTAATCAATATTCTGAAAGTTGTGAGTTCCGAAGAGGAAATTTGGCCAAAAACTATCAAGTCCTGCATATTAGAGGGGCTTTGTGGGGGTTTTTAAATACGTTACTATTAAGAGTAGACAATATGATTCCTTGGGAGTACACAGATTTAATATTTATAACCTAGTTTGTATCCCTTAAAGTTGCCTGGGTATGTTTGAAGCTGCCTAGGCAACAGCTGCTGGAATCTCCAAAGACAGAAGTGTGACTGGATGTCCCAGATAACTTCCTGCCCCTCCTGATGATTTGATTAGCAAAATCAGAAGGAACTATGCAAAATAGGGAAGCTGTATACAGATTGAGGAAATTTTTGCACTTCATTGTGGAATTGAGCTTTCCTTGGTAGCGCAATTGAATTGCCTGGGCAAAAATAGTAGTTTGTGTTACCTTGGAGTATGTTGAAAGGGACTCTCCAGAGCTTGCATCCATTTCTTTGTTGCCTTCATGCATGTGGGGAGCAAAAGAGCACATAACTGGAGAGGTTTTTTCCCAAAGCCTCTGGCTATTCTTACTAGATCTGGAGAGGGTTAGAGTGTGTTTTGCCTGTCATTTAGCTTGGAGGAAAGCTGCTGGGGTGCACAGTTGAATGGGGAATCCTTGGGATCTGAAGCTATGCTAGGCTCTATATAGGAGACTTGTGGGGTCTGTCACCTGCTCACCAGTCATGTCCTTTTGGCTATCTTCCCCCTCAGACTCAAGTGTCCCTCTGTGTACTGGAGAGCTGAGGCATTGGACCAAAGGTTGCTACACTCTAGTCCATGATGCTGAAACAACAGAGTTCTCCCTAGATCTGCTGCTCTTCTGTGGGTGTGAAGGTTAGTTTGGTTTTAAGCTAACAAAACAAAAAGCAGAAATATATCTCGAAGATGCCAATTTTTATTGTTCAATACGCTCAATGAATTTTGGCAAGAATGTCTTAAGGGCTTATGTGCAAAGATAATGCTGTAAAGATTCTAAGCTACATAAAATAAAACTTTTATAAATACTTTAAAATGTGACAATATATAATACAAACTTGTATGCAAGTCAAACGGCCAATAAGTTATGGCCCATATATAAACACACACACTCGTATTTCTTAGTGAACCCAATCTCAGAACCTTCTGTTATAAAAGAACTTGGGCAAAATCTTATGGAAGGCCACCTCAGATTGCACAATTAAATAGGTGTCTTTCTTTCCTTCATGAAAAAAGAAAAGGGATCACCACTAAACTCTTTGGTGTTTGATGCATTCAGCAAATGTTTCTAGAAGGCCACCTTTTTTCAGCTTCAAGATCCATGTATTTATTTTCTAAGTAATGTTTTTTTCTTCTGCCTGATGAATTTGTTTCACTGTCCACTGTCCTGTAGTTATATCATTAAATTTAAGATAAGCCCTTCTTAAAGGCATTTATGTGAAGCTGGGTAGAGACCCATAAATAGCGCAAGATGGGTCTGTTCCAGACTTGCATCTCCCGCAGTTTCTTGAAGTATGCCCAGAGGGAGCAATCCAAGATGTCATAGCACACAGCTTTCAGCACAACCCAGGTAGGGACAGGTGTCCTTTTCCTGTGGGTGCATCTGTGCTTGAGCACAAAAGTCAGCCAGCAAACAGCTCAGCTGAGCTAGTCTCATTCAGCCAACGTGTGTAATGTGGGGACTGGAAGCAAGAATGGTCTATTGGCATTTCCCAGAACTCTGGTCCTCTTGCTTTGTCTCTTAGTAAACAGGGTTTTTCTTATATTAAAAGGAAGACAACGAATAGGAAATACTTGCTCAGCTGCCTGGGACAGAGGAGAGTAATGAAACTTCCTTCAGACATCCAGGAAGCACCACCCCCTAAAGCAACCCTTGCCAACCAGACGTTCCTTAGAAGTTTTGGACTACAACTTTCAGCCAGAGCCAGGCTGTAGTCCAATACATTGGGAGGGCACGTGGTTGGCAAAGGCTGCCCTAAACATAATGAAAAGTTAAAAGGCAAGCTGTAAAACCTTTGTTCCATCATTTTAATGCTAAGACTTGGATTTGGGCTTTTTATACTGCTGCATTTCTTTATGTAGCCCATGAATATGAGTACAGTCATACCTCGGGTTAAATGTGCTTCAGGTTGAGCATTTTCAGGTTATGCTCTGCGGCGACCCAGAAGTTAACAGAGCACATTACTTCCGGATTTCGTCGCTCATGCAGATGCTCAAAATGACGTCACGCGGAAGCGGCAAATCGCGACCCACAGACACGGGTTGCGTTCGCTTCAGGATGCAAACGGGGCTCCGGAACGGATCCTGCTCACATCCAGAGGTACCACTGTATTTGTGTTAGAAACCATAAGCTGCCCCTAGAATGTTCTTTTGAGGTAAATTTGACAAAATCTACATCTAAAACAAGTCATATGCTTGGCATACAACTTTTCTTAATAGTTCAGTGGGAGTGAGCAGTGACTTTGGAAAACTTTACAAAACAAATGACAACTGCTCATTTCTTTTTTTCAAGATTGGGACGTGGAGTATGGTGGCTTTACTTCATACCTTGCAAAAGATGAAGATGAAGAGGTAAGCAGTTGTCTCTACCCCTCTTGTGCTTTATCAGACCATTTTGAAAGCAGTTTACTCCATGCTCCCCACGCCCCATACATAAGTTTGGGACATGCACAGGGCAACTGAGTACTTTTTCCTGAAGTGTCAGCAATTCACGTTGCCCGTTTCTTTTTTCTTATAGCAAAACATAGATTGGCTTAAGCTTGGGGAGGGGGGGCAGTACAGTGGTGTGGGAAGGGGATATCTTCTTGCTCACACCTCTAATTTGAAGGGCTGTGTAGTGTTGCTGTTTTCAAGGAATCTGCATTGAAACCTTTCCCAATTTAACTGGAGCAGGAATTTGATTCACTTATTCTACACGTGTACAGAATAAGTTCTTTAACCTGACCCTGATACCAGAATGTCGCCTCTCTGTCTTCTGCAGAAGTAAATTGTATCAGCTTGTTTCCTTAACACTTCCTTTGGTTTTTTTCTTCAAGCTGCTGCTGATCACTCCAGAGATGAACTGTTTGGCCTTGGTTTATAGAGACCCAGAGTCGCTGAAATTTGTGAAGTATATCAACCACCGTTGTTTGAAGCAAACAGCCAGAGAGACAGAGCAAACTGGATTCTGGGACATTTGCTTTGTTTACTATGAATGACAGTTGCCACATGGACTCAAAGAGTTGTATAGTTGGGTCCCGAGGGTCATCCAGTCCGATCCTCTGCAATGCAGGAATCTCAACTAGATCTTATATGACAGATGGCCATCCAACCTCTGCTTAAAAGCTTCTAAGGAAGGAGAGTCCACCACCTCTCATGGGAGTCTGTTCCACTGTCAAACAGCTCTTGTAGTCAGAAAGATCTTCCTGAAGTTGAGTCGGAATCTCCTTTGAAGACATTTGTTCAGGTCCTAGCCTTTGGAGGAGAAAACAAGCTTGCTCCATGAGACAGCTCTTTAGATATGGCTATTGCATCATACCCACCTCCCTCAGTTGTTCCTCAGAAGGCCTGGCTTCCAAACTGTTGATTGTCTTGATCAACCCCTTCTGTACATGTTCCAGCTTGTCAATATCTTTTGTAAATTGTGGCACCCAGAACTGGACACAGGACTCCTGGTGCAGCTGGTTCTTCCCAAAGACAGGTGCGAATGCTGCTGGTCTACCTGTACTCCGTAAACAAATATGGTGTTGGAGGAACCTAGGACAGTACCCTTGAGCAACTTCAACATTTACATTAAGGCTGCATCAAGTTCTCACCAGTCCAATACGTAGGATAGGGAGCAAACCCTGCACCTCATCTTTGCTGCAAGTGGAGAGGGTGGTCTGAATGAGCTCTACTGTCAGAAATCAAATTTGCAAGCTGAAACCGTATAGGGAAACCAAGATTATGAAAAGAGGGCTTCATTTTCATCTAATTACTGGTGATTTGGAATGTGTATTTCATTCTCTGTACCATTACCTCATCCTATGCAAGGGCTGCAAACACATTCTTCTCAGTGGTGGGAGGGGCAGGGTGTTCCTCCTGCCATTGCTTACCACTATGTCATCCTTTTTGGCAAGTTTGGTTACTGTTGTATGGAAGCCCAAGACGCTCTTTTTTTTTTTTCTGGGAAGAGGGTCGGCTGGTTTCTGCTGCTGTAGGGCTTAGGGGTTGTGCGTTGTTGCATGGAAGGGCAATGCACAATTGTTACATCAGGCATGATAAGAGTGATTTTTAAAATAGAACTTAGGGACGTGTCCTAGCAACTTAAAACAAGAGGGTCACAATAAAAAGCTGTAGTGTTGGGATTTCATTATATAACCCACCTTTTGACTGAATGGTGGCTTTAAGGTAACTTAAAAAAGGGAAGTACCAGTATATTTGATTTTATACATGAAAATCAAATATACTTCCTTTTTTGCTATTTACAAGGGTGGATTAGGGCTCAAGTATCATAAGAATATCAACTAATGATATTTAGTCATCACAGATTTCTCAAGAGCACAGAGAAGAGGGAGCTTGAGGTCTGTCTGTTTTATTGAAGATTACTGATCTTAAGTGCTGCAACATACTATTGCTTTCATCAATAAAAATACTATACATGGCTATATAAGATTCATAAATAACCAACATTCCCTTTTCAGACTTTGGTCCTCTCTGACAGTGTAGAACAGTCAGTTGTTTCTCTGTTCTCTTCCCACTACTATAGACTTCAGCTCCTGCTAAGAGTTTCATAGTAATATTTCTATACAGGAGCACTATATGTGCATCCTATTCTGCTGGACTTCCTTTACCCAAGCAGGCTCCAGGGTGTGTGATACGTCAGCTGCTACACCACTTTGCCCATCTCACTGAGCTGACTGCCTTTTAAAACGATCATCCCACCGCAGTCTCTGTCAATCTTTTCTTTAATAAAGAGGAAGTGACTCCCACACGCATTATCTTGATGAGTGCATTAACGTCGTTGTGCTTAATAGCCTCACGGCATGCAGCAATCACCTGTGTCTTGGGCCTACCAACTGCAGGACAGAAAGAAAAATAATTATTAAAGACTGTTCTAAGCACTTGGTAGTACATAATGAACTCTGCAACCTTAAACGAACTCTGCAACCTTAAACAAGAATAATGTGAGCAGGTTGAATGTGCATAATAATTTTTGACGCAGCAGTCACCATTTCCTCAAAGCTCTGTTCTGCAGTATGGCCTAGTAACAGTCAAAGTCCTTTGATCTTGTTACAAAAGGGATGAAGACATGAAACAATCATCACACTGCCATTTTGCCCTAAGTCCTGATAAAATCAGGTATTTTGTTTAGCACCTGAAAAACTCAGTTCTTTCTCAAATTGCAAAGTGACTGCAACAAGTTCAAGAATCTCGTTAACCAGCTTCTGCAGCACCACTGAAATGTGTTCAAGAACAGAGTCCATCCACTGACATTTTCCCATAAAGAACAGGGACAGCTTATTCAGAGATACCTGCTCTCATCCATTTTGCTACTTCATGATTTTTCTATAAATTCTAACTGCCCTCTGACCAATTCTGTCTGGGAAGAATGCTGAACCGGCACTTGTGTGGCAGTATGTCTCCCCCCCCCCCCCCCGCCCAGGAGGAATCCAGGATGCTAGGAAAAGGCCACTGGTAATGCAGAAGAAAAGAGGCCAAGGATTACGGGGTTTACATCATGCAACAGAAAACCAAAGCCCTGCCTAAATGCAAGGGAAAAGACCCTCATGACTCCATACAAAATAAATGGAGTAAAGGAGCATTTCAGTGTCATAGCATTTGCAACTCTGACAAATGTATCGCAGGACTAGACTAATATACTGTGCCAATAACAATTTTTTGTACCAGCTATATTCTATGCCCCTCCCACACATACACAATGGTTTAACCCTTGCAGAAAGCATACCCTATTCAGCTGCCGGGGAGGAGGGGATAGCCCAACATTTGCCTCATAGTGCTATGTATAGCAATGCCAATCATTCTGCCAAGAGGGACACTGCGATCAGTAGCATGGTATGGGGAGCAAAATCAGATCTTCCCCTAACCTTTGCAACAGAAGGAGCAGATTGCCCACTGTCTTAGAGTGGCTACTGCAGCTGCTTTAAGAAAGATGAACCACAGGTACAGGCAATGTCCAGAAGAAACCAGATCCTTCTCTTTGCGAGTGCTTTGTTTCTAGTACAGCACTGTTCAGAGAAACAACTTCACACTTCCCAAAATGTTACCCTCACTGCAAAACAGAAGCTCTGCAAAAAAAAATATTCAGCAGATTTCCCTGCTCTTACCGCATGACAAACTAACACAGATTTAATTGCCAGTAGAAAGGAAATGCCAGTATGCCCTTCCCTCAAGCAGCCTGGTGAGTAGCTGCTCTCCCTTTTTCCTTCCTACATCCTTTCAAGATACAGTGGTACCTCCGGTTACAAACTTAATTCATTCCGGAGGTCCATTCTTAACCCAAAACCGTTCTTAACATGAGGCGTGCTTTCACTAATGGGGCCTGCCGCCGCACGGCCAGCGCGCAACTTCCGCTCGCATTCCGGGGCAAAGTGTGCAACCAGGAGCATCTACTTCCGGGTTAGCGGAGCTCATTACCCAAAGCGTTCATAAGGAAGACTGTACGTAACCCAAGGTTCCACTGTATTTCAAACTGCCATCCCATACTCTCTAATCCTCATTTTTCACATTCCTTTTGCATAATTTGGGAACATCTCTGTGTTGGAAGAAGTCTGAAGTCTGTTTGAACTACAAATAAATACATCTCTGGAAAAGAAGGCATGTAGTGGGGCAAGATGGTGGACCTTTGGCTATTTTCCCAACTGAGTATCCACTTCCAAAACCTGTGGCTTGCCAAGCTGAGATGAAAAGTAGCCATTGCCTGAAAACACCCTCATTTTTTCATCTTTCCAGCAAGCAAGGCATGAGAGAACAAGGGAAATGCTGGTTCACCCCACCCCTTCTCAAGCACATACCGCGCAAGCGTCCTGCTCTTTGGATAGCCTGGTTTACTGCCTTGAGGTTATTTAGAAGTTCTGCGTGATTGCTGCAGCGAATATTGTACTGGGACTGCAAATCCCTGTTGAGATAATACAGGTCTTTGTATCGCTTCTTCATATTTTTCCTGTGGAAATAAACACAAAGAGTGTAACTTACAGGCCTTGGAAATCAGTCTCTGCCCAGAACCAGTCCCATTCAGTTGTTACAGGGAATTGACTAAGATGACAAATATATGATGAAATAATAAAAAAATGGGCTCCCAAATGCATGTTTGATTTAAAAGTGGGTCCTGGCTCTTGAGATGTGTGCGTTACAGTGACCATTTATTCACACTGGCCAGGATGCTCTTCAAGAGCAGCTTCTGCTGACCTAGGAATTTCAGTACCAAAAACCTCGGCAGATTTCAAGACTCCTCAATCTTCCCACCCACTTGATCTGTATGCACCTTCAGTCTTCCTGGAGTTAATAGCTTAGAGCTACGTCATCACCCTACCCCTTGCATAGGTGTGGATGCCTGACATACATAAAGGGTCTGCTAAGGAGCAGAACAAGCAAACTTGAGCCAAGGCTGCATGAAGAGGAAATTCTTGTGTTTTCTGAAGAAGCTAAACAAGCAGGTGGAGCAGCCAATAGCACTGGAAAATGCTTGGTACTCAAAGCACTCTTGTTTCTTATGTTTATTAAGACTGTTGTTTTAAATTTTGCACACTGCTTTAGTATATTTTGTGAATTAGATAAGTGAATTGTTTGCATAGTATTATTAATAATAAATAATAATGTGATTTATTACCTGCCCTTCACCAGAAAATCCCAGGGTGGCTCGCAGCAATACAGTATTTAAAACAGTTTAAACAAGTTACAGTCAAAAAAATTGGCTGTGCACCCTGGAGCCAGAAAAACAATAGCTAGTCAGAAATATTAATGCAGGGGAAATGACACAAAGCCAACTTACATGTCTCCCATGAGGCGTGAATCTTCTGCTCGAACCAACATGCTGCGAATGAGATTGGAGTGCTCCGCCATGTCAGCTGTGAGCTTCTGAGAGAATGTGTGAGAATTATCCACCTACGAAGGGGCATCAGTCACATGTTAGGGCAACTAAGGTACACATCAGGTAGATTCAAAAGATTCAAACAATTTTTTTCTATGGAACCTCTGCTAAATCAAGGGTAAAAATACCCTGCGAAAACACCAGGAAATAAACTCTGTTTCAGCAGGGAATTGCAATGCAAATCCCTTCCTGATTCTGGAAGAGGTTTGCATGGGATCTGCTGATGAGCAGGAGTGAAATTTTGTTCTGTTTGGCTGCATGCTTCTATTCACTGCTGGGAACAGGGACACACAGCAAGTGAAGGATTTAAACCAACCCTAGCACCCACCAGCTGGCATCATGAGTGATGTCAGCTGATGGGCAAGTGGGAATGGGTTGGGGGAAATGGCCTCATGAGCTGACAGGCCAGAGGTTCCTCAACCATGTTAGAAACTTGTTCTCTTGTTAAAAGCAGATCTCAAATTAGACAGAAACTCTCCAAACAGAAGGCATGGATCTGAATAGCCTGGCTACTGTGAGAGAAGCAGTTGATTCCAAAACAGTGGGGAAAACTAGAGCATGGTGCTGTTTCAGCTACTATCTAGATAGACCAGTTCCCCATTTCAGATCGCCCAGTTTTAGGCAAAAGGATAAACAACATATTCTGTATACAATTCCTCAAAAACATCCCTTGCACAAGGCCTACTGAAACCAAGGATGTGCTTAGCTCCTATCCATTCCAACTTGTGTAAGTTTATTTCCAGCGTATTCTATCCCTCAGCAGCATTTGAAAACTCTTTCTCACTTACGACAACTAGGGCCTTTCGCATCTCTTCAAAATACGCTGGGAAATCTGCTTCAACCTGCAAGTCTTCAATTGCCCAAAAGGAGGCCATCGACTGAATAATGTCACCAGCCAAGTCAATGTTGTCAGTGTTAATGGAGATCTAACAGATCAGAAAAAGAACAAGAGACATGTCAGATTTGAACCATTTTCCATCGCTTCAAAGGATAGTATGCAAATAAATAATTCTGCAAGCACAAGGGTTACTGTTAGTACAATAGGACTTTGGCCACTACCCCCTGCTGCATGCCCTATACTGTCCCAAAATCAGCTCTGGAGATTTTGGGGGAGGAGGGGCAGAAGAAGGGGAGAACATTCTGTTGCACAAGGAAAAATTCTCACACCAACAGAGCCTTCGTGCCATGCTGAATGCAACCCAAACACTTCACAACACTAGGGATAAGTGGATTCTCTTGATCCTGAGACTGCATCATTGCTGAGAGCTGGTGTAGCCCTAAGCATTCAGTTGGATGGGAGAGTATTGACAGATCCATGTAACAGCAGCAGAGTTTAAAGGGGAGGAGGGAGAAAGGCAGTAGTTAAAGAGCTTTTCATTAAGAGGACTCCTCAGAAAGCACCATCCTTGTTTGGGACAAACCTCTTTGTCCACTTCAACCCTTATATTTCTTAGTGTCTAGTTGTCCACTGTGAGGCTTCCAACACATTACTTAAGAATCAACACCAAATAGATGAAGAGGCAGCTGAAAGCCACTGCCTGGCCCATTTGAGCAGTTCTCCCCTTCACTTTCTCTGTCACCAACTCCGGTGCTCACCTGAGAATCTTGCCACATAGTTCCAATAATGCAGTATGGCAGAAAATCTTTTGGGGGAGGGCAGAATTTCCCTTCCTCTGCAAGTAAGTCCACCAAAGTAATTAACCAAAAATGCTTTTACTAGCCTACTAGTCATTTGTGGTACACAAAAGAAAAAAGAAAAGAGCTATATTTGCTTTAACTAACATTTCCCTCCTTGGGCACCTTAGGTGAGATTTTGCATTGCCCCAAGACCAAGCCAGTGCCTATTTACAAGACTAATTGCAACATCACAAAGCAAAATGTTACCTCCCCACTGGGCTTCATTTTGATGCACAGCTGCCCCGCGTCACGCAGGGAGGTAAAACAGACTTCAAAGGATTCGTTGTGGATTGCCATGTCCTCTGGTAACAGGAAATTTTGTTTCAGCCACATGATGACCTTGGAAATATAAATTCACAGCATGAGTAATCTACAAAGGCTTCAAAGCTCTTTTGATGTGGTACGTATACACCACGCCTGGCACAAGGAGCCAGGATGTGCAGCTTTCCATGTCCTGCAAACTGTGAATGCCAACCTAAGGCAGAACATGCAGCTGCATTCATTCTAAACAGAGAGCATATTAGGAAACGCAAGCATTTTACCTACCCAAGGCATCAGTAAGGATCCAGGCGGTATTGCCCCTACCAACACCATCAATGCCTGGCCTTTTCTCAGATTACGCTGTGCTCTGGATACAGTGGGATGGAGTCTTAGCTCCTAATGAGGGCTCAGAGAGTGGGTAGGGCTGCTGGAAAAGGGAGAGGAGCAAGAGGAACAATGGCTCCTTTTATGTTGATGAGAGGAGCATCAGTGGCAGATGTGGCACCAGGATCAATGGATCCAGGACCAGCTCCTTGCACTCTCTCACCACTGGCTACCAAGTGCCACACTCAGACTAGATATTTCATGTTTATCTAATAACCTGCTCCAAGTCTTACAGGAAGCTCCCAATGAAAATTTTGCAATTTAGGCAGCATTGCCGCAATGGTGGCAATGATCACCTGCTCCTCCAGATTGCCTTATACCTCTGGGGTGATGCTAGGAATGAGATTATGATACCAGGTTTCAGCTCTCAGCCTGACCTACCTAGACTGCTTTGTATTCCTTCTCCCCAAAGCTGCACCTGGTCACCCTGATACATCTCCAACCAGGTTTGTGTTACAAGGTGTGCATCTGACCTACACCAGTGTCCTGGGCACTCCCCTCTCTCTCTTTTAAATTATCCTCAATGGGCAAGAGTGCTGCTATCTGCTGCCACCCCTTTTTGCCTCTTTTATAAAACAGGCTATGTCGTTTCCTCAAACAGGAGGCAGATAAATGGTAGAGCAGGAATGCCCTTGCCCAGAATGAAATCTTCCATTTGGTCCAGGGAAGGGGACTTCCCCATTCTCCCAATTTTCTCTCTTCCCCCGCAGCAAAGTATCAGCACCTACCAATCAGGTCCTTTCCCAGTGCCACAAAACAGGAGGCAAAATTAACAGGAAGACATTTAAAGAACCAGAGAAAAGGTTAAATTCATAACACTTGTATATCGCACTGAGTGAACAGACATGAACATATGAAGCTGCCTAATACCACTGGACTATTGTCTACTTGGGCTCGGTACTGTATTTTTTCCAGCCCTGCTACCCAAGAACTAAATGTAGCATGAGATGCCAGAAACACGATATTCACATCATGCATATAAAGCGCTATGATACCACTTCAAACCAAAGAATTCTGGAAGCTGTAAGGGTGCTTAGAATTATTAAGATAACCCTTTTTCTTCCCACAGAGCTAAAATTCTCAGAGTTCAACTGGGACTTGTAGCTCTGTGATGAGAACAGGGATCTAAAGAAGATCTTTATTCTAAAAAAAAAATCCCTGTTAATCTCTGCCTTGGATTGGAACTGATTTTATGTATGTGCTATTGTTGTTTCAAAGTGTTCTAATATTTATAATTGTTTTTTAAACTGATGTTATATATGCAACTGTTTTAACTTTCCACATATGAAACTATTTATATACATATGTTACTGTAAATCCCTTTGGGGTGCCTGATGGGAAGTGATTCATAAAAGAAGTAAAATAATTAATAAATACACATTTAAAGTATTAACTACATTGGGGTTGAGAAAAGAATTGAAGACTTACTGTTTGCACCCTCTCACTGATTGTGAATCTTACAAAGCTTAAAGGACCAGGAGCAGAGTCTGGACTACTCAGAATATACATTGAGAAGCGAGGGAGTTGCCTTGACAGCTCAAAGACATGGAATTGCATGCTGGAAAGACACCCAACAGAACAATCAAGAGGACTCAACTGGTATCACATGGTTTCTGGCATAAAAATGCACCTAAATAATTCATGATCCCTGCTACAGAATTCTCCAAAGCCCCAATTCCTACACTGGCTAGCATCACAAAAAGTTGACCTGGAAATGAAAACAATGATGAGCCCCAGCTTATTTTTCTTTTATTCTAAGTTACATGCTAGTATCCACTTTCATGTTAGTATCCACAACAGTCTGCCCAATCATGCACTCTACAACAGAAGTACACAGAACTACTTAACAAAGTTGACCAGGTAGAATAGAGAGTAATGATTTAATAGAAACTATTGCTAAAGTCTCCAATATGCATCAAAGTCCTGGAAACCTGAGCTTTTTTTTTTCTAAAAAAAGAGCAAGTTTCTAGACCTCAGAGATACACAGATATATTTTAAGGGGTGATGGGAGTATGTGCTCAAGATTCTGAGGCAAGCAGGGGTTCTCACTGGTCAAAGAGAGAATTCTGTTTTGCTCTTTACAACTCATTATCCCTTCCTTCTCCCCATGTGCCCCCAAACCGATTTCAACTTCTATAATCCTTACTGCTTCCTAATGTGTCATTTCCTCCCTGTACTGCCAGGATTGTATATACCTGGCACTAAAAACCCAAACCACACCCAGGCAATGCAAAGCAGCAGCAGAACAGAGTGCTTTATATCTCACAGATCTGACTTCTCTATCAAAGAAGGTAGGATTAGAGCCAATTTGCTTATGTGTTAAAGATGCTGATAAGTCAGTATCTCATATGAGATTGTTATGGCAGAGCATCCAAATGAAGGGGGACGGGGTGCTGCACTTTATTGATGCACACATTATTTCCGAAACTTTCATTTGGATTGGTACCAAATTTAGAATATTTTGGAAAAGACAATACAGATGAGGGGGCAAGGCAGAGATAGACACAAGGATGTTCAGGACAGAAGCCTTCTCAGACTACTGTAGGCCATGACCAAAGCTTCCTTTGAATCCTAATTGTCAAACAAATACCGTATTTTTCGGCCTATTGGACGCACCGGCCCATAGGACGCACCTAGTTTTTTTTGGGGGGGGGGAATAAAGGGGGGGGAATTATCCCCCCCCCAGCTGCGGATATCTGCCCAAAGCGCGGGACACTCTGCTTCAGCGCGCCCCGTGCTCCGGGCAAGCAGGCTGCTATCCGCAGCCTAGGGAGCCCTGCGGGAGTTCCCGCAGGGCTCCCTAGGCTGCGGGTATCCCCTTCATTTTTGGAGGGGAAAAAGTGCGTCCTATAGGGCGAAAAATACGGTAGATTCTACAAGATCATGAGAATGACTTCGCAGCAGGGGGAAAGGGTGCTTTGACTTCTTTAACACCAAAAGAATGAACAGATCCAATATACATAATCCAGTTCTGTACTGATAATTGTTCAAAACCTTCCCCATTAAAATATGCAGATAAATTGAAAATGCTAAAGCTGGTATTTGTGGGCTCAAAGGACTAAGCAAAGACAATTAACCCACATGATTTAGACTGTACTGTTTCCCAAGCAGAGAGCATGAGTGAAGATGCACCCCATCAAAGTGATAGTGAACAGGCAGCTCAAGCAAATGTGTCAAACACACACACAGCTAGATAAAGCCTCTTTTGTATCTACCTGCCAGCATCACCCTTACCTATTCTTGTAGCCGACAAAGGCCTTGATATTCAGCTCCACTGGAACATCTTTGGGAGGGGTGAGGGGAATTTTAATGCGGCTTGAGAGGTTCTGAAGACTAGGGTGGATCACATGACTCTCACCTTCAAATATTCCTTCAGCAAAGATCAGCACCGCTCGGATGATTGTGTCTTAAAAGGGAGAAAAGACCTGACCAATTAGTGGCTTTTCTTTGGCATGGCTTTGAAAATTAAGCAAGGGGGAGGAGGGTACTATAATGTAGATTTAATGGTGCACCATATTGTGCCAAACTCTGCTGCATAGTTAAAGACAATGAAAGCAACACAGTAACTGACAACTATGAAGGAATCCTATAAAAGTACAATAGGAGCCACTGTTATTGGAATCCTTCATAATTACCAATTATTTTCTCTTCTTTCTCCAATACCTTCCAATCTTTGGGCTTGCAATAAATATACTAGCTCTTAGGTGATGAGGGTGTGTATGACCCAGATATTATTAACCTTCATAAAACAGACACCATATGAACACACTCCCCTTCAGGGTGCGATTCACAGCATCTAAGATTCACTGAAACTCTCCAGTGAGTACCAGAAAGACAGCAATAGCTATTTATTTAGAGTGCTGAGTGATTTTAAACATCCCTCTCCCAAGGCCTGAAGAGCTTCTCTAGGACAGGGCAGAAACAATTAAAGGGAACCAAAAGAGAAGCAGGGTCACTTTCTGCTTTTTTAGAGTGCTGCTGTCCAAACATTTGCAGAGAAAAGAAAAAAGCAGGGCTATTCCAAGCCTTATGCCTTGTGCCATTTATGCCTTTTACCTTATGGCATATATGCCTTATATGCCTTGTGCCTTTTATGCCATATATGCCCCTTATGCCACCTAGTGCTAACCATATATCTTTGCAACGTGGGATGCCTCCCAAACAATCTTGCTTCTTGCCAAAGAGTAGTTCAGTGTAGTAAGGTTTCAGAACCCTGTAACTTCGAACACAAAAGGATGCTAAAAGCTTAAAATAGTGAGCATTCTTCAGACCAAGTAGCCCAAATATATGTACCGTATTTTTCGCCCTATAGGACGCACTTTTTCCCCTCCAAAAATGAAGGGGAAATGTGTGTGCGTCCTATGGGGCAAATGCAGGCTTTCGCTGAAGCCTGGAGAGCGAGAGGGGTCGGTGCGCACCGACCCCTCTCGCTCTCCAGGCTTCAGGAAGCTCTTCGCAAGCCGTGGGAGAGCTGCCTGCACCCAGAAGCCTGGGGCATGCTGAGCTCAGCGCCCCCCAAGCTTCGGGCTTCGCGCAGCTCTCCCACGGCTTGCGGAGAGCAGCCTGTTCGGGCTTCCCTCGCCCCAGCCCCACGCCTGGGGGGGAAATAATTTTTTTTCTTTATTTCCCCCCCAAAAAAACTAGGTGCGCCCTATGGGGCGAAAAATACGGTATATTCCATGTATGGATAGCTGAGAAAGCTTAAAGGCTGAAAAGCTGCTCTTCCATGTATCATGGAGGCCTCCTGCATGCCAATCTGAGAACTGAGCCAAACAGAAGGAAATATGCACCTTAGGACTGGAAAGAGCTGAAACAAGAGCTAGAAAGCATAGGTTAACCTATGGAAATAAGCATTTGGACTAAGCCTTTCTCACCATTGGACGTGGAAATGCATAATTCAACGTGAGCAGATTCACTATCTGAGCCCAGATTGACCGAGAGTGCTGTTTGGAGCTGGGTGTTTGCAGGAATCACACCCCTTTGTCCATCCATCTCATTCACTTGGGTGTTTAGTTCTACTTGCTGTAAAACATGATTCCAAATTCAACCATTTCAAAAGCTGGATTATTTGCGAGTGTAATTTCAGAAGTGATTAAACAAAACACATCCAAAACTGGATTACGTGTCCTGGAAAGGCATTGAATTGCAACAGCTTTCATTAGTATTCACAGAATATTTTAGCTATGCTTCTATTTCTTTTACTGAGGCTTTTACTCCAGGTTGGCTGGTTATTAAAGCTGCCTTCTGAAGTTCCCCAAAGGAAATGTGAACCCAGGAAATGTAAACCCAGTCAATACTACCAAAAGTTGCTTTTTCTGATCTGCTGTTCTGCATCAACAACCCTTGTTTAGATGGCCAGAAATTCCACATTTCTTTTTGGTGTTGGAATACTGGTCAATTGACCACCTGTTTATCTGACTGCAGACAAATACTCCATGAAGTCACAAATACCCTTCTGAAAGCAGCCACCTGTTTCTTGGTGCATCATGTGGCCACTGGACCGCAACAGCAAGAATGCCCAGACCCAGGCAGTCAGTGATATCCTCTCTCTCTCCTCCACACCCCCCCAACTCTTCATTAGGAGAAAGCACTCCTGTTCTGCAACTGTCAGCAGACAGCTTCTTCTGTCATCTCCTCTCCCCATTAAGCCATAAAAACCAACTTCTTCTTCTGACCTGAGTATAACTGAAGTATCTCTGAATAGAGACAAGACCACAGAAAAGTTCAGGAGAAAGAATGAAGCAAAAGGACATGAGAGCCAATACAAGGACACTTGGGGTCACCCCAAGTGTGTGGAAGGCGGACTACTATCATAGTGTTCACTGCATTTGAGGTGGAGAGGAAGGCCTCCATGTGACCTGTAATAATGCTCTGTAATATTTATGGGAGCCACTGAGCACTGTCATTTTCTAGAATATGGCAGGTTTTGTTTATGTAATCATCAAATTCACATTTTGTTGTTGTTGTTTTTTACTTTCTAAGAAAATAGTGCTAACATTCTATTATTTGACAACAACCCTGTTCACATGTAGTGGTAAGCCACAGTTAAAAACAAACAATAGGTTACCCAGAACAACATGTACTGCTCAAATTGTGCCCACCCTGCTCCACTTTGTGGGGAGACAACAAACCACAGCACTAGTTTAACGTTATGTGCAAATGAGGGTTTGTGGTTTGTTTCTGTCCAAACATATGACGATGTGTTACTCTGCACTGAAATGCTAAGTCAAGCTTAAACTACTTATAAACCCCAGTTTAGCACTGGACTTGTGAGGTCTTAATTCACCTCCCTGATCAGCTAAATTTAATCAGTTGTTCTAGATGTTTTATCACTCATTCTCCATTCCCTCTCTACAAAACGGGAAGAACATCTAAATAAAGCAAGAGGCAGCGTCGTCTCTAATGTTGGAATAGATGATTAGTCGGTTCTCTTTTAAGTCTTAAGTTGTACCCAACTGCTTGTGCTAAGGATATTCAGGTTTTACTCTGAACTGAGATCAGAATCAGACCCTCCCACTCACTCAGTAATACCTTTGTGTTTTCTTCATAATTTCTTAACTCAAGCAGGAGATTTTGTTTCTTCTGACTAAGCTCTCGAATCAGGTCCTGGTCCACACTGGTGTCCATCAGTTTCCCCTTCATCTCTTGGCTAGCTGGCAGGTAGCCTCGCACTGCACAAAAGCAAAGCAAAAATATTTGCCGGGCTACCTAGAGGGGCTCTTGACAGAGAAAAGTTGTCACTACACAAGAACAACTCATTAGAAAAAAAGGAAAACTAAAACCACTCCTTTTGAAGAACAGAGTTCATGGAAGTCAATGTATCAGTCCAAAGAACACCATCATAAAGCAAACCCCTGTCCCAAAAAGGTAGCAGGCTGCAGACTTCATTTCCAACCCATTAACTTCCTGCCCACTGCCACAATCACTCTGCAGTATGACAAGTCCTGGTCCAAGGCCTCCCTCCCACACATGCAGAAAGTTGAGAGACTCCAGATAAAGAGCAGAATCAAAGTAAATAACATACAACTGCGTGGAATCCCCAAATATCTTATGTAGAATGTTTGCCTGCATAAACACAACCAGACTGTCAGCTAAATTTAGGTGTCACAGGAACCAATGCGGAAAGTTAATGGTGAGTTAATCAGTCCCATTGATTTCAATGGGAGCTAAGTGCAAGTGCATCCAACTTGTGGGGTTTTTTTTTTCTCAACATGCTAAAGCATACAACTTGCAGCTGTGCACCCATCTTCCACACAGAAAACACAGGGATGAGTGCTTGCATGAAACAGCTGCATGCTGCAAGATCCAGTGTAAATTCTATCCAATTTCATCCCTCTGTACTCCCTAAGACTTAGAAAACTGGTTTTGGCAGGCTAGACAACATATCTGGTTGCCCTGGGAGCAACAAAACATTTCTAATTTAATACAAACAGTCACGCAGTTCAACTCATATTAGACAAAAGGCCTTAAACCTGCAAAGGGGATTGATGCTCTTACCTTCACCATCAACCGAACAGCAGATTAACTCTGTATTGCCATCCTTTCGATAATCACCCTGCACAATTCCTGCAATTGAGGAAGCAAAATTATCCTTGAAGATGACCTCTCCAGTTCTGTCACTACGTGCATCAACCTGTAACACAAAGCATTCCCCAAGTCAGCATTCAAAGAAAATGAGGGGGTGAATTAACCATGTTAATTCTATTCAGAAGTAAGTCCTAGCAGGTATAAATGAGGCTTACTTCCAGGGAGATGCTCATAAGGCTTAGGACTGCAGCCTAAAATCCTTAATATCAAAGCTGCATGACTGCCACAAAACATTGCCTGTAACAAAGAGCCTGAGAATCCCAAGTTTTAATGTATTTTTAAAAACCTCTAATTCGCATTGTTATAGAGGAAAGACTTTTTTAAAATGGGAAATTTCTGTTCAAAACTACATGTTTTACAGGGTTTCTAGGTGTACAGGGTTTCCAGGTGTACAAAACCTCAATCAGTTCACATCAAAATTACTCCTGAGGGTCATTTGCCCTTCTGCATATGTATTTCAACAACTTTCCTTTTCATAATCTTTAACAAAAAATAGTCACTTTTTTGTAGGGGGGAAGCAGCCAAAAGAAAAAAAAATCCATTTTAAAATTCTATGAAGATTTGCCTACTACATATTCTAACTGCAGGAGATGATTTATCTAGCTGCAAAATTCCAAACAATGCCAGCAGTATCTTGTAGTGGTCTCTGGATAAGGCCTGGTGACATCTAACTGGAAGGAAGTATCACACTCGTAAAAGGGAGGGAGAATTGCATAAATGACAACTGTTGCATAAGCTCACCTTCCCGCTGGACCAGCCAGTGATCAGCTCACACACCCCGTCAGAGTTGATATCATATGCATGTATACTCATTGCCTGATTTTTAGACTGGAGGGAGGGGAAAATAAAACTATTAAGTCAAGCAAGTTCCTGGGACTAACTTTAAGCTTTTCACACATCTAATGGTGGGGAGCTGCTAATGTAGCATAGCAGCCAAGGCCAAGAGAAATCCTAGGTTCAAATTTCGCCAACTACTACAAGCTCACTGGGTAGCTCCAGACAAGCAGCACACATGCGCTCTCCTCCCCACCAAACAGACAGAGCGCTACTATCCTGCCCCACAGAGTTGATGCATGGATGACTGAGATAACATATATGAAGTGCCTTGAACATTCAGAAAGGACTATACAAATGCACTGATAAATTATATAGCACTTCTCAAGTGTTCAAGTGCTCCATATGCATCATTTCATTTATCCCTGCTGCAACCCTGTGGGGTAAGTCAGAACTGCTGTAGTTACACTAACAGATATGCAAAGCTAAACTATTAATGTGTACAGTCATACCTCGGGTTGAAGTAGCTTCGGGTTGAGCGTTTTCGGGTTGTGCTCCACGGCGACCCGGAAGTAACAGAATGCGTTACTTCCGGGTTTCGCCGCTCGCGTGTGTAGATGCTCAAAATGACGTCACACGCATGTGCAGAAGCGGCAAATCGCGACTCACGCAGACACGGGTTGCGTTCACTTCAGGATGCGAACAGGGCTCCGGAACGGATCTTGTTCGCATCCAGAGGTACCACTGTATAAGCTAGATGGTTTCTTTAGTTACTTCACAAGATTTATATACCACTTGATTGTAATAAAAGTGTTATAATCCAACATAACATTTTCATGATGAACTTGACAAGCAGGCCTCAACAGCATTCATTCATTGCAACTGGATGCCCCCAAATGCCCCCCCCCCCATTTCTGACTTTACCCCTTCTTGTTTTCAGTGTGATCATACTAACTTTAATTCTCCAGTAGCGGGCTGTCCGATTATAAATGCCAACTGTTCCATTAGAAAGGGCATAGCCAAAATGACTGCTGCACATCGGGGTTAGCGCAGTAACAGTCTGGGAAAGGAAGGGAACAGTTTAGCAACACCTGCTAAGGCAAAACAGTAAATAGTTGGAAAAGCCAAACCACTTCTATCAAGCAGATACCCTTCAGCTAAATTTGTAGGATATTGGCGCTATTCACATTCATTAACTATGCTGTTTCAACAAGCCTATCACAGCAAGATACAGTTTGCAAATGCCAACAGTACATTCAAAATGCATTCTGCTAAGGCTAATTCTGCCAGGAGTGGGCAACCTTTTCTTTTCCTGTCAAGAGCCACAGGCCCTCAGAGGTAGGAACATATAGTGAGTCAAACCCCTGGGTCCACCTAGCTCAGCGTTGTCTACACTAACTGATAGAAGCTCTGCAGGATTTCAGGCAGGGGACATTCCCATCACTACCTGGAGATGCCAGGAATCAAACCTGGGACCTTCTATTTGGAAAGCAGTTGCTCTACCACAGATCCACAGCTTCTCCCCATGTAATCTGTTGGAGGCCATATGCCAACTGTATGCAGGGCCCAAGACAAAAGTGGACAGGGACATTCCATTCCTCACCTGCTCTCCCCTCCTCCTCCCTTTCTCTCAATCTTCCCTCCATCTTTCTCCCTGCCTAGTTGGCTGCTGGGGAAGAGACAAACTGCTCTTGCCATAAGTCTGATGGCTTGCAGCTCTTGAAACTAGACCACCCGTTTTGTATTCTGCTGAGTTTGTTCTTTTTTTCAACCCCCATTTTAAATTGACCGAAAGCAGTTGTATTAGAATCATCTGAGTCAGACTCCAAGGTGAGGGCCAACCCACTTGGGCTTGAAAGAAAAGAAACATTGAATAAGGATCAGCTGCCAGTGGTTCCTGGTCAAATCCAGCCCCTCACTCCATCCTGATTACCAACTGAGATGCAATGACTTGCCTGGGGGAAGGGGTGTGAGAAGAACAGAGCCATGAATCTTCCTCCAAAAAGGACAAGATTGCACCAAGCCACTTTGTAGTACAATGTCTTCCTAGGATGAAAGCTACATATCTAAACTCTCAAAGTAATACCTGCTCAGATCAGGCAAGTTTCACACTTTGCTACCAGCCTTGGGAGAGGGAACCAATCGAAGTAATGATGGGAATTTCCACCCCAAATCCCTTATTACTTTCCTCAAATAAGACCTCAGGCAAAGCAACTACCTGAAGGAGGTAGCATCAAAGGAGCCTGTTGAGGCAGGAATGATTACCATGGAAGTAATAAATAAAATAAGAATCTTAAAACACTTCTCATCTGTTTGAAGAGACTGTTCTAGAGTCAAAAATTGTGTGGCCATCTTGTAATACCACATTCACATATTTCTCTTATCTTCCTATTCGTATTAAATCCTTTGGCACATTTTTTTCCCAATTTACTATTTCCCTTTACCTCAGTCTCTGACATTTCTGCCACAATCTCATCTTCTTTAAAAACCCTAATGTCAAAATCCTCAGATCCAACGAGCAGCTAAACAAAAAAAAAAAGAACAACAAACATTTAATACATGGTATCACATGCCCACAAGAACCAGTCTCCCTGGCAAACCAACCCAGTCTTAGAAACCCAAGTCCAGAAATCTGAGCCCACTTTCTCTGCAGCTTTAGGAGCCTGTGTGTGCTACCTCATTTTACTCACATTTTTACTCTATTTTACTCAAAAGGACTGTCTACTCACATGGTTAATGTAATATGTGAGCTGGTATCTTATAGATCATAGCTTCAGCAACTTCTTAAAACACTTAGGCTCTGAAATATATCCCTGATCTTGGCTGCAGCAACTTCTGGAAGTGGTCAGCTCAACATGAGGTTCATTACATCCATGAATGAAAGTGCAGTGCAAAGTATCTCATGACCAGACCCTAAGGTATTTAGGGAACCAGTTTCTGGACAGAGTTCTTCACTGACCCTGAACTTTAAGTATTACAACCAATTATTAAAATACATGTCAGATCAGGAATGTCAGTTCTAACTTCCAAACTGCACAGCAAAGGAATAAGTATAACTTAGTGCATGAAAAATGTGGCTTTAGATTACAAGGATACACTCCCTTTGCCTAGGGAGAGATCAGTGGGGTGCTCTGCCCTCACACGCATGGCTCTTCCAGCAAGTCTGCTTGCATTCCTGCCCTGGGAAGGGGATACACTGGGAAAGTTGTTCAGACACACAGTTCAAAACATCCCCACTAGGGGCGCCTCAGCAGGTCACATAAAGCAAGGGCCATGGATGCAAAATCTGCTACTTCAAGAAAAGATATAAGCAAGTTCCTGCAACACACACACACACAAAACAAAACCACTTACCTCTTTCTTTCCATCACCATCGAAGTCACACAATGCCAGTGAGCGGACATTGTCACCAGTGACCTATAATAAAAAAAATTAAAATAGAATTAGCCTCACACTAATTCTTGTATTAACAGAACATTTAAATGCTGCTAGCTAGTATCTTGGACTGAGTAAGGGTTGAACATCCAGCAACAGCGTCTCTGCCCAGTACAAGTACAGTGGTACCTCAGGTTACAGATGCTTCAGGTTACAGATGCTTCAGGTTACAGATGCTTCAGGTTACAGACTCCGCTAACCCAGAAATAGTACCTCGGGTTAAGAACTTTGTTTCAGGATGAGAATAGAAATTGCACAGCAGCAGCACAGCAGCAGCGGGAGGCCCTATTAGCTAAAGTGGTGCTTCAGGTTAAGAACAGTTTCAGGTTAAGAACAGACCTCCAGAACTAATTCAGTTCTTAACCCAAGGTACCATTGTATAGGCAAAGTCTTCCTCCCCAAAAGGGCTATAGGCAGAGCTTCCCTTTATTATACACAGCTACACACTCCAAGATACAGACAAAAGAGGTATTTAATCTCCACAAACCCCTTTTCCCCCCCCTCTCTCTCTCACACACACACAGATTAACAGCCACAGAGACTCTGTGAAGGTTCCCCTCTTCCACATTTCAGCCAGCTAATTTTCATGAGCGCTAAGATGCATGGTGAAGTTTCCAGTAGTCTCCAGTAGCTATTCTTGGGAGGGGGTGGAGAGAGTATAAAGAGCCCACTGTCAGAGTCTCTACTTCATGGGTAGGCAAACTAAGGCCCGGGGGATGGATCTGGCCCAATCGCCTTCTAAATCCGGCCCGCAGATGGTCCAGGAATCAGCGTGTTTTTATATGAGTAGAATGTATGCTTTTATTTAAAATGCATCTCTGGGCTATTTGTGGGGCATAGGAATTCATTCATTTATTTTTTTCAGAATATAGTCCGGCCCCCCACAAGGTCTGAGGGACAGTGGACTGGCCCCCTGCTGAAAAAGTTTGCTTACCCTTGCTCTACTTGGCCAGGTGAAAGTAGCAAAGATGCATAATAAGGGAGAGTGGACCGCTTGGGGGGAGAGGCTCGTGAAAAGCCCCAGTGGGCTGGAAAAGAAGCCGCTAATGGAAAGGAGCTGCCATCTCCATGCACAGGCTCTCTTCCTGACTGGGCTGAGATGGGCTAAGGCCACTCCCCCTCAGAGAGGCCTTCAGTTCCACCAGAGGCGGTTTCAGGGTAGTGTGACTGGTTTGGCCACACTGGATGCTGTGTTGCATTAAGTGAAATATAAATATTGTCCAATACCAAAAACATAAAACTGCCCTCACCGTCCAGAAAAGGTCTTTTCCTTCATGATTAAAGCCTTGCAAGGAACAGTTCCCACCAATAATAGCAAGAGGTGAAGAAATATCTCCTAAGGTTCCAAGCACTATCGTGTTTGCTCCATCAGGTACCTTCAAAGAAAAAATATAGAAATATAGTAACTCTGCCCCCTCTGCAAACAATGCACAGAGAAACATATTATGTAAACAAGAATGTTCAGAACCAGGCAATTTCAGGTTTCAAAAGAAAACAGTAAAATCTATGTTATATTAAATGATATCTGGTAAAAAGGAAATCTTTAGGTACCGCAGCCTTAAGAGTGACTGTGATGACCATGTCATGCCCATGTTCTTGGGCTTAAACTCTCTGACTCCAGAGGGCCAGCACAGCAATCCCAATTAAACTGTGTTTCAGAGGATTCCTAGGATCCCTTTGAAGTTTTTAGAGGGTTCCTAAGACAGACAATCAGTAATAGTGGACATGCTTCCCTGAAAACCTTATGCCCATAGCGACTAACATTATTTTTCAATGTACAACTACAGGGAGTGTACTGGATGTGTTGGGTGTGCGCTCAGTTCACACAGAGCAGCAGTGAGGCCCAAAAGGCCTGGCTAGTGTTTTCTTTGAATGTATGCCTTAGTTCAATGGTAGGGGAACATTTCTGTGGACCAAGTACTAGTGGTGGGCAGAGCAAAAGGCAAGAAGCAGGCAGAAGAAGAGGTACAACTCTCACCTTTGTACTGTGGGAACATCCCAGCCACACAAGAGGTCTTCCTCCATCCAGGCAATCAAGAGGCATTGTAAAGGTTCAATAACACATTCCAGCCAAAAATACTTAAAGGAGCAGCTCAGGACTAGTTAAGAGTGTGACCTTGAGAGAGTCTTGAGGGCTGGAGGGTCACAACTGGCCTCTGGGACTGAAATTCCTTACTCCTGCCTTAAACAATGTCTCCACAGTCTGTGCAACAAGTTGGAGTTTCTCAGCATACAAATCAATGTGCAAAGTGTAGCCCAAAGACTGATTAAGTTTGAAAAACACTGGTCCAGTCCCACTGCATTCTATGAATAAATTCAAGTATTCAAACTGCTTAAACACTGAGGGCGGGAGGGCAGGGGGGGAAAGGACAAACAAGAGGAATTAACTTACCCCTGCATAAAACAAGTCAGCATTGTTGTGCACATCATATGCCAACAAACTGGTCCGTGTGCCAATGAGAAGGGAATCACAGCCAAGGTTGGGGTTCAGCTGTCCTGCAGTTAAACAGCTGACTGCCTCATTAATGTTCAGAAGAGAAATATCAGCATCCTGGGCACTGGGCACTAAACGGTTTGCACCAATACGCTGTCCACGTGCATGAGGATTGTGAATAAAAACCTGGAGGCGGGGAGACAGAAATTTGAAAACAGTAAACAATGGTGTTGTTTTTTCATGATGCAAGAAGAGCCCCTCTGAATCAGACCAAAGGCCTGTCTAGTCCAACATTCTGTTTCCCGCAAATGCCAAGCAGATACACTGATGGGAAGCCCACATGCACGGAAATGATGCAATAGCGCTCTCCAGCTGTTATTCCCCAGCAAGTGGCATTCAGAGACATACCTGGAAACAGCTTACAGACATCATTAGTTAATGGCAAAAATAAGGCACTCTAAATGTGCTCAGACCCACACCTTATAGAGTCACTTCATTGGGGACAGAAATAACCCCAATAGAAAGTTCCTTCTTCAAAACTGAACTCCCTTCCTAGCATCTCTGGGGCAGGGATAGGGAACACGTGGTCCTCCAGATGCTGTTAAGACTCCATCAGTCTCAAGCAGAGTGGTCAGTGGTTTGGGATGGAAGCTATAGTTCAGCAATATCTGAAAGATCACAGCCTCTAGCATACATCTCTGTAAATGAATGTACATGAACACCAAGGCACAATAGTACATTGCCTTAACACATTTGGCAAATTACAGCTGCTAAGGTGCATTTTGAAGTGCTTGGCAATTATGCTTTGGGGATGCATCTTTAACCTAAACAATGTAAGATCTCATTGGTTTCTACATCAGGGCCATACAGGTGATTGCTGAGTATATAAAAACAGCAGCACCAGGGAGACTTTGACAACGTGTAGCAGTTAAAAGAGATGGCATTCCTAAGTGATCTATGGGATGATGTCAAGGCACTGTAGAGTAGTGGTTATACAGTGCTGGTCTAAGACTGGGGAGAAGCAATTTCAATTCTCTCACTTGGCATGCTGATCACTGGCAGAGACTGCTGTTAGTGATTTCACAGCACTTCCAGAACAGGGGCGTAATAGCATACAACAGATTGTTGAGAATTACAAATGGGATGCTGGCAACAGGTCTTTTTTCCTTACTGGATTTTGTTCAGAAAGGATAAACCCAAAATAATTTGAGGGTTGCGGGGGAGGGGGAAATGACAAGGATGTTTTGGGAAGGAACATAATTCAGTGGTAAAACATCTATCTGACGTGCATGCAAAAAAGCCCAGATTCAACCCCAGGCATCTATAGGTAGGAAAAAGGAACACTTCTGCCCGAAACTGAGAGTGACTGCCACTCAGCAGATACAAGACCGAGTTAGACGGACGCAAAAGGTCTGACTCACATAAGACTGCGTCCCACGTTCCTTTGTGGACACTATAAAATAAATATAGAAAGGTATGCTTAAGGAGCACCGATCCCTTAATAAACACTTGCCTGGAGGCCCAGGGACTCTAAATTCCATGACCTTAAAGCTACCCCCACACCTGAAAACGGATAAGCCAGCCCTGCTGCATTTGGGATTCTCTTGCTCATCCTGCTGCGTGAGGCTCATGACTTCTGCCTCTAGCCCAAGTCCTGCCCACGGCCACCTCACAGGGTTATTGCAGGAGGAAAATATAAGGGAGGAATTGCATTCTGCCTTGCATTCCTCGAAACTGCACACACAGGATACATATATATATATCAAGTACACGCTTTGCATTTTCTTCTGTGAAACAGCCGGGGGGAGGGGGGCGTTTTTGCAGAATATGCGCCCACTTCACAGGCTTTCCAAAGGAAAAGGGCCATCCGAAACGGAGGAGCAGGCAGAGGAGCCTCGGCCGGGGGAAGTTAAGCCCCGCAGCCCGCACCACCCACCAGGCGGGGGGCGCCGGTCCTCGCGTTACCTTGCCGGCCTGCGTGGCCGCCGTCAGACATGGGTGGGTGCCGTCGTACTTGCCCACCGCCACCATGCGCGGCAGGATCTTGTGGTTCAGCTTGAGCGTGAAGACGGGCACCAGCATGGCGGCAGCGAAGGCAGGCCGAGCCGACCCAGACAAGAAGAGGGACCGCCGCTAACGCCGCCGCTGACAGGCCCGGTCGCGCTTGGCCGTAGCGTCACGACGTCGACGTGGCGGCCATGTTGGGCCGTTGCTATGGAAACGGCGGCCGCGAGCGAGAAGGGTGTAGGCGAGGCCCGGCTTACTGGTGGGTGGGGAGGGGGCGCGCCTGGGCAGAAGGGCGAGGAGGTGGGGCTCCTCCTGCCGAGATCACAAAACCCTTATGCTAATCCATGGCGTCATTGCGTGTGGAATACCGTTTGCGGCCTCGGAAAGGATATTGTTCACAAGTGACGCTGACACCAAACCCCACACGTACACGAAGTAGAAAAATAGAAGCATTGCCGCCCCACCCCATGCATCATCCCCACACCGTCCCCTTTTCCTTCCCAACCTAATACTGTACTGCATGCAACACTAAATGTCTCACAACAAATGTAGCTGATCTGTAGAAAACATAACTTGAAAAAAAGAGAGACAATGCGCGAATTTTTGTAAGCTAAGAAAGCTTTAATAAAAAATATTTTAGAAAAGAAAGAAAAGGATATAAAAGTCTTTCTCCATCTCTCCTAACAGTAGAGATCCTGGACATTCAATGAGAAGGAAGCTTAGGAAATTCAAGACAGAGAAAAAGTACTTTTTCACACAGCACATAGTTAATACTATGGAACTCTCTGCCACAGGCGGAAGTGAAGGCCACCAACTTAGAGGGCTTTGGAAGATGATTTTAGTTTACCTGTTATGTACTGAAGTTCTCACCCTGGGCCAGCAGGGGGATACTGTAGATCGTTTTCACTCAGGTCCGCATATGCAAATAAGGGATTGAAAGTGAAGTTCAGTGATTGGATAGTTACAGAAAGTTGTTACAGTTACGTTGTACTGGAGCTCCACTGGAGCTGGCTGAACCCTTCATTTCTGTTCTGGCCAGAATAAACAAGAGCTGTTTGAAGAATTGCTGTGTCGTCTGCTATGTTCACCCACAACTTAACATTACCCCTCGCAGAATGGCCTTTCTCAGCACCCTGGAAAACTACAATTCCCAAAATTATTGTGGTGTGGCGGCGGCAATGTGCAGGGCTGGATTTAGGTTTGATGAGGCCCTAAGCTACTGAAGGTAATGGGGCCCTTTATATGTCCAGCTGTCCTTTGTCAACAACAAATTGTTGCTGTTTTTTTGTTGAATATATGTTATATGGTAATTTATGGGCACCCTATATATAGAAATGAGCCAACCCGTGATATTTTAGGGAGCAGGCTAGCAGGCAGGGCCCATTACTTACATCATAGGAGCCTACATAACACTGTTGCTGTATGTAGGTTTTATTTTATTTGTTTTTTATCTTGTATTTTGGAAATGTAAATCCAGTTTGTTTGTTTTTTGTTCGTTCAAAAAAAAATTGGGGGGGCAAGAGAGTGGGGCCCTAAGCTATTGCTTGTTTAGCTTATACGTAAATCTGGCACTGGTAATGTGCATTAAATATATGGTGCAATAGATTCTAGTTCGAAGAAGCTGTGCACATAAAAAGGTGAACAGTAATGTGTGTGTGTGTGTGTGTGTGTGTGTGTATTTATATATATATCTAAAAGGTAAGCGACCCCTGGACAGTTAGGTCCAGTCAAAGGCGACTATGGTCATCTTGCTTCAGGCTGCGGGAGCTGGCTTTTAACCGCATACAGTCTCCTCACACCGGGCCTATACTGACTGGCAGCGACTCTCCAGGTTTCAGGCAGGGTCTTTCCCAGTCCTGCCTGGAGATGCCCTTCTGCATGCAAACCATGTGTTTTACAAAGGAGCTACAGCCATTCTCATGTGAGTTCAATGGGGTTTCCTCCAAAATAAGTGTGCACAGGATCGCAGACTTACATTGTAGTCCCATGCATATTTGTTCAGAAGCAAGTTCGAACACATTCAATAATGCTTACTCCCTAGTATGTTTATAATTGAAACCATACATTGCATTTCTAAATATCTTTACTCAGAAGTAAGTACTGATTTTAGTGGGGTTTATACTCTCAGACTTAGGAATGGAGCTTTAGCCACTGTGCTACCTCAACTGCTGCATCACGCAAAAGTGAATTACATTCTGGTTACAACAAACAAATCAAAATCAGTTTCATTCACCAGTTATGTTAATCTAGTTTAAAACATAAATAATAATCATAGATCATAAGCTACAAGTAATGCGTCATTTGCTATTCACATTCAACCTTTTCAACAGGCAATCTTCCTCATACTGTCTGCATTTGCTTAACTCAGTACATGCATAAGGTATTTATCTTGATTTTTAATAGCGATTTCTTAGGCGACAAACAGGTAGCAACCTGAGTTTCCTCAGACTGGCAATAGCAGGTCTTCCTGTTCCTCTTGTCTGCAACAACTATTGCACTACTAATAACATCAGTTGTAGCTTCAAGGATTTATTCCACCTGCTCATTCTCCTCCCAGCGTGCTATGCTACCACCTGTCAACAGTGTCTGTCTGCTGTCTACCTAGGAGAAGACACTTCAGATTAAATGGGCATAAATCTGATATGAAAAATGGCACCATCCAAACACCCGTGGGAGAACATTTCAGTCTCCCAGGATACTTCAGCAGCTGAAAGTCAAAGTAACAATACTTCAACAAAAGGACTTTGAAAGGAAACTTATTCCAACAGAACTAACATTAATCAGCAAATGTTCTTCCATTCAATTTTGGACTTGATCAGAACTCTTTTCCATCACGTGTATTAAATTAATATAGCATATCTAGAAATATAACTCCTGTTGAGAATGGGTCAGTTTGCTCTTATATACATTTAAGTCTGCACAGAAATGGCATTGACCTACTATTGCCCCCTACATATAATATCTCTGGGATTCCACACACCCCCATGATGACCATGGGCACCACTGCACCTTCAGACACCCCCTTGACATTCACCAAAACTCCCTGCCCTCAATTGTTTTTAATTGAGGTTTTTTCTTAACCTTGGGTAGGGGTTGTTTAATGAGAGGGATGCCTGAGGTTTGTTTCTTTATTGGCTTTTGTGGGTTGTTGCCAACTTTTTTGTCTCTGTTTTATTTGTTTTCGGGTGGGTGGAATTGTTTTCCCCTCTTACAGTGGGGTTCCTCTGTGCACCACCAGTTTTTCTTTTGTGAAATGGGTATTTTGTGGTGCTCACAACAGTATTTTTAGAGTTCCAAATATATCCTCAAGCCCAGAAAGGCTGGTGGGGCTGTCATAACCTTTTCTTTCTACTTTTTATACACACACAACTTTCTGTATCATGTCCATGTGTCATGTTGAGGGTCACACTCCATGGATGAGAAACAGCACCTTTAGGGACAGACAGAAGCCAGAAGTGGGGCAGGCAATTTTGGGCAGAAAACTGCCATAAGACATGCTTTGGATTGGTGCCCCATGGCCAAGTAAATAAATAAACTATAAGTAGCCAGTTTAATCAGGCTTTCATAAAAGCATGAACAGATCTACCCATAGGTCCATAATGTCCATAACCTGTCATTCCACAGGACTCATGAAGTACACACTTCCCCAGGCTGAGTACAATGCAGCAGAACAACCACATCTCATATTGCATCAAAGCCCTTGTAAGCTCTATAAAGTTTCAAAAGTGAGGCTACCTACATCTGTGTGAGCGTGGCAAGTAAATTGGCACTGAGCCAAATCCAGGCAGTCACTATTTTGTGGGTGAGATTCAATAACATACTGGCAAATTCAGGCTGCACAGTCAAAATGGATTTCACTCTTGAGCAACAAAGCCACTTTCAAATATCAAGCTTTTTGTGGTAAGGAAAGGGACATAAGATTGCACTTGAAAAGGTGGTGTAACTTGACCCACCCACATACAAACAAATCAGAACAAATGCTTAATACACAGTATAAACTTCCTGCAAATTCTTGTTCAAAACGAAACAGAATGAATTATAAAAAAACAGGTTGTCTGGAAGATGATGGTCACACAGGGCATTAGGTTAATGGGGCCTACCCAACCCATTAATCTTCATAGGACCAACCCACTTGGAAGGCTTCATAAAAACACATTTTCTTGGCCAGAAATCACTAGAAAGAAGAAATATATGTAGTGCAAAGTGATGGGTGATTGACGCAAAGAGTTACCTTGTGTCAAGCAGCAAAGGAGTGTGAGCCCCTCCTCCCATGAGATTTAGGACTTCAGTGTTTCATGATGTAAGCTGGGAGGGGGAGGTTGCCAGGGTAACAGAAGGTGTGATGTCACCACAGGCAAAAAGGTGTCCTTTTAAAACAGGTTTGGAGGAAGTGAGGAGAGCTCCATGTGGAGCTCACTGTGAGAGGCTGCACACAGAGGCTGAGATGGCTGGCCTTCACTGTGGACCCAAGCTTGCTGAAGCTATGAGGGGAGCAACAAGAGACACCCTTGGGGTGTAATGCTCTGCACGCCATTAAAACCTCATTCGAAACAAAATACAAAAATTCCTTCCAGTAGCACCTTAGAGACCAACTAAGTTTGTTATTGGTATGAGCTTTTGTGTGCATGCACACTTCTTCAGATACATAAAAACCTCAGGTGTAAATATGTGTAAATAAACCTTTTTTAAAAAGAAAAAGAAAAAAAGTAATGCCGCATTCCAAAGGAACAAAAACCCTGGTTAAGTGTCAAGACCCCTGGAATCTTGTGCATTTCTCAGCAGAAATTAGGGTGGCCAGTAACAATATAATCAATTATTTTACTTGCAAAACAATAATTAGTCATGTCGGAAAAGTCCCTCTTCATCCTTCACCACCACCCCTTTTTTGTGCCATTTTGGCTTTTAGATTGTAAACTTGCAGGCAGATCTTGTTTAAGCCACTCTGGGGGCCTTTAAATTGTGTTAGAAAATCAGCGGGTTGCTAAGCTGTGGCACTCCAAATCCCATCAGCCTGTGGACCAGGGGCTGTCAACCTGGTCCCTATCGCCCACTAGTGGGCGTTTCAGGATTCTAGGTAGGGGGTTCTACGGCACAAGTTGAATCCTTCTTCCATCAAGCACTGGTGGGCGATAAGGAAATTTTACCATCAGGAAAGATGCACTAGTGGGCAGTAGGTATAAAAAGGTTGACTACCCCTACTGTAGACTCCGTAGCAGTGTGTGATCAGACAAAGTTGCCCTCCTGACAGCACTGTTGGCGCAGCTTACCTAGATGGGGCTGCGATGGGGCACTGGCAAGGCCAGAGGCCACACAGTTACACCAGTGAGACCCGCCCCCCCGCCAATCCAGTGCTGGTGCTAGTGCAACCATGTGACCCCCAACCCCAGAAGCCTGCCCCACCCATATAAACAGCAGTGATGGTGATGTCAGGAGTTCAGCTCTGTCCCACCATGTGCAGCAATACTGGTTGCAATCCAGAAACATTAGCACATTTTAGCAACCTCTGAAATAAATGAAGGGTAGTGCAATTTTATACATTTAACTCAGGCAAAGGACTCATAGCCCTCCATACACTTCAGGGCACCCCAGCAGGATTAGGACACAATATCTTAAACAAGTAATCATATCTTACCTACTTCCGTAGAATGAAATTTACTGATGTTTTTCGCATTTTTACTAGCATTCTGTTTCCCTTACAAAATAGATTTTAAAACGAAGCTAAAGAACCTATAAAAACAAATAACATATTTTAAAACCACTCAGTAGTCTGGGGGGAAAGCAACTTCAAAGCTGTTTTTGCTTACATGCAGCTTTTTGTGATGAACCTATTTGATCAGTTTTTACAGAACTATTCTTTCCCCCAGATGTCAAGGGACGTGCTGCAAATTCAGAACACGCATGCAGAGAGCATGCATATCATATGACGTAACACTGGTGAATGCTCCTACTGTGCACCCTTGATTGGACCTGCCATCCGTCTACTGCAGCATTCATGTTCCACTCTTGCCAATGCCAGATGGTGCAGGGGACAGTTCTGTAAGAGAGCACTGCTGCATCTTTGGGCACCTCTAGAAAGATTGTATTCTGCAGTATGCCATTTACACAAAAGCAGCACATTAGCAGTGGATCTATATTGCACCACCCACCCGTCATTCCATCTTATTAGTTGTTCTGTGATGCTTCTGAAATGTTAATGCATTGTTGCTATCTGAAGCGTCGCTCCTGTAGCCACAGTGCAACAGAAGCAGGAACATTTGTGCTGTGAAAAATTACAGGGTTTTAGCAGGCAGGCAGTTATGTGCTTGTTGCAAATGAAATAGTATGACCACCTTGAAATGTTTGCAGGCAGAAATAGTATTGAAAGCATGATCACACATAACTGCCCCAATAACATCATGGGTAGTCATTGGACAGGAGTACAGTGGTGCCCCGCAAGACGAATGCCTCGCAAGACGAAAAACTCGCTAGATGAAAGGGTTTTTCGTTTTTTGAGGTGCTTCGCAAGACGAATTTCCCTATGGGCTTGCTTCGCAAGACGAAAACGTCTTGCAAGTTTGTTTCCTTTTTCGTAAAACCGTTAATACCCAGGGTGCATTGCTTGAAGAGGTGCAGTTGCGACTTGACTTCGAGGAGCAACTCATAGCACGCGGTGTGGTAGCCTTTTTTGAGGTTTTCGAAGACTTTGGTGATTTTTGAAGCTTTTCCAAAACTTCTTTTGCAGCCATTTGGTAAGTTAAACTTTTAAAACTTTTTTGGGGGGTTTTGGATTTTGGGTTGGGGTGTTTGGAATTCAAGGACTTGGTGTTGGGGAGGGGTTTGCAAGAATCTGGAAGCTTGTTTTTCCCCCCTGCATTTTTATGATTTTTTGTGACCATTGGGCCACTCTGCTGTTTTTTAAAAAAAAAATTCTGGATTTGAATTTCTGTGTGGTGGGTGGCTGGGGGAACAGTTGGGGAGGGGTTTGCAAGAATGTGGAAGCTTGTGTGGTTTTTTCTGCATTTTTATGATTTTCTGTGACCATTGCGCCACTCTGCTGTTTTTTTTTTAAAAAAATCTGGGTTTGAATTTCTGTGTGGTGGGTGACTGGGGGAACAGTTGGGGAGGGGTTTGCAATTTCTGTGTGGTGGGTGGCTGGGGGAATAGTTGAGGTTTTTGAAGACTTTGGTGATTTTTGAAGCTTTTCCAAAACTTCTTTTGCAGCCATTCGGTAAGTTAAACTTTCAAAACTTTTTGGGGGGTTTTTGGATTTTGGGTTGGGGTGTTTGGAATTCAAGGACTTGATTCTGGGTTTGAATTTCTGTGTGGTGGGTGGCTGGGTGCTTTTGAATTTTTTGGATGTGAAGCACTGATTTTTTTTGGGGGGGGGGGTTGCGCAGGTAGGAGCTGTGCTGCCATGGGACCCAAGAAGACTGCTGCTGCAGAGGCCGGCGAGGGGAAGAAGGAGAAGGTTACGCTGGAAATGAAGAAGGAGATCATCCGGAAGCACGACGGTGGAATGCGTGTGACAGACCTCGCCAGAGAGTACGGGAAGAATCCATCGACCATCGGGACCATCCTGAAGATGAGGGAGAAGATCCTTGCGACTGATGCAGCCAAGGGAGTCACCAGGATCGTGAAGAACCGCCCAGCTGTTCTGGAGGAGGTGGAGAAGTTGCTGCTCATCTGGTTAGAAGAGAAGCAGCGTGCAGGGGACACAGTGACTGAGGCCGTCATTTGTGAGAAGGCCAAGGCCTTGCACGCAGACCTCGTCCGGGAACAGCCAGGAACCTCAGGCGAGCCAGAAGTCTTCAAGGCAAGCAGAGGCTGGTGTGACCGGTTCAAGACAAGATCTGGAATCCACAGCGTGGTCAGGCATGGAGAGGCTGCCAGTTCTGATGTTTCTGCGGCTGAAGACTTTGCAGCGGAGTTCCTGGAGGTTGTGAAGACGGAGGGCTACGTTCCACAGCAGGTCTTCAACTGCGACGAGACTGGGCTGTTTTGGCAGAGGATGCCCAAAAGGACTTTCATCACACAGGAGGAGGCCAAGTTGCCTGGCCACAAGCCCATGAAGGACCGTCTGACCCTGCTCTTCTGTGCCAACGCAAGCGGCGACCTGAAGATCAAGCCCCTGTTGGTGTACCACTCGGAGAACCCATGGGCCTTCAAGAAACACAAGGTCAACAAGGAGCAGCTGAGTGTCATGTGGCGATCCAACAGTAAGGCTTGGGTCACACGTGTGCTGTTTGTGGACTGGGTCAATCTTGCTTTTGGCCCTGTTGTCAAACAGTACCTGCTGGACAACGACCTGCCACTGAAGGCTTTGCTTCTGATGGACAATGCTCCTGCTCATCCTAAAGGCCTTGAGGAGGACTTGTTGGAGGAGTTCAGCTTCATCAGCATCATGTTCCTGCCGCCTAACACCACGCCACTGCTCCAGCCGATGGATCAGCAGGTCATCGCCAATTTCAAAAACTCTACACCAAGGAGCTTTTCAGGCGATGCTTCGAGGTGACTGATTGCACCACCATCACCCTGCGGGAATTCTGGAAGGACCACTTCGACATCGTCACCTGCTTGAAGATGATCACCACGGCCTGGAACGGGATCAGCCAGAGAAATTTGAATTGCGCTTGGTGCAGCCTGTGGCCGGACTGTGTGGCACCAAGTGACTCTGATGCACCAGAGTCAACAGTGGTGCAGGAGATTGTTGCCTTGGGGAGGACCATGGGCCTGGAGGTCACAGAGGAGGACATCAGCGAGCTGGTGGAGGAGCACAACCACGAGCTGACCACCCAGGAGCTGGTCAAACTGCAGGCAGAGGCTGCGCAAGAGCAGGCCTCGCTGGAAGAGGAGGAAGCAACTGAGGAACGGCTGTCCTCCAAAGAACTGAGGGACATTTGCCTGAAGTGGAAGGATGTGCAGGCTTTTGCACAGCGGCACCACCCTGACAAGCACGTGGCGCATGACCTTGCAAACACTTTTGATACGAGGGTCATGTCGCCTTTCAGGGAGGTGCTGAAAAGGCGGATGAAGCAGCAGACCATGGACAGGTTCTTCAACAAGAACCAAAGAGTGGAAGAGGAACCTTCTTTGAGTTGTCCCCCAGAGTCTTAGAAAATGTACTGTACACTTTGTTGATTTTTAACTGTTTTTCTGTCATGTTTAGAAACTTAATTTATTGTTCCTTCAATTTTTGAAATGCTCTTTACAGTATGTGTGACTTTAAAGAGCACTTAATAAACTCTTGTTGTACCAAATTTGGCTTTGTTTGGACTTTTTTGACCATAGGAACGCATTAATTGAATTTCAATGCATTCCTATGGGATTTCGTGCTTCGCAAGACGAAAAATTCGCTAGACGAAAAAACTCGCGGAACGAATTAATTTCATCTTGCGAGGCACCACTGTAGAAGGGTATAATCATAATCAATTATACCAGAGGTTGCCATTCGCATGCCTTCATTGGCACCCCTAGCAGGGACCTCAGACTCTTAACCTTTCATTATTATTTTTTTAAAAGTAAGTCTCTAGTCTTCCTAGGAAAGAAGTTACAAAGCAAAATGTGCAGGTACCTTTCCAAGCAATTTCTGTGACAGCCCAGCTGCTCCCACCTATCAATGTTTTCAGAAAATGTCAACCTATAGACTTATTTTTCATTTTCCTATATAGTTAACAAATGCTATATTATTATTTTCCGAAGTTTTATTATCTGCCAACAGAGATCTGCTGCATCCTAAGTTGTTCATCCTGGTGGATTTTTTTATAGGTGTACCCCCAAAGCCAATTATTGGCACCATGCCATCAACCATAGCATCATAGAATAGTGCAGTTGGAAGGGACTCTGAGGATCATCTAGTCCAATCTTCTGAAATGCAGGAATATGCAGCTGTCTCATATGGGGATCAAACCTGCAACCTTGCTGTTATCAAAACCATGCTCTAACCAACTAAGCTATCCAGGCCTGTATGTAGGGCATATTACAAAGTTTCACAGAAAGAGACAGGTGTCTGCCCTCAAGAAGCTTACAGTCTGAAAGACAAATCAGACAAAGGGAATGGACATATATTATTGCTTTCAGAAGAAAGATTATATAATTATGTGTTCATATATTTAGTAATTAGATATGTTCCTTAGTTTAATTATCAGTAACTTCAACTCTGGTACAGTTGGAAAAGTGTGTGAGAACAGTACAACCCTGTAAAAGGTTGAAGGCAGTTTTGAACAGAAAGTTTAAATGAATTCTAATGTAATTTAAAGTAAAGACCATAAACACAGGGAATAATGTCCCTATGGGAAATGTGATTATCTTGAAAGAAAGTGCAGAAGCAGCCACTGAAGTTTAGTTGTAATTTGGCAACTTCATTATTGTTGAGTTTGAGACTGGGAAACATAAAATAAAATTTGTTGACCAGCTGATGCAATATTTTTTTCATTAGTATGAAATCTTCTTTTTTTTTTAAAGCAGGACTTCTGTGACATTTGTCTTCCCTGCAAATGATAAATCATTAGGGTGTTGCCAGAGTTAAGTAAAAATTCCCATGGGCATTACAACCTTCTGCATGAACTTAAAGCCAACCTGCAACTTATGAATGCATAGTAAAGTGTGATATGCTCAGGACCTTGCTTTGGAGGCATTTATTAGTGCATGTCTGTCCACGAATTGACACATATTACAATGATCATGTTAGATTGGTCACAGCTCATTTGCCAGAAAACCCTTTTTTCCAGTTTCTAATAAACATTACCATAAGTTTGACAGTTACTCATGAAACACAAGCTCCTTATATATATGGCCACAGATGGGGGAAATGATTTATACTTTTAGAGAAAACATTTATTCAAGTTACAAATTCTTAAAGTTGCAAAACTGTTACATTAGACATGTATTTTGAAACACACTGCAGGGAGGAAGTATTCCAACTTACTGTGGTATATTGATTGTTTTTGTAGGGAAGATCAATCCAGTTAACAAACAAATTGTTCAGTGTTAAATGGAGTTCAAATAATACTAAATAAAACACAAAATATGTAAAGAAACTTACAAATGTTGCATTGGTCACTATGGAATTATCCTGAAGTCAGAGCTGTAACTGGTAAGTGAGTTGTTTGGGCACTAGGCAGTAGGAATCCCATTCTCTCAAATCCAAGAATGCTTTAAGGTCTGAGACGTGGTGAGTGGATGGGGTGGTATCAAAGATTGATTGAACACAACCTTGCAAAGTGTTATGCCTCTTAGATAATGCACCATGTGTCGTCCCATTAACTTCAGCAGATGTTCAAGGAGAAAAACTTGTAGCTAGAGCTTTGTTGGGCCTGCCTGCAAACTCTACACCTACAAACTCAGTCAGATCAACTGTTGAGTAAACATGGATGGGATTCAACTGTTTGTTATTTGGAGAACTGGAAAGACATAACAGTTACAAGCCTAATAAGATGAAGTGGCTTTCAGAAAAGAAAAAAACCTCATTCAGAAAGAGTTATGAGGGGAGAGCTGTGTTTTGCTTAATACATGACAAGAATAATAAAATCTGTGCAGCATTGTACTGCAAGATTTGAATCAACAGAACCTTCACTGTTCAGAATTTCAATTGTATGGTCTCAAAGGAAGCATTCAGAGAGAAGTTGGGGAGATGGGGTGAGCGGAAACAGAGTAATAGGTTCAGCTTCAGTCCCCTGGCCTAATTAAGATTATCAGGATGCCACCGTTGACATAAAGGTGGATGGGAATTTTAAAAAATAAAAATAAGCACAAACTACCTTGATTTCGGCACCTCTTATATCTTTTAATAATGCTGTTTGGTGGTGGCATTTTGTTGTGGGTAGATGCAAGTTTGGTCTGACAAGCCGTAACTGGGACTTCTCTTCACGTGATTGAGGGAAGTCTTATGTAACAGAGTGCCTGGGCACAATGCCAGTCCACACATAAAAACATTGGCAAGTTTCTAGAGTCGAGAAACTACTACAAGGCTTCTCAAACATCAGCATAGCAAAAAGATGAGCCCAAGACGTAGCAACTGGGAGTTCTGTTTTTCAGATTCAAAGCACACAGTGTGAGATAAATGAAATCTATGGAAGGAAATGTGCCACTCATAAAATTGTAAAACAGTGCCAATGCTCACAGAAACCAAAAAACAAATATCTTCCTGATACTCTGCTACCAATGTACCTCACTCAGGTCACACACTTGAATGAGGTGGCCTCTTCTCAGATCACAACATTGCTTTTTCATCTCGTTTGCATCCAGCACAAGCTCTCTGTCTTTGCCTTTGAATTATTGCCTGTGCCTAAATGCATAAATTACTTCTTGAAAATCTCCATTCTAGGGATAGCTAACCTCCAGTTTGGGGGCCTGATCTGGCTCACCCCAAAAATATTTTTTCTGCCCATCTCCTGGCAATTTGCATGGTGCTGTGGTTGTCCAAATAAGTGAGCCGTGCTGTTCTTCCCAGTTTGTGGACAGGGAAACGGTGTGGTGGGTGGGGACCATTTCACGGAACTTCTCTTGAGAGTAGGATAATCTCCAACAGTTTCTCAAGGACAGGACTCACCATTAGCAGTGACAACAGTTTACTGGTTTGGAGGTGGCTGTTTTTTTACTACAGCTGCGACTCTTTTAGCAGCAGGGCTACCATTTTGCATCCATTGCAATTCCCCAGAACCAGCACTGTGGGGGAGAGGCAAGGAATAGTGGCCACTGCAGGGATGGATAGATGGTGGCAGAGAATATTATGATGCGCACAGAACATAGCAAGTGTTCAATGGCATGACAAAAAGAGAACCAATCTCAAGAAGCTTAAGAAAGATTAATGCATTAAAAAAAAACAACCATGCTCATTATTAGAAGAAAATGATGGTGGCATGCCCCTGAACGCCAGTTGCCGAGAAACACAGGTAAGCAAAAGGTTGTTGCAGCAGGCATCAAGAAGCTTGAGGGTTTCCAACAGGCATCTGCTTGGCCACTGTGAAGGGGGTGGACTAGATGGGCCGTTGACCCGATGCAGCAGAGTTCTTCTTATGTTCTTAAAATTGTTGAAGGTGGCCTTCTTTTTCTAGGTAAAGGTAAAGGGACCCCTGACCATTAGGTCCAGTCATGACAGACTCTGGGGTTGCGGCGCTCATCTCGCTTTATTGGCCGAGGGAGCCGGCGTACAGCGTACAGCTTCCGGGTCATGTGGCCAGCATGACTAAGCTGCTTCTGGCGAACCAGAGCATGGAAACGCCGTTTACCTTCGCACCAGAGTGGTACCTATTTATCTACTTGCACTTTGACGTGCTTTCAAACTGCTAGGTTGGCAGGAGCAGGGACCGAGCAACGGGAGCTCACCCTGTCGCGGGGATTCGAACCACCGACCTTCTGATTGGCAAGTCCTAGGCTCTGTGGTTTAACCCACAGCGCCACCCGCGTCCTTTTTTCTAGGATGTGTGAAAAAGAAGACTTCTCAGAAAATATCTGTGAAATTCCAGCCCTAACACTGCTCCCCCCCACCCCAACCAAAAAGAAAACCATGAATGTCTTACAGTAAGGAATGTGATAGGAACTGTGCATAGCTAAACTATGGAACTTGTGCCTGCAGGAGGCAGTGATGGCCATCAACTTGGCCAAGAGGATTGGACAAATGGAGGATATGGCTATGCTCTGCTTCCACAGAGGTCGAAATAGTTCTGGATACTAGTTGTGGGAAGCCACAGGAGGGGAGAATGCACCTGCTTTCTAATTTCCCACAGGCATCTGGTTGGACACTGTGAGTAACACCATGCTGGACTGTACAAACCATTGGTCTGACCCAGCAGATTCTTATGTTCTTAGGAAAATGCACTGGAAAGTGTTGGACAACAATTGCTTGGCACAGCAATGTCTCCCATAAATAAATGGGGATTGTTGCTCAATAAATAGGTTGCCTAGACGTTACCTAAGTCAAACTGATCTCTCCAAGTTTAACATTTCTCAGAGGGTTGTTGTGCTGATAAAATGAGATAACTTGACACACCCAGAGCCGTTTAAAGGGAAAAGTGAGGCAAAAACAGATACATTAAACAGCTATCCCTAGGTAAATGTTTTGTGACAATTCCATTCCTTTTTTAAAATCTTTACCTAGCTTTTCTCAAGATCAGTGCATTAAAAGATTACTGCAGATCTTGTAAATCGGGTGCCAGTATATATGAAACACCGAAGTGGTTGGATGTTACAAGCCCAGACAAGCATCTCCTTAGCATCACGAAGATTCATTTCACTGGCTTTCTTGAAAGCTTCCCTTTAATTCTGAAAATTAGTAAGCAACAAAAACTTAAATACCTTTCTCCAAGGCTTGACGATGCTTAGGGCCAACGTCAGCCAAGAGGAAGGTTTAATGGGTTTCTTTTTACTCACTCTCTTAGGAAATGATTTGAAAAATCACGAGACTGCTGCAGCTAGCAGGAGTGGTCAGCAGGCTAGCTTAAGGAGTGTAGGAGAGGGCAAGTGACACACATAGCCCTGTCCTCCATGTCACTGCCACACCTCAGCATCTCGTGCCTGAGGGAGTGGCTTCACTTTGCCCAGTGGTAGTGCCAGGCTACCAAAGAATGGTAATACTGTTGCATGCCACTCCAGTCTCCAAGCCATGCAAGATTTAGGGCTTCCAGGTGCTTGCCCAGGGTTCAGTTTCCTTGGAATGAGGGACAGCAGAGACTGTGGCATCTTTAGGATACAGTATATGGTTTATTTACACCTGAGCCTACAATGGAGAGGCTCATAGCAGTAAACACCCCAAGAGGGTCTGGCTTCCCTCATAGCCACAGCCTTGGATTCCAACAGAAATCAGGCATGGCTCTGTCTCCTAGCCTACAGCCCACCCATTTGGTATCTAGCACATAATGTACTTAATGGCCTGTACTTAGAAGACCATTACCTAACCAGAAAGCTAGCCTGAATATTCCAGGAATTGAATCCGTGCTGGATACATGAATTAGAAGGGGGGTCAGGCATACAGCCTACCCCTCCAACTCACATCAACACATTTTTGACTCAAAAGCACTTGCTGGTATTCATTTTGCATTTCCCAGCCTGACCTGGGAAGTCGGGGGAAGGACACTTTCCCCATGTTGTTGGATATTAACCTGTTAGATCTTATCTGGAGGATGATGGTTGTCCTGTCAGAATCCGTGCCTGCCAAGAACAGAAGTGCCAGGAGATTAGTGGGAACATGGTGGTCACAAGATGAAGCAAGGTAAATTCTAGGTATACTTTGTCAACTCCAGCCCTACCTAGCTTTGAGGTTCCTCCTTCCCAGATTACTCAGAGAAGCTGGAAGGGAGACAACGGTTGGTTCCTCCCCCTCCCCATGTCTTATGATCATGTTGTACCTTCTATTAACATTTATAGAAGTTACCGATGTACATCAAAGGGAAACAAACTCCTTTCATCTTTCAGACAGGCCCAAACACACATCGGCACATTCAAAGACATACCAATTCCTACTAGAATTATAGCCAGAGGGCATCACCCCACCAAATCCATCTTCGTGTGAGCTCAATAAAGGGAAAGCTAACCCAGTTTGTTGGCCTTATGAGACGATAGGAGACCTATAGGCACCTAAAGTTTTGGGGTGGGACAAGTTGTTTTTTAAGTGAAACTGTATATTCGAGTGCCAAATATCCAATTTCATAGTTCTTCAAAATGCCTAATTTCAAGGGTGGAGGCACTTAGGCTCTCACATGTCAGTCTCTGACGTGATGTACCTGCACCACTCACTCCTGTCTCCTCTGAGCAATACTGGGTGCTTGCAGGTCCCTCCATGCTGGCGTTTTTTTGGCAACAGGTTCCTGACACAATAACCATCCATTGATGGAAGATTCATTCTGCTTCCCCATTGTGAACATATTATTGCTGTCCAGGCAGGCTCCAGCACTAAAAAGCAGGACAAAAAAAGAAAAAACTACTGAAATTATGGAATAATTATTAAATTATGGCATGTCAGCAGGAAGCTACAGGGCATTATGCACTGACTGTAAGTGCAATAGTATGACTGCCCCAAAACTGTCACAGGCACAAAAAATAATGAGAGGAGGATCGCATACAGCTGCCCCAGGAGCATCATGACCAAGAATCACCATGAATGTGGGACTCCTCCCACCCCAGTGTGTTTTTGACATTGATATAATCAACAGTTGTGATCTGTTCATGCTGGCTATTGTGTCGAAGGCACACAGAGACATGCATACACACCACCTTAGGGCGTAATGACACCTCTGGAGCAAGTTCAAATATTGCTTTTACAGATGTAAACAGCACTAAGCAGGTAGTAATAATCTGGCCAGGGGGCTACTTGCTGGTGTTGGTTTGGATCTTATTTGAAGAAGATGGGTTATAAATGTAATAAGTAAAAGAGTTCTCCTTTTTTCTTTTCCCTTTGACTGTCTGGGACTACTGAGAATGCTCAGTCCTCGTGGGCTTTGGGAATTGCCCCTTTCAGAGTTGTGGTTTTAAATTACTTATATAGGCTTCAGATTTCCCTCAAGGATACTAATACTGTCCCCTTCTTTTGTAGGGATCCTGCTTTAGCTCCAGGCCTGTTAGCACTCAGCACCTAAGCTGACGCAGGTGTGCAGTTGATACTCAAATGAAGAGCTAAGAAATCATTGGTTTGGGGCTGACTCTGAGCACATGTCTGGCTCCACTGGGAACCAGGCTTCAAGGGAGCACGTCTCTGGGTCCCAGGAAGGGTTGTCTGTCCAATCCAGTGGGGCTAGAAGCAAGCTGTCATGAAATCCCAATGTTAGCTCCCCAAAGTGGCAACCAAGCATCAGGAGGCCTAGAATAAAAAGAGAATACTTGATGTTTGTGATTTCAAATGTTCAAAGCAATGTGCACATACATAATCTGGTCATAAACTGGGGTGGGAAATGCAGTCTTCAGCCTAATTTCATGCGGGGAGCCTGGAGGGAAAGAAGGAGGGCATGGGAAAATGGAGAAAAGCCAAGACAGATTGGCTGAAGCAGAAAGAAAAGGGAAGCACCCTGCAAGTAATCAGGCCTGGCAAGAGGTATCTGTCCCTCTTCTGGCAGCTCATGGAGTGGAAAAGATGAGGGAGAGAGGGAGATGTGTTAGAAAGAGAGTGAGAAGCGGTGTCAGAAAGAAGGGATGGGAGAGTAGGAGAAAGGGAAATGGGGGAGAAAGGGAAGCCAGTTTGCATCCCCCAAAAAATGTATATAAAAGTGTATACATCAGGAAGAAGTGTGCATATAAATGCATATAGTAGTGGAAATAACACAAAAATGTATTAGAAAAAGAATTCCTCATATAAATTTGTGCAGTGGTCAAAATTGCATACAAAAATGTTCATATTAAGAGCAACGTGTACTAAGATGCTGGTTTATTTTCATGAAGAGTTTTACCAAATGCAAACTGATGCAGAAATGCGGAGAATGGAACTTAAGGCTGAGAAAGTGAGAAACTTAGGAGAAGTCCAAATTTACAGATTCATCCATCCCTGTTAAAAAAACTGAATTATCACAAGCTAATTGCCCTACATAACAGTGTAGCCTTTTCTGGCAGTACCCAAGGTAGATGAGTCAGCAACTGGGATTGGTTATATAAATCGGAACATCAATCAGAAAATAATTTATTGGTGATATTGGAGTGAGGATGTGCCAATGATGCCTGCTTGTTTATTAGTTTGTAGAGATAATATATATAGGTAGGCATGAGATCAGATGAATTCATGGAAACTGGCTCATAATTTCTCATAATATGAGAAATATCTCACAGAAAATTTCCCTTAACAGTGTATGCAGTGTTCTGCAGAAATAGTAAATCTGGATTAAATCATGGTGGGGTGATACAGGATGTCATTTGAGGATAATGTCTTATGTGGATGTGGCACCAAACTTTCACACATGCACAGCACTAAGCCCACAATAGCCTGATGTGCAGAAGCAACCAGCATCTAAGCATGACTTGTCTCACATTCATCTTCTACATGGTAATGCAGCATGGGCTAAGCTGGCACCCTTCAGATGTTACTAGACTGAAATTCCATTAGCCCCAGCCAGCGCTCTATGACTATTAGCACCCATAGACTATTGTTTTCAATATCTAATCTGCTAGTTTCCAGAGCACACTGATGAAGTCAACAATATCTAATCTTCTGGGGCACCCAACCTAGGGATCAGGAGTATGTATTCCCGTTGTTCATTGGGTGGAGGTGCTGTATGTGTTTTGTAAGGCACCCTCCCTAGCAGATAAGAAACTGGGAACTCAGCTACCGTAAAGCCTTGCCTCAGCCTTGCTCAGCATGGTGTCTGCTAGATGCTTTTGATTACAACACCCATTAGCCTCAGCAGGGGGAACCTGTGGCCTGCAACTCCCATCATCCCCAGCCATTTGTCATGTTGGCTAGGCCTGATGGGAGTTGTAGTGCAAAACATCTGGAAGGTGCCAGGTCGGAGAAGGATGCTCAAGTAACAGAGCTGGGAAGCATTTCCCGCCTCTTGCCCGAGACTCCTGCTAAGCCATTTAGAGTATTGACTAAGGGATATGGCAGCCTTGAACCTGTAGTTTCTGTGAAGGAGTTTCTCCCATCTTCATTTTTCTTTTCATTTGGCTTGCATGGGTAAGGAAAACAAAAGCACTTTCATCATTCTTCCAGCTTGCAAAAGAGTTTCACATCTCCTTGCCCACTAGGTGCTAAATTATAAGGCGTGCAAGTGCTAATGTGCAATTTTCAGGGATTGGCAATAAATGCAGATGTCTTACCCACAGCCTGCCAGCTGAGCCACCACAAAGTGAAAGGCGTGCACTCCGCCTAATTTAGGTTTTACAAGGCACAGTGGTCTGGAGGCAACAGCTAGGGAAATAGAAAATACACATCACAGGTGCCGGTTTGACCACTCATTTGCTCTGTGGCTTGGGAAGACAAGTTGTTTAAAGCACTATGTCCAAATTAGAGCAAGTGGTAAAGGCTTCTACTTCTATACTTAGCTCTCTCTCTCTGATCTAGTTTTAAAGTATGTTGAGCACAAAGGCTTTACTTTAAATTGAAAAATTGCAAGCACTAACAGGCCTAGGCATGAAATCACTATGTTGCCTCTCCTTGCCTTGAGGTCTGCATCTGTAAAATGGGCATAGGGACAACTCCATTTGTTCTGTACAATTCATTAAAAATAAGCTGTTGGGTAAATTTCAATTATTAAATTAGATTACGATTTATTTAACAGATTTTTATCCTGACTTTCTTCCAAAAAACTCAGGTGCAGATACAAGGTTCCTCCCACTCCTAGTGTTATCCTTACAACAACCCTGTGAGGTGGGTTAGGATGAGAGATAGTAAGTGGCCTGAGATTGCCCAGTGAACTTCATGGCTGAGCAAAGAATCTATTTTATATTTCATCTTTCATATACAAGAATCCTCCAGCAGTTCATTCAACAGTTTAACCCCAATTTGTGGGCTTGTGAACATTTGTTAGAGAGGGGTGAGTCAGGAAACCATTCCACCAGCACCCCCCACCCAAAGGGTTGTAGTCACCACACTGTGGGAATGAAGTAGAACTAAGTTGGCTGAAGGATGTTCAATATGCAAAGTTCTTGGCAGCCACACAATGCTCTGGACAAGCTGGCAAGCACTTTGACACTGTGGTGGTCCAACATGGTACAATTTGTACCACCAAATAGATAAGTGGCTCAGGAAAGAGGAAAAAATGCTTCTCTGCATCTGGGCTGCTTTCAGAGGGAGCTATTTCCAGGTGGGATTCAATAAAGTACAGTCAAATTGAGGGTGTGCAATTAAAGATGACCTGGCACTGTTGCACGACCTACCTGCTCCCCTTCACATGTCAAAAGAACAATTTGAGGATGAAAAGGAGAGTGCAAAATAACAATTGCTTGGCACAACATCAGGGGCTTCCTTGCCTGTTTATTGAGCATTAACTATGATTTGTTTGCAGAGTGTTTAGACGACGTTGCATCAAGCAAAGGTTGTTCCCCACTTTCCCGCGCACTTTGCCATCACTTTCTTTATGCTAACAGTCGGCAGGGCCGGGAAATGGGGTATGTCTGTTGCGCAAGATTGTCCAATTGCGCACTTAGCACTCGCTGACAATCTGGAAGCACTGGATGTCCTCCAAACTTTGGGTAAACAAATCACGATGATGCTCAATTGAAAGGTCTTCTGGAAGGGACCACGGTGACAACAGCTTTTTAACCCCCCCCCCCAGGAAATCCAAATTATATGGGGGGAGCCATTTTGTTGCCGGGAAACTTTTGCACGCATCACCAAGACAATCCGCCGCCGCCCCCAGCCGCTCTCCGCAAGCACCCACCGCTTTGGAGGATGGCCGCACCCCTCCCACCTGGGCTGCACACGGCCGTGAGAACCCTCCAGTGCGCAAAGCGAGGCGTGTCCGCGCCCGCCAGCCCACTGATCATCCCGCATCGCTCCGCCACGCAGGCGAGCGCCCGACCAGCCGGTTTGTCGGCGGGGGGCGGAGCCGCAGGGAGAGCGCCGTGCGCACGGGACGCGGGCAGAGGCGGAGCCCGGTCGCTTTGCACGCGGTGCCGGCGGGAAATAAAAAGCGGGGCGGACGGCACTGCGGAGCTCAGCTGCTAACCGATCAACCGGACGTCGTCTTAGCTGCTGGAGAGATCGAGCCCAGGAGAAATGGATTCTCAAGACTGTCCCTGTTCTAGTGGTGAGGAAACCTTCCTTCCTCTTTCTATTCATTCCGCTTGCTCATCCTTCTCTCCTTACATCTGGATCTCACCCGCTTTCCCTTCCGATCTACCTCTCTCCCTCTTTCCCCTGCTTCTGCTGCTTGGCAAGGCGCTGCTTCGGGCCACGTGGAGCGCTCTGTTTTTGACTTGGATTCTCTGCGTCCCTATCAACGAGGGACGCTCTTTCCTCTTTCTGACTCGAGGGCGAATCAGGCCGGTTGTGTTACAGGCGAGGGGAGGAGACTGACCTAAGATGATGTCCGCTGTTGCCAGGATGAGTTTGGGTCAGCCTTGTCTACCACCCTCACACACACGTCGCTTGGACTACAACTCCCATCAGCCGCCGATGGGGGTTGTAAGTCCAAAGCATCTGGAAGGGCATTAGAGAGAGGGTACCAACGTGGCGGCGGGGGAGTATGTCTTTTCCCTGCCGCCACCTCCTCCTCCTTTTATTATTATTTATTATTTATTGAATTTATATACCGCCCTATACCGGAGGTCTTTTGTTTCTTCCTTTCTGCTATATCTCCACTCTGTGCTACAATAAAATCGTTGTCAAGTGTTCAAGTTTCTGGAGGAATATTTAAGTCCTATAGAACGCTTTATTGCCCTTTTTCGATGTGTATATTAGGGGGAAGGAGAAAATTAATTGCTTCCTAAATTCTTCTAGGCTTCTGAAGGCTTCTTTGCTAAGTGTCAATGTAAATGTGCGCAGGAGATGCTAAGTTTGTAATTGTAATGGGATTCCACCCTTCCTCTTTTAGGTGGTTCATGCACCTGTGGCAACAACTGTCAGTGCAAAAACTGCAAGTGCAAGTCATGCAGAAAGAGTGAGTATGAACAGTTCCTTCCTTTCCTATGTATTTTGTTCCTGGGAGCAACCCTTTTCTTTTCCCTTTTTTAGCACTGGAATGGCAAAAACCACAATCGGATGCAGCATATGGGAAAATTACTGTATTTACTTGAATCTAATGGTCACCTTTTTTGGCCAAATTACATTGTGAAAAATAAGGTGTGCATTCGATTCGATGGTACATTTACATTTGTCAGCAAATACTTTTTTTGGTTTCAAGGTTCTGAAAACTGAGGTGCGCGTTAGATCCAATGGCGCATTAGACTCGAGTAGATACAGTACTTGGGACAAGAGTAGGTAGGATGGGACTGGCCCTAACTTGCATGCTGTATTAGAGAGCGAATTTTGTGGGCATAACCCTGCATGTCTGACATTCAGCAAGTTGTTACCAAGTGTGCATGAAGCACTGGTTGGCTAGTGTAACTGCGACTTCATGTATGGTAGCCATGGGTCAGTTTGCAGGTTTTATTTTTATTTATTGTGCAATAATTATTGTATAGTGCTTAATAAGAACTCAAGTGGTTTACATAAAATAGCATGAATCTATTTAAAAGCAGCAATTAAAAACAGAAGATTTAAGGTAAAGTTATCTAACTATAAATATAGATAACATGAGTTTTTATTATGTACATTTAAAAAAATATTATTTGTACTTGAAGTCCACCTGGACTGAAGGGTTCCAGGGCAGGGTAGAAAAATATCACAGCTGAAAATGGGTACAAAAGTATCATTAAAACCATACAATAAAACCCCAGAGTTGATTTTTAGTGACTTGGAGTAGAATTTCCACCAGAAAAAAGAGCCAGATGTAGCAGCTGAGACTATGCAATAGCCCTGGGAGCAAATGTGAAGGATGCTCACTTCAGAAAGGGCACCTTAGCTCTTTGGATCCAACCCTGTTCTATTTTCACCACCATTTCCAGGGCTCCTTAGAATGACCTTGTTTTTCAGTAACAGACTCGCATTACAGCCACAAATCCGAAAATTCTAGCATCCTTTTCCTGCTTGTATTGCTCCATGCAAGAGCATATCTTTTTCATGGAACATAAAGCAGAGAACATCATTCAGTTGCTCCCTGTTGAAATGGCATTGCAAACTGTTTGGAGTGAAATGGTTGGCTGCTTATGCTAGTGTGGTTAAAGCATGTGCACATATATCCTAATTGCTGTCCTCATCCATCTCTTATATTCTGATCCCAGCAACATTGTTGTCCGCTGGGTCCACTCCCCAGCTCCGCTAAGAGATCCTCATTGGCTGAAACCACAAAGGTAAATTTTCATTTCTGTTTCTAGGTTGCTGTACCTGTTGTCCAGTGGGCTGCAGCAAGTGTGCCCAGGGATGTATCTGCAAAGGTCCCCCTTCCACCAAATGCAGCTGCTGCAAGTGAATCTTCTCTGGCTCTCCAAGCACTGATCTGTATATTTGATTGCCAGCAGGAATGTAACCTTATTGTCCATTTATATATTTGCCTGTGCATTTTTGTAGCCTTTAGATGTGAAAATAAGCTATGTGGGAAGTAACACAAGCTATGTGGAAAATAATAAAAGCTGTATGTATATAAGAAACATTTGGAGAATGTTTTGTTGGTAGTGGTTCTTTCCTTCTTAGAGGACAGAGGCAGTGAGCCCTGAAACTCAGACTGTGAACACATAATACCTTTAAAGCACATTTCCCTCCAAAGAACCTTGGGAACTGTAGTTTTTTATGGTTGCTGGCAATCGTTCTGTGAAAGTAAATTACTGTTCCCAGGTTTCTTTTGATGTTTGGGGGGTTGCTTTAAACATTGGAAATGTGCACGACCTCTGAGCTCTACTTTGTGGAGCCTTAATCATGAATCTGTTCCTGGTGAATTCCAAGTTGCTGGTGGTGAGGGGATAGCTACACTGCCCGGAGGAGGCTGGTCTGGGGAAGAATGTTTAGAAGATGCTTCTCTGAACAGCTTTTCATGCTTTCCTGGCAAAGCACAAAGTAGGCTTGTTATGCGCAACATAAATCATGCACAACACACATTTCTTCTGTCTCCCAACTAGAGTCCATTACTGTGCAACACATCCATCCCATGAGAGGGAAGGAGTTTACGTTAGCATCAGTAAAAAAGGACAGAAGACAGATTTACATAATGTTTGTATATGCTAATATGGGTGGAAATGTTACAAGTAATTGCTGTGATTTAAATGGAAATGCAGCACATATAGCTACAATCTACATAACTGAGAAGAGGTTGCCCAGCTCACCTGTGTGCATGCTTGGTCTGCTGCCCAGGCTTTAACTCAGGGGTCAGCAAACTTTTTCAGCAGGGGGCTGGTCCACTGTCCCTCAGACCTTGTGGGGGACTGGACTTTATTGGGGGGGATGAACAAATTCCTATGCCCCACAAATAACTCAGAGGTGCATTTTAAATAAAAGGACACATTCTACTTATGTAAAAACGCGCTGATTCCCGGACCGTCTCCGGGCTGGATTTAGAAGATGATTGGGCTGGATCTGGCCCCCGGGCCTTAGTTTGCCTACCCATGCTCTAACTGTTGATGCACATCTTGAAAATATGAACCTCTTCTCAGTTCCTTCTCCTTAACCCAAGTTTAGGTACATCCACACACCATACATTTAAAGCACTAGCTGAGACCATTGGGCATTGTAGTCCTGTGAGGGTAATGACTGTTCCTACAGTTCTGTGAGGGGAAGCCATGTGCTTTAAATGCAGAGTGTGAGCTGGCTGCCCTCTTCAAATATGGCAACTCCCATCAGCCCCAAGTGCCATAGCTAATGTTCAGGGCTGATGGGATTTGTACTTCAACAAGCATCTGGATGGGCACATTCTCCCACTACTGCACTGTTGCAGGCTACTGTCCATAATGATTCCATATTTGGAGGGGATTAGACAAGATGCTATGATAAACCCATGACCTCATTCACAGCCATATGTCTGTAGTGCTAGTGCTTGCTAGATCTTCTACAACCCCAAGATCCACCAGCCACAGCCAGATGCAAACAGCATTCACTTAGAATTAAAGGTTCCCGAGCCCAGGAATTTGTTCTGAATACTAAAACTGAACTGAACTCTTAGTCCTTCCACACAAAAATCCACACATCTATGCTCCACCTGCAGCAGCTTTCTTCATTTAAGCTATATAATTTAGAGGAGGAATCATTTTGCTATTAAACAACTGGGCATTAGAAGTCCTTGCCAACGTACATCTAATCACAAGAAGAAGAAGAGTTTGGATTTGATATCCCGCTTTATCACTACCCTAAGGAGTCTCAAAGCGGCTAAGATTCTCCTTTCCCTTCCTCCCCAACAACAAACACTCTGTGAGGTGAGTGGGGCTGAGAGACTTCAAAGAAGTGTGACTAGCCCAAGGTCACCTAGCAGCTGCATGTGGAGGAGAGGAGACGCGAACCCGGTTCCCCAGATTACGAGACTACCACTCTTAACCACCACACCACACTGGCAATTCACAAGGTGAATTGATTAGGTCTTAAAAGACGTTTTTGGGCCAGTGGGTGCAGTTGGAATTTTGAGAAACTGCTGTGGGTACCAGTCTCAAAATGGCTGCCACGAGGGCATGGCGTAGCACAAAATGGCTGCCACATCCAAAAGGGAAGAAAAAGAGACAGGACCACAAAATGGTGTGGGTGCATAACCCATCAGCCACCCACTCAGTGGGGAAAAGGTATCACCTGCTGCCATACTGAATCATTGTTTGTTGTTGTTTTAAAAAAGGTGCTCCCTGCACCTCTCCCAAGTTCAGAACAGACAAGAGGGTGGGTCTCCAATGCTGCCATACAATGTAATGTAGGCATTTGGGTGGCAGGGGGGTTAATAATGTAGGAGAGGCTAAGACACTGCAAACAGGACCCAAGCAGAAAGATCATTTTATTCAAGATTTTATTTTGAGGGGATATTTACTGTGACCTTTTGTGAGCACCATATTAGGTTCTGGCAGGCACACACTGGGAATCCTTGTATTAAGCAGATTCCAACTGAACCACCTAATCCAGCTCTCCTGGCACCGAAGCCAACCCACACAGTTCCACTGTGTGTATGAACACTGAAGCCACACAAGGAACACCAGTTACACAGGTCTTTCTAATCTAGTCATTGCTGGAGGGATGTATAAATGGAGCAATTGTTAGCACCGAATCTGGGAGGTTATCTGTCTAATTTCCATATTCTATCTCATGGTCACATTCTAATGTCATAGTTCAACATGAACAAAATAATGCACTGAGGGATTACATCAGTAAAGAGGTCGGACGGAAGGAATTTAGTTATCAGTTGTTGTCATTGGATTCTGTGGAGCAGAAGAAATGATGGTTAACAGGCCAGTGGCTCCCCTTTCACCCCAAGGAATTGGTGTCAACAGGGCGAAGAGACTGGGTTAGCCTTTACTCAAATGAGGCAGTATCCAACTAAGTTTTACTCAAGAGTAGAGCCACAGGAATAAGTGTACATGACTAAGTTAGGTTCATTCATTTCAATGGATGTACTGTAAGTAGAATTTATTTATTGAAATTTTATATTCCATTTTTCACCACGTAGGTCTCAACATTAACATATACAATATACAAATTTTAAAACACCCCCATTAAAACCTCAAGAAAACAAAAACACAAAACATGAGAAGCATTCAGGGTGCAAAGGCCTCCTGAAATGAAATTAAGCAGGTACCTGAAACTCAATAGGCATGGTGCCTGTCTAACTCCTTGTCAGAGGGAGTTCCATAGAGTTTGGCCCCAGACTCTGAAGGCACAACTATTTGTTGACATGAGTCAGAGACGGAGCCACTAAAAGGATCCCCTGCTCCCTGATGATCTCAGTGATCAACTTGGGGTGTACGGGGAAATGTGATCCTTAAGCTACCCTGGGCCCAAGTTATTCAGATCTTTGTGCACTAGAACCTTCAACTTGACCAGGTAGCAGATGGGAAGCCAGTGCAAGCCTCAGGTTCAATTCCCAGCATCCCAGGGTAAGGCTGGGGAAAATTCCTGTCTGAAGTCCTGGAGAGTCTGTCACGGAGAATGCTGCCTCTCAGGCCGCCACCATGCCAAGCCTCTGCTGATCTAAACACCTCTGAGAGGGTTTGTAGGGAAGGAGGTAAGCTTTATGATATTTGGGTCCTAAGTCACACTAATGTGACCACCTTGAATTGGGCCCTGAAGTGAACTAGCAACCATGCCAGCTGTTTTAAACCAGAGCCTATGTGAGATCTACATGGAACCCCAGACATAAATCTTGTTGCATTTTGGATCAAATAAAGCTTTTTCAAGTTGTCTTCAATGGCAGCCCTGTGTAGTGTGCACTGCAACAATCCAATATTGAAGTTACCAGAGCATGGAGTAGAGTGGCCAGATCCTGTTTCCAAAAGGGGTTTCTGCTGGCAAATCAGCTGGAGCTGAGAAAAGGCACTCCTAGCCATCAAGGCCACCTGAGTCTCCAAGAGCATCCCCAAAATGAAACCCCCAGGGCAGGATGCTTCCCCACCTCCTAGACTGAGAACACTTTTTTTTTTCCAGGATTTAGTGTGATTCAATGAATGCCCCATGTTTGCATGTCCTGTGGCATTGATTCTGAATGTCCCTCTAATATACACCCTCCTTGCAGTTCAGTTCCTCTCCTCACTCCATGTCTCTCCTCTGCTTACCAAAAGATAACCTGTACAGAATCTAAACTGGGTGGCTGGTTTCTTGTCATTGGTGAGTCAACAACATCACTTTGAGAGGAAGGGGTTTGGTTCCCTATTCACAGCCATCACCAAAAACATCTGGAAATCAATGAACTGCTTCCAGGAACACCGTGTCTTTTCTAGAGCAGTGGAGACATAAATTCCAGCTACCAGTTGTGCAATCAAATACACACACAGTACAAACCTTGCCAGCATCCGAGCAAAATAAAGTCAGCATTTGTGAGTAAACATTCACAAAATGAATGAATGGTACTGGCAGGGTTCTCATTTGTTGGGGCCTGAGAGCAAGCACCTTGGAAACAAAACAAGTGCTAACATTTGCTGGAACGTTTGTGTCAACATATAAGGCCAACACATTTCTCGGCCAGAAAGTGTTGCCACAATTGGGGCAAAAAGGCAGACCACCCAAAATGTGCTTGATCCAACTCACCTAGAAAAGGATATTGCAGAGATAGACAAGGCTAAGAAAAAGGCAACCAACATGACCAAGGGACTGGAGAAATTCTCCTGGGGTGGGGGGAGATTGCCTCATTTGCGACTTTTTAATTTAGCGAGGGAAAGTAAGGTACATGATGAAGGTAAATAAGATTATGGAGAAAGCAGACCCCCACGTTGCAAAAATGCATTTAAAAAGAAGAATCAACAAATAAAAGGCAAGTTGAAAACCTAAAACTAAGGACTAAAAACAGTTCTGACTACAAATTGTATCTAAAATGCCTGGGAGAAATGGGGAAGTGTTAACCAGATTCAGAAAATCTTCAGCTGTTGCCAAATGTGTCTCCTTAGGGACAGCATTCCATAATCAGGGATCACCACAGAAAAGTAATGAAAAAGGGTGGGTGGGTATTTGTAGGAGAGATTCACCCTTGCAAATGTTACACAAATATACACACTTATACCCATATGTAGTGGAGACTGGTGCTCATTGTGGGTAGTAGGGCAGGAGGCAGGGAAGCCAATGGCAGCTGGAGATGCTGTGTACACACCAGACGTGTAATGTACTTTGCTTCCCCCAGTGGATCCTGGGAACTGTAGCTTACTCCTCAGAGTAAGGAGAGGAGGGGGGGTAATATGTGTTTATATAATGTGTACACAACCATTGACAAGCAGAGCTAACCAGTTCTAGCTTTGTCCTCATCTTCCTCCTTGCTAAGTTTCACTCAGACACAACTGAGACTAAGAAGGAGGAAGCAGAGAGCCAAGAAGACCACCCCTTGGCCTGGTTGTAAGGCGGCAGGCAGGTGGGCTTGAGGCTGCAGGGGCAGAGCCCTGTTTGCCCTAATAGATCAGTTTCCACTTCAGCCTTCTTCAGATGTTTTGCCCTCCAGATGTTTTGGATTGCAATCCCCACCAGACCCAACCAGCCATTGCTGGTGGAACATGTAGTCTGGAGGGCACCAGGAAGAGGAAGACTCTTCTAAAGGTTCCACAGCGGCAAGATGGGGAAGAACCCCCCTCCCCCCCACACCTACACAAACAAACAAACAAACAAACAAACAAACAAACAGATAATTTCATCCCTCAGGCTGGAGCAACTCCTTTCAAGCAGCTTGACTGTATCTTCTTGGTTCTATCATGGCAGCCCTCTCTCCCAAGACCTGGCACAAATTGACAGCACCAGTGTTGAAGTGTGAACTGCAGTAGTGTATCATCATTATGACATAATGATAATTCTCTCTCTCTCTCTCTTTCAAATCACTCAACAGAAACCCCTTGTGATGCAACATGAACCCTTCAGGGCAGGTAGGACAGTTTAACTTCATTGTCTGCTCCCTCCTCCCACGTTCCACCTTAAGATGATGACTTAATGCAGACTCCAGGCATCACTATCATTGAGTGTGCTTTTTTTCAGCCCTGCTGCATTTAACATCTAGCCTCATGATGTGTTCCAGAGAATACAGAAGCTTGCTCACTGTTACTGTTTTGTGGTACTTTGGCTGGTGTCATAAGTCCTACAATCCCTGTTTGGCCGTGAAGCTCACTGGGCAACCCTAAGCCAGTCACCATCTCTACCTACCCTCCTAGCTTCCACGGTTGTTGTGAGAATAACATTGGGAGATGGCACTGAACTATAAATTCATTAAAGTATAAAATAATAAAATACAGAACAAATGGCTCATGCTGAATCAAATTGTCTAAGAATGGCAAAAAAGGAAATATTTTCATCAGGAGATGGAATGTCAAAACTGTCTGATTTAAATGCAGTTCATTAATAATTAAAAAGGAAAGAAAGAAAAGAAAAATTAATAAAAATGTGGATTTTGGAATTCACCTTTGCTATGTAAGTTTTTGCTTAATCCCATCAGCACGAACCTTTGCAACACAATCATATTTCTCAGGAACTGCCCCCCTCACTTTTACTTCTCTTTCCCTTTGGTCACACAATGGCTGACTCACCCTTGAGTCAGCATTAAACATGTTCCCAGATAAAACTACTGCACTGCACCCGGAAGGAGTTTGCACATGGCACTAGATATGTTTGTATTGCCATGTGTTGGGGCCGAGGGAACTGTGTTTGCACACAGCACAGGAGACTGAGCAAGAGGAGCAGTGCCTGCTTTGAATGGGGTGCAGAGGAAAATGCAAATGAAAGGCATACCGTGTGTACAGGACTCAGTGTGCTTTGTTCAAAAAGTTCAGTGACAGAAGTCTGTTTCTTCTCCAAAATAGAAACCTCAGTCATTTCCAGTTCTTGTTCTCTGTGTGGATGGGTGTGCATACACAGTGATCTAACATGATTACTAGATTCACCCCACACAACAGCAAGCAACCCTAAAGATATCAGATTTATTATTGCGACCTGTAGCGCTGTCAAGGCAGAACTTTGGGGCAGTAGTCCAGGGCCCCCCATTCAGAAGAATAAGCCCCCAAATGCAGCAGGGCTGAATTAGGAAGCAAATGAAATAATGCACAGTACCATTTAGTCATGCTGGCCACATGACCCGGAAGCTGTGCACCGGCTCCCTCGGCCAATAAAGCGAGATGAGCGCCGCAACCCCAGAGTCAGCCAGAAACCCCAGAGTCAGCCACGACCGGACCTAACGGTCAGGGGTCCCTTTACCTTTACTACCATTTAGAAAGTTGTGCCCCAAGGCCATTGTGCCTTCCAAAGTCAGAAACTGCTGTTGCAGGGCAAGAGAAAGCCTAATGTTGAATACTCCTGTAAAAAACAAAACAAAACAAAACACCCTTGCATTTTACAACATAGATGTATAGGAACATAAGATCAGCCCAGTGGCATATCTAATTCAGCATCCTGATCTCACAGTGGCCAATTATATGCCTCTGGGAAGCCCACAAACAGGACCTCGAACAGTGGAGGGAGAATACAACCGTTGTGTCACTAGCAGCCACACACAGCCTTACCCCCCATGAATTTGACCAATCCTTATTCAAAGCTAAGTGGGTGGGTGTCACTACATCTTGCTGGAGGCAAATTGCCCGTTTTTGAAACTTTCCTAGCTCTACAATGTCCTTCTAGAATCACAGACCTGTAGAGTTGGAAGGTACACCTAAGGTCATCTAGTCCAACCCTGTATAATGCAGGAATCTCAACCTTTTTGAGGTCAGGTGTTAGTCTTAAAGGTGGCAGAGGACTCTGGTTTTGGCATAACTGAGAAACGGAGCCACCAACCTGGAACTGTAATCTCCTGGTGTCATTACCCCCGTTTTACAAATGGACAACTGAAGCTAAAGATTCCTTCCTTGACAAGGTTCATGGCTGAACAGCTTAAGAAAATGAAAAGTGGGATTCAAACGCCCTTTTGAATCCAGAGAGCCAGTGTGGTGTAGTGGTTAAGAGCGGTAGACTCGTAGTCTGGTGAACCGGGTTCGCATCTCCGCTCCTCCGCATGCAGCTGCTGGGTGACCTTGGGCCAGTCACACTTCTTTGAAGTCTCTCAGCCCCACTCACCTCACAGAGTGTTTGTTGTGGGGGAGGAAGGGAAAGGAGATTGTTAGCCGCTTTGAGACTCCTGAAGGGGAGTGAAAGGCGGGATATCAAGTCCAAACTCTTCTTCTTCTTCTTTTCTTTTTGATCCCCAGATGTGTAGCTAAATAATGAGGTGGAAACTACTCTTTACGGTGTTCAGAAGCCATTACTTGTTACTACTTCAGCTGTCACAGCACTGAGTCCCACAGTTGTAAACAGGTCTCAGGATCCAGCCCTCCTGAGTTCAGATTAATCCCCTGCTGGGAAGGGATGCCCTAAATAAAATGAAGCAGCTCAGCTATACTTTAAATGCACAGGGTAACGAAGAAATAGAGCTTACTTTCCCCCTTCCAATCACTTTTTTCATTTTGCGCGGCGTCTTTTAATATTGAAAGCTTCAGTACTGGGACCGTTTTCTCACTTGCATTTATGTGGGCTCCTTTTTGCGTTGATGACCATGTTCTTGGATACCCCATAAGGGGAAAAGGGCAGATTTTGTTTACAACAACCACAATCTCTTTTTAATGCTTTAAATAACGAAATCCATTTCAGATCCACACAAGTAAACATGGACATGTTCTTCCAACGGGAAGAGAAAATGACCCGTCACTGAATTTCCCTCTCACTGCAAGTTTCCCCCTCCTTGCAAAATCTTCCATGCGCCGCCCCCGCCTGGAAGCGGTCGATTTTTGCACGCGGAGCCGACGGCTCGATCGTGCAATGCTTCAGGGAAAGAGAGACTACTTTTTGCACGCAGCTCCATAAGTGGAGGGGAGGAGAGGCTGGACCTTTGGCAAGGGCGCCGATTACGAAATGTGCGCACGGGGCCGCGCGGGGGCCGCCTTCCTTTGCACGCGGCGCTGCGTGGGTTTCGCTTTTGCACCCCTCGCCGCCTCTGCCCGCCGTCCGGAGCCGGTCCGTGCGCAGGAAAGGGGCGGGCGCTTTGCACTCGCCGCGCCTGCCTTCCGGCTGCTTATAAATATGCCGGCAGAGGCTGCCCTCAGGCCACACATCTCTCCTTCTTGCCTCGATTAATCCTCCGATCTCTGTGATCACTCCTGCAACTGCGATGGATCCTCAGGACTGCGCCTGCGCCACTGGTGAGTCTTCATTCCACTTGGTCGACTGCTTTAGAAAGAGCCAGGGATCGGTGGCTCAAAGAGCGCGCTCTGCACCCAGACGGTCCCAGGTTCCATCCCTGGTCTCAGACTTTTGTCTGAACCTCTGCAGAGCTGCTGCTGGGCCTGGTAGGTGAGTTGGAGCAGGTTCCCCCCAGCCTTCTGTCTTCCAGATGTGTTGGACAACAACACCCATAATCCCCGACGGATGGGCTGTGTTGGCCGGGATTGATGGGAGTCAGTCCCAACAGCATCTGGAGGGTACGGGGTGGCAGAAGGCTGAAGCAGAGGGACAAGCTGCCCGGCTAGGGAAAATGGATCTTTGTGGGGGCAGTTCTGCAGAATGAGCACAAAGGATCCCAAATGCTTCAGTGCCCTGGGCTTAGCATACATTGCCGTCTAAAGAGAGCAGGGGGTGGTTGGAGGCGGAGTCTGCAATAAGGGTTGCTTCCTATACTCTTCTATAGCTTGCATGGGGGGGACGGACCACAGGGGAAGTTTTTAATGGGTGCGATCCTCAAGCAGCTTTACTACACAAGTATTTATTTCTAAGTAAATAGGCTTAGGATTGTGGTGTAGCACCCATTTTTATTGTGAGTCCTGCTTTCAACAGCGCTTTTAAGATACAGTAATCAGTTTTAGCCACTAACATCTACAGGCCTACAATTGCCATGCTTACTGATGCAGGTGTGATTATGTATTTGAGCAGGCCCTTCCTTCCTCTGTTCAGTCTCCTTACATCATCCACACAATCATATTGAGCAAAAATGTGATTTCCTTGCTCCTCAGATGCCTGCTTTGGCAGTGCTGTTCTCCTTGAAAGTACTCTGATGCTCTAAAGCTAGTCACTTCTGCACTTGAATGTTACTACAGTGGTACCTCGGGTTACATATGCTTCAGGTTACATACGCTTCAGGTTACAGACTCCGCTAACCCAGAAATAGTACCTTGGGTTAAGAACGTTGCTTCAGGATGAGAACAGAAATCGTGCTCCGGCGGCAGCGGGAGGCCCCATTAGCTAAAGTGGTGCTTCAGGTTAAGAACAGTTTCAGGTTAAGAACGGACCTCCGGAACGAATTAAGTACTTAACCCGAGGTACCACTGTACTATGAACAAAAAAGTATTGCAGATCTCTGGGAATCTGTGACCCTGGAGATTCTTGCTTACAGTTGTCCCAATGCATTCACTAATTGGGTAAATAGTGGGATGCTTAGTAACTAACTTGTTTAGTTACTCTGTGATCTCTGTTCAGATTCTCAGAACTTCAGTCTTTCTACACTTTAGAACTGGCTCTAGTGCTTGATCCAAGCTAGTGGTACTATTCCCTGTCACAAAGCAGTCCCACTTAAGAAAGAAGCCCACAGTATAAACATTGGGAACTTACCCTTTTGGGCTTCTGGGTCCTGGAACCATCCCAAAGCATTCTCATTAAACTTAGGAGCTTTGCCTCCAATTTACTTCTGAATTTTATTCTTCCTTCCTATAGCCATAGATGGCAATTTGGCAAACTTGTATTGCTTCTATTTTTATTAACGAGAAGGAGTAGTCTATATGCAGCCCTATAGCCATTGGTTTCAGTGGCTTCAGTGCAAGCATATATTTCTGTTTAAAGGGACGAAGGGTGGAGTTTTATTTTAATTTAACTCAGTGGCATGTATATTTCTCCCCCTTCCAGGTGGCTCTTGTTCCTGTGCCGGCTCCTGCAAATGCAAAAATTGCAAATGCACTTCATGCAAAAAAAGTGAGTATCTCTTTGTGAACCCAATAAAAGTTCCATGAATCAGAAGGAGCTGGTTAAAACCTAGAAGCTAAGAGTTTTGCAGGTAACTTCAGACTGTGTTTAAAGCATATGGCTTCTCCCCCCTCCCCAAGAATCCTGGGAATGGTAGTTTGTTAAGGGTGCTGGGAACCACAGCGCTGAAGGGTAATCTACAGTTTCCAGGATACTGGGGAGCAGCCATGTGCTCTAAATGAATGGTGTTGGCTGCTGATCTCACACAGGAACTTGCAATGCAGTCCTAGCATGTGTACTTGAGAGTGATTCTCACTGAACTATTTGGGACTTGATTCTGACAAAATATACATAGGATTGGACATAATGTTCTCCCTTATAAGCCTCCTTTCCAAGGCTTGTCCTTTCACAAGGTTAAGTTCTATTCTTGAACAAATTCATTAAAAGTTAACATCTCTTGGTATTAATTTTGAATTTAGGGAAACCTAAACTTGAACTTTTGTATTTCTCTCACCATACCCAGTGCAAATCATGCCAGGCTTATTAAATACCCAGCATCAGGGGAAATGAAATAGAGAAAGTTCCCCTTGTTGGCTGACAACTACTTGACGCAAGGAGTCATGAAAGCTTTTGTAAACTGGAAGAATTGGTTTTCCTCTCATATTTTTTTTGAAGCTGTTGATCTGCCAAAAGTGACTTCAGATTTTGGGCTAGTTACGTTTGTATCTGTATTTGCTGTGCAGTCATTGTACCCCTTATACAAGCTGATGGCACCTTAACCACTTTTCCTTCTTCCTTATTGTGCTTGAGACATTTCACTATCCCTCTTAATTTGTTATAATGCCAGCCACTTAAATTACTAAAGGTCATTAATCTCTTTGGCACGCTACACATCCAATGTCATTTTTTGCCCCTCTCTTTCAGGCTGCTGCTCCTGTTGCCCGGCTGGATGCGCCAAATGTGCCAAGAGTTGTGTCTGCAAAGAGCCACTGTCGGATAAATGCAGCTGCTGCACCTAAAAATGCAGTTTGAAAAAAGGAGACAAATTTCCTATTTTGTAATTGCTCTTTCATACAGATAAAAGGAAGAAACATGTTTTCAGAAAAATAAAAGTATTTTAAACTTGACAACTTTGAACTGTGTTGGCTGAATGTGGTCTGTATAGCCTTTTTAAAGGCTAATGGGAGCCTGTAACGCAAGTCTGCAGACTTTCCAATCGTTTGAAACCAGATGACAAACATGAAAACGACTGAAATGAACCTTTTGTAGTTAAACCACCACAAACATGCCCCAAATTGGGTGCATTTTATCCATGGTACTAAGTAGGCTTTTGACAACCCCAAATCCCTATATCTAAAGTAGTATAATGGAGCTTTCCCTAACTGCCAGCAAAGCAGGACCAGAAGACTCCAGGAGGTCCATAGAAGTTAAAAAAAGCATGGTAGATGTGCCTTTCTCCCATTTACTCTGATTAGTTTTTCCTGGTGAAATACTCCTTTCTTTTGAAACTCCCTAGGTCTGCAGGACCACTGTCTGCTTTTTGAGCCTTTGGGCTACTTCAAGTCTGTGTACAGTTGCAATATGCCCATCGAGCAGGTGAAATTCCTAACACTAAGAATAAATATAGCTTGGAGGACCCCATCATAAGAAAATCTCCTGCAGGGCAGAATATGCATTTATTTACCCACCCTCTCTCACTGGAACAGCAAAGGTGCTCCTCCTCCCTTGTCATTGTGCTTGAGACATTTCATTATCCAAGTAGGAGAAACATGGTCAAGTTTGCCCTTTGGGAAAGAAGTTCCTTGCTGGATACCGCATTTGTATAAAGGTCTCTGCTTGCTTGCTTCTGGTATCTTAGCAGACCACTATCAACACAATGCTGCTTAGTTCGATGCTAGTTTCCAAAACACAAAAGTTAACATTAAAGCTGAGTAAGGAGCTGAACAGAGAGAAACATAGGCTGCTTTATGCCACAGCTTCTGGTACAGGATTTGGCTTTCAATGTCTTCTACTCTACCAACACTGACAGGTAGCTCTGAAGGGAATAGGTGCCTCCTAGCTACTCTCAGTATCCTTAGCAATGACAGTTTTCAGGAATCTATGGGGGAAGGCAAGACTGTGCAACTCAGCTTGCCAAGAAAGGTTTGCTTGGAGCTTAGATGGTAAGGGACCTCCAGATTCCCAGACTAGTCTTGTATCTTTTTATCTCTGCTGGCTTTCCTGTATCCTTTCAGGTTTAGACTGATGCATCTTAGCTTGTATATCCTATTTGCCACTTCCTCCTCCTCACACTTTCTCTGGACCTTGAGGCCTGCGGTCATCTTGAATCTTGCCTTCTGAGAACAAAGGTGTGAGCAAGTGTGTTGCAGCCAAGGATTCATTGAACTGCAGTTGACTTCTGCAGCTGTATATGCTAACAAAATAGATGGGGCAGATGTGACCTTATATAGAGATGCACCTGAGAATCCTTTCTGCACCAAATGAGTTTCATCTTACCCTGAGAAGGGGAAGTCGGCACCTGTTCTCAGGAGAACAGGTGGAAACTGGACCAGATGAATGTGGGATGGGTCTGTGTTTGTGCCAAAGGCTCCACAGGCTAGGAAACCTGTTTCAGAAAGAGGATTGAAAACTGAGCTAGAGGCCCACAGGAGAAGCCTGAGGGGACTGGGAAGCGAGCTAGTAGACAGTTTGGCTGGAGAAAAAGGAGACAGTCAGACAGAGAGACAGCTTCCCTTAGGAAAAGGTGAGTCCTCAGCAAACCAGCCTTGTGTAGATTAAAAGATTAGATCATCAGCTTGCAGGTCAGAGCCTGTTCATTTCACTCCCTTGTAGTGCGTAGTATATTTTAGCGCTTTCTAGAATAAATAATGAATAACAGTGATAGAAGCACCTGCTGCAGGTGTGTGACCCAGGAGGCCCGAAACTGAGCTCACAAACAGGGTATGGGGCAAACGCTGAAACAGAGATCTCCATATTGTGAGGGAGTGGGAAAATGTAGCCTTTTCCCTGTTGTTCCCCATCTGTGGCCCCCCTTCCTCCAAGGTAGCCAGGGAGGTGGCTTATAACCCAATCCGGTATGTATGTATGTGAGAGAAACTCACTGTTGGGTCAGGTTTGTTTGGAAGACTTGCTGCTTGTTTCAATGGGGCTTACTCCTAAGTGTTCATCACTACTCTGTTTTCAGTGCTTATAAAATCCCTTTTTTGACAAGCCTTTTCTGTGGAGATTTTTTTAATCCCAGTTTGAATCTGTATCGGACTTTTGAAATGGTTTTACTTTGGATTTTTTTATTGTTAAATCACTTCAGGATGTTTCACGGAAAGCGGTTAATGAATGAAAAGAATAAAACATGGGCAGAATATTAGAACTGATATACAGCCATTGATCAGTCAAACAACGAATCACATTTCAGCAGTGCAGGCAACCCATCCAAAAGAGACAAAAAGCAGATGGGTCACACAGTCACAAGACAGATGACTTGCAGACACGATTTGCTCTCTGCAACAACAGCAACAATGACTGCTTTCTGGAGAAATGAAGCTTTGGGTGGTCCACTGATAATAGGATTCAGCATCACTGAAAGTATGGTGCAGTGGTTGGAGTGTTGGACTAGGACCCTGAGGACTGGAGTTGAAATCCATGCTCAGTCATGAAGCTCACTTGGCTGACTTCTGGCAAGGCACTGTCTCCTAAACTAATCTACCTCACAAGGTGGTTGTTGTCAAAGTTTGGCAAATATGTTACAGCAGAGTGCACACAGAAATAGTCTGATAAGACTACTGGTTGAAAGGACAAAGAAAACTTAAGGTTGATTAGTCACAGCACACAAAGCTATTCTGAGCACAAGCTTCACACTTGGCTAATACAGAGGCACTAGCACAAAGTAACTCATACTAACTGGCTTGAACAAAAAAAAAATTGGAGTGGCAGGGTGGAAGGGAAAAGCAAAAGTAGTTGCTAAAAGAGAAAGAATCCATGAGGAAGAAGAACAGGTTGCCCTTCTATCGCCACCCACTGGTTCAAGTAGCTTATTGCAGGAGCTGTTGTTTTCCTCCCAATGGTTGTGAGAATAAAATGGAGAGGGAGAGAACTGTTGTGTGTCTCTTTGAGCTCCTTGGAGGAAAGGTGGGGTAGAAATGTAATAGCAGCAACAACTACTTAAGGTGCATCATCAGAGCATTGTGGGGAGGAGGGTTCCTTCCAATGGAAGTGGACGTGTATAGCATCATCTTGCCACTGAGGATGCTGTGACAAAAAGTCCCAGCCCCTGTCCATGACAACAAAGGATAATCCACCAAGGGGATGAAATGCTCACAGGCCTGGCCCTACCAATAGGCAGAGTGAGGCAGCAGACGCTGGGTGGGGGCAAGGGAGAGGGGGCAGGATGATGGGGAACAGAGTTGTGTATGTCACAAAAACTGCCCTGTGGCTCCCAAGCTTGCCCACTGCCCTTGGGCGCAATGGATGCACTGCTTCATTGGCTTTTGTACATGAAATGCTGTTGGGGTGCCTTTTCACCCTTTGCCATAGGTGTCTATCATGCCCAGAGGGGGTGAAAGCAGAGGTGGCAGTTGACCCCTGCATTTGCAAGATAAGCAGGGCTCTGCTTTTACAGAAGAACAGCCTGCTGGATCAAGCCAATGGCCCACCCAGTCCAGCATCATGTTCTCATGCCTGTGGGAAACCCTCAAGCAGGACTTGAGCACATGAGCACTCTCCCCTCCTGTGGTTTCCAGCAAATGGTATGAGAGGAGTTACTGACTCCAGTCATGGAGGCAGAGCATAGCCATTGTGGGTACTAGTAACCATTGATAGCCTTTTCCTCCATGAATGGGTCTGATCCTCTTTTTAAGGCATCTAAGTTGGTGGCCATCACTGCCTCCTGTGAGAGCCAGTTCCGCAGTTTAACTATGTCCTGCATGAAAAAGTACTTTATTTGTCCTGAATCTTCCAACCTTCAGCTTCATTGAATGTCCACAAGTTCCAGCATTATGAGGGAGAAAAACTTTTACCCAGACACTTTTACTCTGTCGTACATAATGTTATAAACATCCATCACAGTGGTGTCCAAACTTTTTTCAAAGAGGGCCAGATTTGATGAAGTGAAGGGCCGTGAGGGCCGACCAAAGTTGTTGAGGCTTTTTTCAGGATTTTACCCAAGGAAATAAACTGCCACAGGGGCCGGATTAAACTGACCGGCGGGCCGGATTAGGCCCCCAAAATGAACTTTGGACATGCCTGATCTATCATGTTGCCTTTCCTTGCAAAATGTGCAGAGGTTCAAACATGTGATCTCAACTGTTGGAGAAACAGCCATTTCTGGATGCTCTCAACATCCCTGGAGCACAAATGAAAGAAGGGCCTTGGTTTATGAAGAACACCCAGTTTATTTGGACTACGAAACCTGCTGATCTCAGCATGCTGAAAGGTAATCCGAATATTGCCTCAGGCCTGAGCTGTTAGAATCGCTCTGCTGCTGCTGTCAGCAACTTATGGAATGTGGAAGGGCAAAAACCCATCTAGGCTTCAAGAAAGACAAGACCCAAAAGCAAAAGGGTGAGAGCTGATTATTCACATGGGTGCTTGTGTCCAAACTCGTTCAGAAGTTCTTGGAAACCACAATAAAAGTTTTTCTGTTTTTTCTTTATGCACATAGAAAACTTTCAAGAAGCCATCTTCAGCTTCACAACTCACTTCTTCACTAACTATTGGCCTTGGTGGATGTTGGGGCTACTGGGAGTTGGCTAGCTGGGTGGCAGGGGAAGTGCCCACCCCACACCCCATGTCAAGTGAAGGAGTGGACGCCTGCCTGAGGCGCTGCCGCTGCCCTGCTTACTCAAGGGTCATAGCCTCTCCTTGCAGGTCACGCTTTCTCAGGCAGGACGCCCACCTTCCTCCCACTGCCACATGTGCAACAACAATGTCTTTGTCCCTCAGTGCCCTTTCTCCAACTGGGAGCTCACAAGGCTGGCCATGGGATTGCAACTGAGCAGGAGCCTCCATGCAACCCCGCCCCCCCATGGCCACCTCCCTGTTGAATCCTCACAACAGCCCTGCAAGGTAGTGCAGGCTACACATCTCTTGTTACTCAGACTACCCACTGACAAAAAGGGACATAATCATAATTTAAGTGGGTCTGCTCAGTGTATGCTTAGCGTTGGATGCAATGCAATGCAAGGGCTGGATCAAGGAGCTGCAGCGTGGCGGGGGGGGGGATCTTGGTCTGCCAGGTCCTAGTCCAAAGACTTTTTTTTTACATCAGACTAAGTAATCAAGACCAATTAACATTACAAATACTTTTATTTTCCATATACAGTGTCTATGTAAATGCCTATACAGTGATACCTCGGGTTAAGTACTTAATTCGTTCCTGAGGTCCGTTCTTAACCTGGAACTGTTCTTAACCTGAAGCACCACTTTAGCTAATGGGGCCTCCCACTGCTGTCGTGCCGCCGGAGCACAATTTCTGTTCTCATCCTGAAGCAATGTTCTTAATCCGAGGTAATATTTCTGGATTAGCGGAGTCTGTAACCTGAAGCGTATGTAACCTGAAGCGTATGTAACCCGAGGTACTGCTGTATGTCTTGTTCTGATTTCATGTAAGTCACTGTGGGAGCCTTTTTGGCTGAAGAGGGGGGTAAAAATACGCTAAATAAATAAAGGCACAATGTAATAAATTACTGAGGTTAACTAGCATTAATATTTAATGCTGTATTGTTTTTAACACTCGATTGGGAGCTGCCCAGAGTGGCTCAGAAAACTCAGCCAGATGGGTGGGGTATAAATAATAAATTATTATTATTATTATTATTATTATTATTATTATTATTATTATCAGCATCAGCATAGCCCCCTACCACCCCACTGCACCCCCAGTTCAACAGGAGCTAATGTGTGTCTGTTGCACCCTCTAGTGGCTGCTTGGTATTTAAATTCACCCAGTTTCACTGGAAGGCATTCCACCGCAAGGGTGTGCTTGTTTCATCATTAAAAGCCGCAACAGCCCTCTACAACTTCCAGTATCATAGGCAGTGAGGAGTGCCCCCAAATACCAGTTGCTGGGACTCCCAAGTGGGGGAAGCCCTGCTGTTGTTGCTGCGCTCTGGTCCTGCTTGTGGGCTTTCCAGAAGAGGATCTGTGTTGCTACCATGAGGACACGAGGCTGGACTAGATGGGCTTTGAGATACAGGGGGGAAATGGAGCTGACAAAACAGGGCAGTTAAAATGATAATATACCAGGGTGTCCAGACCTGACTAGGACCCGAATGTCCAGGGTTCAAATCCCCTCTTGGCTATAAAACTCACTGGGTGACCTTGGACCAGGTTTCAGACTCTCAGCCTAGCCTACCTCACAGGGTTATTGTGAGGATAATTTGGAGAGGAATTGTACCTTGTACCCCACTTTGAGTTCCTCAGACAAAAGGTGGAGTTTTCATGTAAAAAAAAACAGTAAAACACCAAGAAAGGCCTCTAGATGCACAAACATGTTTTTAAAAAGATGCCTAGAGAATGTGGGTGAGAATCCAGGCAGAGAGAGAAGGTAGTTCTGTTACCAGAATTTTTATTAAGGTGGGGGGGGGTGTTTCCAGTTAAACGGGGCACTGCAGCCCCAGACCATCCCCCAAACCAACACAATTCAATTTTGTAAATACTTCCTGCTTCTTCCATGTGGTGGGTGGAAGTCCTGTTGCAACTGTCTTTTGAATAAAGATCAGACCTACCGGCTGCTATGTTGCTCCTATATTCCTGGCTGGTGTCTTTGTTTGGCAATCCAAGTGAGCCCAAGGATTTTACTATAACAGTTCCATAATCCAATGAAGCCCACAAATACTAACATTTAATATAACATCCAAACCACTAGAACCAATAAAACACAATGACCAAACGATGGACCACTAGCCAGCCAACTCCTGGGCAAACAGGTGAGTTTTAGGAGGTGCCAGAAACTGGACCAGAGTCATGTCCTGCCTTATTTCCTTCATTTCTCCAAAGGGGTGCAAAGTTGGGAGGATTTGGGGGAACTCTAAGGGGAGCCTAGATGCAGCTGCCTAAGCCTCCTGCTTGAGTGTAAATGCAGGGGTGGGTCAGGGGCTTGGCAGCCGCCTGAAGTTGCCAAGTGGTGACATGGGCCTGGCAGAGAGAGCATGCCTGGAGCCCGGAGCCCACTGGGTCCAGTCCTTGGCCAGGCTCTGACCTCACAACCGGCTGTGGAATGTTTTGTTTCCAGGGAGGCCATTTGAATTGTTTGAAATGATCCTTGTGTCAGTTGGAAGCCCTGTCAGTTGGATCAGTTGAAAAGCCTTCAGATTGGTTGACTTTGTGGACATCTTCAGAGAAACCTCTTTCTCCTTTGAATAACTGTCTTCATCTGATCCAATGACTTTGGAAACCTCTTCTTTGAATAACTGTCTTCATTTGATCCTTTGACATGGGAACTATCTTGCTCCTTTGGAGAAATTTATTTGGCTTAGTTGTTGGTCCAGTGTGGTATTGGTTGCACAGAAGGTAAAGTCACGGGCTAGAGCGGAGGCATGCCCAGGTTTTAAAGATGCTTCTGGATTATTTGAGCTTTCTAAATCCCATGCTGGGTGTTACATGAGCCAACAATTTTACCAGGGAGTTTTCCAAAGAATTTCCTGTTTCCTTTTTTGTCACCATCCAAATTGCAGCAGAATTACCATCTCCCCCGTCCCAAATATTCAGGAGAATGCTCCCCACCTCCATTTTCACCAACCACAAATAGGATGGGGAATTATGGGAGATTATTTTTCACTCAGCCCTAAAATACACACCCTACTTCGGTGGCGCTCATAACTGCATCCTTGGGTGCTCTCTTCTTTGGGTGCATTTCCAGCAGCAGGATCAGGCCCAAAAGGCCCAGCCAGAGCTGCAGCCTGTTCTCAGGGAGGGCCACAAGCAGCAAGGCATGAGCGCAAGAGCAGTGCTCCTCAGGAATGGGATAACTTAGAGTCATCTACTGCCTTTGGCAGTGCAGGGTGGTGGTGGTGGGGCAGTTGCTGCCTGTCAGCCTAACCGACCTCACAGCGTTGTTGTGAGGATTAAATGAGGAGGAAATCCACGTACACCCCCTTAAACTCCTTGGAGGAAAAGGTGGGATTTAAATGATATAAATAAATGAGACACATTGCCTCCATTGCTGAGGAACTGGCACTTAAAAAAAAACCACATAATTTTAAAGCAGGCCATTCCCCTGCCCCTCCCCCACTCCCATTGCCCTTCTCACCCTCCCCTCCCATCTCTCTTCCCTATTCTCCCAGGTTCTCTGTCAGAGCCAATGAAGAAGCTGCAAGAACAAGGGCCCCTCATTGAGGAGATCGAGGACCTCCTACTTTCCCAGGTAATGATCCCACAGCAGAGCAGGGAGGCTGGCAGTGACTGGGAGGGGGCTGCCTGTGGGGCTCTGGTTGAGTTGGGCCTTTGATTTCCTGATGCTCATCAGACATGTTTCTTCTTCCCTGCCCGCTCCCTTCCTTCCTTCCCCCATAGTTTGGTGTGGGTGCAAGCAAAGAGGTCCAGGAGGCTGTCATCAAATTCTGCATGCAGCAGTCCAAGGCCCTGAAGTTCCTCCAGACCAAGCAGTGCAAGGATGTTTACTTCCGGGGCATCATTCAGGTATCCTGTGTGTGAAGAGGAGACTTTGCTCAAGGAAAGGGCCTTTTCCATTGCTAGCTTGGCACTGTCCGGGGGGGCGGTGTTTTCCATTCAGGGAAAGGGGTAAGAAGCCTGCCTTCTTCTCCCTGCTGCTCACTCCTTGGGCAAATGCAAGAGTGCAGGAGAACCAACCAGATGATCTAGTGGTAAAATATTGTTGTATGCACCCCAATCTCCAAGTGGTACGAGATTCCAGGAACTTTCCCAGGGTTTGGTTTCTTTGGAATGAGAGACAGCTTCCTGTTCTCACAGTGGCCGCCCAACTGCCCCAAAGGAGAAGCCCATAAGCAAGTAGGAGCTGAGCAGCAACATGCTTCCCTCTTGTTTGGTTGCTTGTGATCCTGGAGGTAGCTAACTCTCTCTAATCTCCAGAGACAGGTTTTCTGCCTGCTTCCTTCTCTGCCTCTCCCAGGAAATCGAGAGCTGCCCTCAATGTCACCGGCGCCAGCTGAAGGATTTCCTCGAATCTGAGATGCAGTGCCTGACCAGCTACCCTCTGCTGCTGGATAATATCCTCAAGCACACTGATGGTCTCTGTCTCTCCACATATGTGTGTGTTGGGTGCGGTGGGGATAGGGTTGCCATGTGTCCGGGAAAACCCAGACATGTTCTCTTTTGGGGGGCCAACATGCCCATCTGGGCAGATTTTTACACTTTAAGGAAATGTCTGGATTTTTTGGGCTTGGGCTGCTTTGTATGCCACGGCAGCTGCCAGCCCGAGTCGGGGAAAGAGGTATGAGGTGCAGCAGCCCTGTGTGCCTCTTTTGCTGGCTTAGGTTGGCAGCAGCTCAAGCTGTCCTCTATTTTGCTCTCCAAGATATGGCAACCCTAGGTGGGGAGGGTGTCCCAGAATACCTGCGTCTCTCAATGATTAAATGTTGATGTGCTTCCTAAATTTTGGAGGTTGTAAGATGCATTGAGCCTGCCTTACTAGGGAAAGACGGAACACAAAGGGATGATGGTGAGGAAGGTTGGGGGAGTGTTTATACAACCCCCCTCTGCTTGCATTAGTCAGGCTGAGACTGTAGGGTGTGAGTGTTGTTCGGCTGCCCACTTTCCTATCAGCAAACCAGGATGCTTTTGCCTTCTGCATCTGGGCTGCTGCTGCTCATCTGCCTTTCAGATTTGTTTGCTTTGCTCCTAGTTTGTTCTGTGATCACCTTGTGAGTCTCAAACTAATAAAACAAAGCCAACTTTGCCAGCAGCCTGTCAGCCCCGCTGTCTCTCTCACCCTGTCTCTCTGTGCCTCCTTCGCTCAGGGTTGACTTGGGTGCACCAGCACAACCAGAGCAAGGAAATCCTCCAGAGCGTGAAGAACAGGCTGAGGCAGGCGGAGAACCAACATCAACTAGGCACCTACCAGAATTGGCTGGATGCCAGGTCTCTGCAGAACAGCAGCCACCTGCTGGCCGTGGAATTCCAGGTAAGGCCTCCCCTCCGCCCTTTGCCCTTCTCTCAAGTGACTGACCTTAGCCTGCTCTTCCCTCTTTGAAATGATGCCTTTTCCTGTCCCTGCTGTGCAGAACCTTGATGTGAAGGACCATCAACTGATCCATGAGGGGCCTCTGAAGTTGTGCATCAGCAAGTTGAAGACTATGGGTACGTGATTGGAAGAAACAACCTCTCCTCCGAAACACAAACACTCACACACACACACACACACACACACAGAGAGAGAGAGAGAGAGAGAGAGAGAACAGACCTCTTATAGTGGAGGGATGTGTGTGCTTCCTCTCTGGTTGGCTTTTTATATCTCCCTTTTCTACTGACATGAATCAATGTGGGCTGTGGGTCTCTTGAGTCTAAAAGACCTGGAGAGCCACTGTTGCCAACCAGAGGAGACAAGGCTGAGCTAGACAGACCAAGCAAAGGGACCTCAGGTATATTTAAAAAAGATTAAAAGAACCAAGCAGTTTTAGAACATGATCCCTAAAACAAGTAGAACCTCAGCAGTTGAAACGCACATGGAGTACATGGGTGCAAGGGCCTGATTTGGTCCGGCATCCTTTGTCCCTCTGACCTGTGGGGCCTTTGGTCTGATTCTGCAGCCTGACACCCTGATATTCTCCTTGGGGTAAGTGGAGCAGGTGAGCAACAACCCCCCTCTGTGTGTGTGTGTCTCTTAGGACCTTCACATCCTGCTTCTCAAAGACCTGGTCATGTTCCTGAAGCGAAAGGGGCAGTGGCTGCGGCTTAAATTGCTCGGGAAGGAGAGCTCCCCCTTAAGTCCCGTTGTTCCTCTCAAGACCCTCCTTGTCCACCCCGTGGCCAACAGTAAGAAGGGGGGCCATAACACCATGGTTCCTTGCTGCCCCCTTGCCTGGGAAAGGGTGCCTGGTTGATGGGAGGGGTGGTTGGGTGATGATTGACCTCCCTGCGGTTCCCTGACTGCAGTAGAGTTTAAGCAGCTCTGCAATGGGTATTTAGACTCGGAAAACAGGGCCAAGGTGGGCATCTGCTCCTCACTCATTGGGGTTGTTTGGCTCACAGCGAAGAGAGTTGGCTTGGGCCATCTCTACCACCCATGGAGCTCATGGGCACTGAAAGAGGCAAGACTAGGAAACGTCCTGGACAGCAGCTCCCTGTCTGCAAAAAGCCTGGTGGCACCTCAAAGGCCGATTCTTTTTATACAGAGGGTTCCCTGTCTCAACAGAGGTGGAGTGGCCAAGCATGCAGACCATCATGGACCTCATGGGGCAGATCTCAAGGAATATCAAGAGGCTGAAGGTGAGAGGAGTCTTTTGGGGGGAAGGTGTGAGAGGGTGTCCTGGCAGGCCAAATAAATAAGGGTGGGTATTCCAGTCCCACTTCCTCCTCTGAAAGCTCTCAGCCCCAAGAAGTTTCCCATGTGGGCATGTGGCCCTTGGGGTGGAATAGAACCCCTTGCCACTCAAAAGCGTCTGGTTTAGAACCAGGGAGCCTTCTTAGCTGGGTGAAGGGGATGGTCACCCCCCCTGCGGCAGCTGCCCTCCTTCTTAGAGTCCCTAACTCCCCCTCCCCCTGGCTACCCCTTTTGCAGGAGATAGAAAAGGAGTGGTGGCAGCGTTACACGGGAGAGTCCGTCACAACCTCTCCCCAGTCATTTGAGATCAGCAACGCCCTGTGAATTGCTGCAGAAGAGGAATATCCAGCAGTGGTGGAGCATTCCCTGCCTGTGCCTGGGGTGGGTGCACCATGGGGGCAAGGCCGTGGGGACGGGGTGTGCTGCCAGAGCGACCCGTGCCCATTGCTGCAAAGCTGGGCACACTCACGGTGCCCCACAAGCCCAGCATCACTTTGTGAGCAGGCCCGCAAGTGCAAGTGCTGCTTTTGCAAGCTACTTAGGACAACTTTGTATATGTCTCTAGGATACTTGTTTTAGCTTTACAGTCATACCTCGGGATGAATAAGCTTCGGGTTAGGCATTTTCCAGTTGCACTCCACGGCGACCCAGAAGTAACAGAGCGCATTACTTCTGGGTTTCACCGCATGTGCATGCACAGAAGCACCGAAACGTGACCCGCAGACACAGGTTATGTTCGCTTCGGGATGCGAACGGGGCTTCGGAATGGATCTCGTTCGCATCCCGAGGTACCACTGTATTTTGAAATCAAAAGGTTTTATTCAAAATTTGCAGTGTTTTGCATTCAAAAAAGAGAGTTTATAGGCCTTAATTAGTAACATTATGTGTTACTAGTAACATTATTAGTTATGTGTTATTGGTTTGTTACTTTTTTTGTTCTTTTCATGTATTTTGTGCTTTTTTTAAAAAAAAATGTATTCGTACATTTCCCAGATTTTTTGTATATACACCGTACATTTTCCATTATAGGTCACTTCTCTTAGGACTTCCCAGTCCATCACTCTATGGCATTCTACCTGACATATCATGCTTAATGGAGCTGTAGGGAAGGAGGGTAAAAATGGTCTTGTGGGCAGAAATAAGCAGACGCTTCATCAGGCCTGTGGGCCTAAAATAAGCCCATCTATATTTTGTAATCAGAACCCCATCTATATTTTGTTAGTGATCAACAAATTGGTGGGCAATGGACAATAACTGACCAAACATCAAACTGTGGATAACAATTCTCTGTGAAATCATTTCCAGTGAAACAAAAAAGTATCTCCTGTGTTGTAGCAACCTGAGCCTGGTTAAGGGTTTATAATTCAGTTCGCCTTTGGCTTTCAGCTATTTTTTCAGGTAAGGTCTTGGTCCAAAAGTTAACTGCTTGCTCCTTCAGCTTCTTTGCTGGCTTCTGCTTTAAGCCTATTTCCAAGTATTGTTCAGCCGCATCGTACTGGGGCCAGTTCACCAGGCCAGCACCGTTCGGGTTCCTAGAAAACATAAAAAGAGGCCATCAGCTTCCCACAGGACCTGTTTTCCCAAATATGCTCACTCTTGTGGGTGATGGTGGGACAATTTGGGGTCATTTCACTGGAAGTAGGAACCTGACCACCTTGCAAGGCACACAAGCCAACTAAACAGGCTCCTGCTCTTCCCACTACACCCTCCTGCCTATATTGCTGCGCAAATCTATGTTTTATGGCGCTGATTGTGGGTCAGGGGTTTTGCTTCACTGACACATCCTTAAGCCTATAGAACATATATCTCACCACCCTGGTCACTCACCCCCCCAAACCTCCAGCCGGCCAATGTCTTTAAAATGTAGCGCCCAGAGCTGGACACTAGACTACAGGTGCTGCCTGGCTAATGCAGGATAGACTGACTCTATATGGTTTTCAACAATCTGAACATGATTCTGTCAATGAAGCCTAAGATTGCATTAGCTTTCAAAGCAGTTGCATCTCACTATTGGCTTATGTTCATCCTGTGATCTTCTAAGACAGGGGTGGCCAGCCCTCATGTGCAAACACTCTTGTTGGAGTCCCTGGACTCTAAGCTTCCAATCTTTTTTTTCTTTTCTTTAGTTGGTCTCTGACCTTCCTAGAAAGAAAGTTATCAACCAAAATGTGCAGCCACCCTTTTAAGTAATTTTTATCTGAAATGAGCTAGCATGACATCTTCAATCTGCCAAGTGAAGTCAGACCTCTGATTGATAAATGAGATGTCTGACCACCATGCAGTAAGGATCCCCAGGGTCCTAAACAGCTGCTAATGTCCACTTGCCTTTAGTGTGCTTTCTTCACTTATGTATTTTTAGTGGTCCTTGAAATCTCCGTAGTTTATATTTCCTTTTCCTCCAGCAACTGGGATGCATTTTTTCTGTGGTCAGCCCTCCCTAGAAGTTATTTTATTGCAAATACTACACAGTAAGTGTGTGTGAATGTTAAATAATTCCTCACCCAGAATGGCAAATTCAAATGGTGAAAATTTTTCAAAGAGGCCGAGGTATGTCTCCTGTTTTGCAGGAGCCGGAAGCCAGGCCCTCATTAAGAATTTGCTGTATTTTCACTTACAGTACAAGGGTTTATACATCTCCTTCAAAGTAAGTGTTTAATGGAGCTTACTCCCAGGTAAATGGGCATCTGATGGCAGCCTAGACTTTAGTGTAGGATTGACACTGGAGAAAAAAACAGGGTTATTCTGCCTTTAACAGCTGTATCTCCACAATGAGGGCTAGCAGGATATAGCTGGCTTCACATGCTAAGCAATAGATTGTCCTGGAGGAGTGTATGTGTGAGAGAGAGTAAAGGAGCCATGACTGTGGTCTAATTTTGTGTTATGCCATTTGTGTTATGCCACACCTTCATGGCAGCCATTTTGTGACTTGTGCCCATAACATTCTCTCAAAATTCAAAATACACCCACTGGTTCAAAATGGCCTATATTACAGTAACACAACATCAGCATTCTATTCTATTCTATTCTATTCTATTCTATTCTATTCTATTCTATTCTATTCTATTACTCACCCACTGCGAGCAAAATTAGCCCAATATTTCATAACCGTTTTGCTCAGTCTTTTCTCTTCCTCTGTTGCATCACCTGCAGACAAGAGACAAAAATACAGATGTAAGCCATTTTTAAAGATTATGGGATAGTTTTCAACTTTTACTCAGGGTAAATTAATAATTGCAGTGGGTCTACTCTTAGTAAAGCTTCACTGAATTTCACCCATTGGATACAACCATGGTGTTCCGCTGCCCCAGAAGCGGTATAGTCATGCTGACCACATGACCCAGAAAGCTGTGGACCAATGCCGGCTCCCTTGGCCTGAAAGTGAGATGAGCGCCACACCCCATAATCACCTTTGACTGGACTTAACCATCCAGGGGTCCTTTACCTTTTTTACCTTTTCTATGTATACCAAATACAAAAATGCAATACAATAATAATATCACAATAATAAAAATCACAACAAAGGAGCGATATAAAATATTGTTATCGGACTGGGTGGCTGGTGGTCTGGAGGATTACTTGCTCTCTGTGAAACCAAAGATGAGGCTTTGGAGATCTTCTTGGAAACCTAATGGGGAAGCAGAGTGTTAATGCTATGAGCCCTTCCTCCTTATGCTCTGCCTGTATACAGAAATAATTCAGTTTCTCTTGCGTAACAATAATAGCTTCATAACACACAGAGTGGCTCTTTATGGGGGGGGGAACAACAGAAAAAATGAGTTATATAAAATTCCTATACATTGCTACAGGTCACCTAGCCCTTAATACACTAGTGGCCAAAATTGTGGAAACCTTTTGGGAAAAGTGTATTTCCAAAGTTTGATGGCTCATAACACCTGATTGGCTCTCTAAACACTCATGCTCATTGGCTACATTCAAATTAAGGAAAGCTACTGCATATTAACCTAAGCAAGTTGTGCTTCCTTTTTCTGGTTATTTGGCTATAAATTTTGATAGAGTACAGATAACTGAACAAACTTTGCTGCATTCTTCATTATCTTTCCATTGATATATAATTTTATGGTATTACTCAAAAAAAGTGGTGTTATGAGCCATCAAACCTCAGAAATACACTTTTTCCAAAAAGTTTCCATAATTCTGGCCAATAGTGTAGGTCACTTTCGTTCTGCTTGATTGCAGCTGGAGTCACAAGATACTCACTAAGGAGTCCTATAGATTAGGGAGACATGCTTCAAAAGAGCTTCACTGCCTGGTGCAAATGGATCTCCTGCAGCTTTCGTCCATAACTTCACTCCTCTTGCCATTTAGGCTCAGTGAGAGTCACTCATGCAATCAATGCTGGGATGCCAGGACCAGAAGCGAGAGGGGTGGGAAGTGTTGGATTGGCAACAGTGGCTCATACCTTCACAACCTTAAAATCTGACTGCTGTTAACAAATTGCATGTGGATCTGCCTTGGACAACAATTTAAGAGTCTTCAAAATGCAGCCACCTACAGCCCCTCTGTGACCACCAGCAATCCTGAGGTTTAAACATCCTGTTTAGATGTGATTACATGGCCATCGTTTGCAGATGAAACCAAAATATCATTAATTGCTAAAAATAAAATGTAAAAAGTTTTAGAGAGCAGAAGCACCTCACCTGCTAAGAAAGGCTTCCCCAAGACAAAGCAAATTTCATCACCATGGTCTGCTTTAACATAGTCCGGTTTAAAGCCCAAGGATGAACTTGGACGGTGCTGAAATTCATACACATAGGCTGGGTAGCCAGCATCTGGAAAAAACCAAAGATGTTGTTAGAAGGGGGCATTCTCTGGCACATTACCCAAAATAAACATAAAGCAACATGCTGAGTGAGTAGCTGGTGGAAGAAAACAGGAGGAAACCTTAAATTTATTTATTTATTTACAAAAACATTTTCATTTAGGTCCAGAATGGTCTGCTGTGGGGGAGAAGTTCTGGATTCAGTCTGTGAGCCAGTTCTAATTGCCCACTCTTGATTTTGGAACTGGAACCGGAAGTCATTTTCAGAGAGTTGATGACAGTTTGAAGGGGGATCACTGCTTGTGGGGCAGGTGTTCACTTCACTTTATCTCTCGGAAGAAAGAGGCTTTGAAGAGTTTTTAATTGTTTCCAAAACCAGAGGGACTCACCCATACTCTTGACTTCTTTCCATGTGGAGGTTCCAGGGGATATTCTCTCAACTAGCATAGCCACTATTTCCCAGACTTCAAACTGAAAACCAGAGTTCCTGGTAGAAAGTAATCTCCATCCCCCTACCCCAACCAAATGCTTGCATGGCCATTCTGAGAGAGCCACAGGCAGTTAATGCTGAAGGCCAGCAGCTCAGCGGTGGAAGCAAATAAATCCTTCACACACCAACAAACCTGGGCTCAGCATCTGCAGCTGTCATGAGTGGAGACATCTTGGGTGGAGGGGGGAATCAATTCAAGAGGAAGGTGCTCCACATTTTTGCAATTTTTGTGTGAAGTCCTCATGAAAACCCACAAGCATTTTAGTGCAAGTTTCTCCTAACAACAAATTTTTGCAAGCAATTTTCCCTAACACAATGCATTTTTATGTGTAGTTTTCACTAATATACAGATTTTTTTTCTTCAAACTTTCCCCAGATGCACACACTATTTGGTGGGGAAATTGCATCACAAAATTGGGAGAAATACTAATTTTGAAGGCTAGCTATGTTTCACTTTTGTTTCAGAAAGTGTGAATTGGTGAGGTTCATGTTAAAATCCCAATGAAACCCAATTTATGCCTCATTCCTAGTGAGCAGCTAGCTCACTTCTACTGGCCCAGTCAAGACCACCTGTGATGCAGCAACTCTGACAGCAAACTGACCTCTGTGGAGTTTCGCTGTTAGGATGGCTGGAGCAACAAATACCACATCTCCTAGCAGCTCGAGGAGTTTGTCCCTGAGCTGTACAGGGTCGCTAACATCCTTCAGATATTCATTGGCAACTATAGGAACGTGCTCCGGAGCGACACCCTGCAATGGGCAGATAAAGGCAGGAAGAGTTATTGAACAGTAGCTTCCCCCATGATCAAGGACAAGGGCAACATTGAACCACATTATTCCCTTCTGCTGGGAACCCTGTAATTTCCCTTCCCTGCCATCCCCTTGATGAAGATGCTGAAAAGAGTTCTTTAGACGGCCAGAAAGCTGCCAGTGGATATCAAGCATCTCCAAAAAAGCCCCTCCTTGCCACCCCAAGCAACAATTCACTTGGGGAAGTACAGCTAATGACATTAGAGAGTCAATCAGTCTGAGAAAGCCCCTTACCAAGATTTGCTCTGAGCTGCGCAGCACAAGAGTGACCGTCTCTCTGTCAAGCCCCTTGGTGGCATCCGGCAACTGCAGCATCTAGAGGAGAAGAAGCAGAGCTCCTAGTTCTAGATGTGAGCACTAGGGGGCTCCAGAAAGGTGCATGAAAATACACACACAATGTCTTACACTAGGAATAATCCATCCTGCTTCATGGTTATTGACGCCAATGATGAATGGAACATTATTAATTCTTTTCTCTTCAAGGAGGTCCTTGGGGTGTTTTGGAAGAAATAAACCATCAACACTTGCAATGTAGAACACAGTGTGCTGGAGGGAGGGGAGAATAACAAAAAAATCAGTTATTTGCTTTTGCTTCGGTCTTCAGGGCTGGAACTTTCATTTATGCCTAACATAAATATGTCCAATGTTCTGCTCTTCCTCTTGCTCTTAAAGGCATGGCATTCTTGTGGTGAAGCCTGTTTGTGGCCCACTTACTGGTCAAAGGGTCAATGCCATGAAGAGTACATGAGAAAAGGGATGCTGGTACTTAACACCAACAAGATTACAGGACATCTTATAAAATGGGGCTGGGGAGTCTTTTCCAGCTTGAGGGCCACATAGCCATATAGACAGCCTTCTGAGAGCCAATGCCAATAGTAGGTGGGAGCAGATGCAGAAGGGGGAAGAGCAATGGACACGACTCTTATCTTTACACAGAAGGGGGGGTGGCATCCAGCCACATAAAAGTGTGCATCCGGATTCCATTTATGGATCCTGAGGTGCAGAGAACTCTTGCCTGCAGTTTGAAAGAGAAGCAGGCTTAGAGCTGCCCTCAGGCGGCTGCTGTTGGTGCCTGTTCTCATGGTAAGTGTTCTTCACTTCCTTCCCTCCCCTCAGGCCATCCTCATTCCGTTGATTTACTCACTTCTTCTTCTGCGCCAAGATGCATTGTGGTGAAATCCTGCAATTACAGGAAGGGGGAAGGGGAGAGGACTGGCGTTTAAAGGTCTGCAGACATAAATCACTGAGAAATTGTCTTACACATAGGAAAACAATAGGAGCTGTGCACAGGGCAGAAGAGGGCAAAGCCCCAGGAGCGGACGCTACCTTGGAAGGAAGCGAATTAAACAACCAGTGGGACATTTGCAGGAGCAGCTTCTCTTCTGCTGGACAGGCTCCAAGGTGTGAGGAGCTTCACTCACGCAGGGCATTCTACTCTCTCCCTGCTCCCTTACCTGTAGTGCTTCCCACCTCCCAACTGGTAACATTTCATGGCCACTAAGCATACTCAATTCTCATGCCGTGATGGAACAGGGATAGGAGGACTAAAAATGATTGTGCCATTATCATCATCATCATCATCATCATCATCATCATCATCATCATCTCTACATCTAGTTCCACTCTGAGATTCCTTAACCTCTATCAATACTTTTATCTCCCCATCTAGGCAGAGGGCAGCATCAGATTGCAGCACATTTACCATCTTGAGAGTCGTCTGTAGGATCTCGTTCTCCGTCTTTCCCTTGAGGCAACGAATCATCTCGACTGAGCTGGATGTCGGACAATCAGCAGTCGCAGCAATTTTCTGCAACCATGAGAAAGAAACCAGTCCTGGCTGAGCGTCAGAAGGAACAGGCTGTTCTGCTCCATCAGGAGAAGCACAAATATTTTTAATACTTGTGTGGACACAGCGAGGTGTAAACAAAAGGAGCAGAGGAGGGCAGAGGAGAATGCTTCAACGCCATGGAACTAAGTGTGCAACACACAGGGAGGCCCCAACATCCTGAGACAGGTGTAAGAACCCTGAGACAGTTGCATGTCACCCTAAGAAACAGGCCACTTCATGTTTTGGTTTTCTTGTTTTAAAAAGTGCAACACAGCTCCTTGGACTACACACATGCTCAGCTCTAGCTGCCCTCCCTTGCCAATTCCGTCTGTTTTCAAACACTGACCTTTGCAAACTTTTGTGGATCAACCTTTGTGAGAGCCTCCATGACAGAAACGCCACTTTCAGAGATAGCTTTGTGGAACAAACCTTTTGACAGAGGAGATACGACCTGAGAAGGGAAGCAGGGAAAACAGACATCCCAGTCAGGGCCTTGCCATATCACTCCTATTTCCAAAAGGGTGGCAATGTCCAAGCATTCCTCCTGAGGGGTGCTGGACTTCCTCAGGGTCTCATCAGCGAGAAGATCTGTAATACCGCCTTCACCCTGGGTCTCATCCCTCCAAAGTGCAGGCACAGGTGAGAGTGGCAGAACTATGGCACACCCTCTGTTAAGGGGAGCAACAGTGGGCCCCAACACACTGGGCCAGAGCCCTGCATTAACTATGTGAGTGGTCTGCAATCCACTCCGATATTCTGAAGGTCTGCCAAAAGGAAGTTTGAAAACCAGCGCATTAGCTACTTTGACCCTTAATGTGGATGATTAGCAATTCTGACACACTTCAAACCTGTCTAGGTTCAATTGTTACCCACTAAAGCAGGGAGGGGTGGTCTCCCCCAGAGAGACAGCCTTCTTGGCATGTGACACCATTTGTTGCCCTTTGAATGTTACCCCAAACAGCAGACCCTCCAAGTGTCCCTATTTTCCAGGGACGTCCCTGATTTAGAGAAGTCGTCCCGGTTTCTGATCCCAGAATGTCCCTCTTTTCCTTAGGCTGTCCCTATGTTCATTGGAGAAATGTTGGAGGATATGGAGTTATTTGACTCCTGAGCCATCTGAAGGCAATCCTGTATAGGGAAGGTTTTTTTTTTTTAATGTTTAATGTTTTATTATGTTTTTATACATGTTGGAAGCTGCCCAGAGTGGTCGGGGCAACCCAGGAAGATGTGTGGGGTATAAATAGTAAGATTATCTTTATGGAATGGGACATCCCTATTTTCACTGGAGAAATATTGGAGGGTATGAAACAGCTGTCACCAGCTTGCCTCATAAGCAGGGCCAGGCTTTGAACCCCACCCCACATTTCACTATTAGTCATGGCAGTTCAGAGCCTGGGGGCAGGGCTGTTTAGAGAACCACTGACCGTTAGAAGGTTAAATATGCTTTTTTTCAATTTCTATCTGAGTAATAGAAATAAACTATAAATTTATTCTCAAATTAAACTGCTTCAGAGTGACATTAATTTGCAAAACAAAAAACCTTCAATATCAGTTGCCCATTTTGTTTTATAAGCTTTCCTATTCAGGGTTTTTTTAATGCAACATTTCAATTAAAACACTTCTTGAGTTGTTTTCAGAATAGTTTCTGCACATTATTAATCTTAGGTTTATGGAGCAATATAACAAATGTAATATTTGCTAAGTTTTATAGCTAATCACTTGCAATAGAAGGCCTGGAAATTCTATGAACAAAAAATAAACAAATGAATCATAAATTAAATAGCACATGTTATGATCCCCATGAACCTACATGGGCAGAAACACTGAATCCACCTGCAGACTCTCCAAATATAGTAACTGATCCAGGATCTCCTCCAAAGGCTGCAATGTTCTCTTGGACCCATTGGAGAGCTGCCACTTGATCCAGGAGGCCCCAGTTTCCACGTGCAAACTCATCACCAGTACTGGAATGAAAAAGAAGCACAGAAATGATAGCCTCAGATGGTATTTGGGGATTCAGAAAGAAGACATCTACAAAAGGAAATAGTCAACATTCCTTATTTTCACTTTGTTGAAAAGCAAATCGAAAGGAGAGATTCTCCTAGCTGAACTACAAACTTTCATTCCTTCAAATGTCCTAAGGCTGTCCTAATATCTGTACTAAACCAGTTCAGGTAATGTTCCACCCAACACAGCATGCCTGTCATCCTCAACATGTGTAGACAGCTGTAACACTTGCATGCAGGACTGTATTGTGTTGCATGTCAAATGCAACACACATGGGCCAGAGCAACACAAACCACATCCCATATACCATCCAGAAATTCATAGTGCAATTTGTGTTTATATGCATTGAATCTTTACTTGCAGAGACCCTGTTTCAAATGTTATGCCCGCATGCAGATGTTAAGAGGTCTTGGAGGTAGGACAGGCATGACAAGGAACAATGCAATCCAATCTTAGCCTGAAAGGGGTGGGTGGGTGTAGATGTAGTACAGCATCCTCCCCCATGTTGCAAAGACAGAAGATCTGCCAAACCTGATTAACTTTTTGAAAAGCAGCCACAATACAAAACCAACCCATGGGCATGCAACGAGAAAATGCCCTGCAGTAATTCCTTTTAATCTGGTTACCCTGAAATGAAGCAGCCTCTCCAGAAGCAATGATGTCTCACTGGACGTGTCTAGATTTGACCACATGCACATTGGAGGGGAGGAAGGGGTGTTGTAGAAGATGTGAGTATCTGAATAGAAGTTCCACTTTCCCAGTCACTGACAGCCAGTCTTAGAGACCTGGGCTTGAAATCCAGGTTCAAATCCCCACTTAGCCTCAGGCCAGAGGTCTATTGCCTCTTCTACTTCACAGCTTGTTGTGACGGCAGAACAGGGACACGAAAGCTGTAATCCTAAAAAAGCACAGTCCAAGCTCCTTTGTGCCCCTCCACCCAGCCCTGGAAGCCTCCAGCAGCCTCCTACTGGCCACCACCTGCAAAGGGCCACCACCCGTGGTCACTTGATGGTATGATGCACAATGTGGTCTTAGTGGTGTGGCACTTTGCCTGCTCACCCCACCTCCTGCCCTGTCCCCAGGGAGAGGGTTCCCAGTTTGAGGCTCCAGTGTGTTGTCAGCAGTGGGAAAGGCAGGCTCCGTTTTCCCTGTGGCACTCCAGCACTGGCCGTGGAAAGCTTTTGGTTGCCACCAAGCAATCCATTCTGTCCCCCACGAGGGAGGAAAGCAGCATGGGTGGCCTGTGGATGGGTGGTCCATCCAATCCCCAAGAGGAACACCCGGGTGGGGACCTATCCTTCTGCTCCACTCACGTTTCAGGCACAGTCTTGAAGGAGCTTGGGACAAAAGTCTTACCTATAAAAACCAAGAATGCCCAGCCGGTATTGAATTGCCACCACCACCACGTTTTCAAAAGCCGCTAACGCAGACCCATCGTATGTGGATGCAGCACCCACCAGTAATCCTCCTCCATGGATCCAGACCATCACCTGAAAGCAAAAGATAGAATTTGGGGCTCGTGCTGGGTTACCTGCCCCATCAGAGTGGGTTTGATGTCATGCTTCACTTGTATGTTTAGCCTGGAAAAGAGGAGACTGAGAGGAGATAGGATAGCCATTTTCAAATATCTGAAGGGCTGCCACATGGAGGAGGGAGCAAACTTCCTTTCTCCTACTCCGGAGGGTAGGACTCGAACCCATGTTGCAGGAAAGGCGATTCCAACTAGACATATGGAAAAGCTTTCTGACAGTAAGAGCTGTTCAACAGCGGAACAGTGTCCCTCGGGAGGTTTTCGACTCTCCTTCCTTGGAGAATTTTAAGCAGAGGTTGGATGGCCATCCAACCATGGATGCTTTAGCTGAGATTTTTTTGCCTTGCAGGGGGTTGGACCAGATGACCCTTGGGTCCCTTCCAACTCTAAGATTCTCTGATTCCTTCAGTAGTTGGATCCTGAGCTGTTTAAGGCTTTGTATGTTTATATAGCTGTGGGCTACATTAGGCAGGCTGCTTGACCAAGACACATAATAGGGAGTGAAAAGCCCTGAAGAAGAACATGGCTTACTGGTAACTTGCTGTTCTTGTCAGAACAAGCCGGGGTGAAGATGTTTAAGTACAGACAATCCTCAGAAATACTCAAAGAGACCTTTTCCTTTTTGTTCGTAAACATATCTGACAGCATTTGTCCCACTTCCGGATCCTGCAGACACCTTGACAAAGCAAATAAAAGAAATAAACTAATTCAGTACACACAGTGCGAAAAAAGCTTCTCATATTTGACTGTCAGCAAACACCAATTGAGTAGAGAGGAAGCAAAGTGTTGCATGTCTTAATGCATGGGGGGAAGCAATTCTGGTGAATTGCTTTGTTGGAGAATGCCAACAAAGGACTAAAACCCAGGGCGGCAGCCTGTGCCCGCCTGATCTGATATAGTCTTTTCCTTAAGTGGTGCTGCAGAACAAAGGCCACCAAGCCTCTAAGACAAGCCTTCTGAGTAGCTGACTGTTGCCCTCTCTTTGCTATGGTACAAGTTTCAGCTTTCAGGTCAGTTTAAAACCATTTAAAAGCTAGTTTGTTTTAAAAGCTAGTTTGTTTCATGGAGGATTGGGGGGGCGTCCTGGGGAAGCAAAGCATCTCTCAGGGGAAAAGAGGGAAATGCTGTCTTAAACGGGAGCCATTTCTTGGGGGGAAGCCAGGGGATCCTTGTAGGGGGTGATTCAATCATTAGGGACATAAATACTTAGGTTTCTCATTGGCATGCAGAGTGCATGGTAACCTGCCTGCTTGGTGTGAAGGTTGCAGATACCACACACTGTCTAGAATACTATAGATCGGGGTAGTCAACCTGGTCCCCACCGCCCTCTGGTGGGCGTTTCAGGATTCCAGGTGGGCGGTAGGGGGTTCTACACCACTTGTTACTGCAGCACAAGTGGGCGGTAAAGAAATTTTACTATCAAGAAAAGATGCATTGGTGGGCGGTAAGTATAAAAAGGTTGACTACCCCTGGTCTAGACCGAATAAAAAAAATAAAAGATAAGAAATTGTGGGGTCTGGATGGCATCCACCCAAGAGACCTCAAATGCTGATCTTCTAACAAAAATATGTAATTTATCCCTCAGATGAACCTCCATTATCTGCGGACCAAGGGGATTTTCATATCCAGAGGGCATTCAGAAAATTACAGCCTGGTTAGCAAGTTCTGTTAGGTCAACTTTTCTAACAATCCCAGCAGGTAATACTTTTTCGGGGTGACCCAACTTCCCCTGCACTTGACTTACATTGGTGGGTAGGAAGTTGCATCTCTCAGATTGCTCCAAGGTTCTGCCGGCTGTGGTTGGGAAAACCGTAATGGCCCAAGAGGTGGCTTTGCATAGGGGATTCCAAGGAAAACATCCACCTTTCTCTCAGCACCACTGACTTGGACCTGCTGGCCCTGGAGCTTCCCATACTTGGTAAGCACTTGTGGAGGAGAAGGATTTTGGCCTGCGAGTGCATATACAGAAATGTCTGAGTCAGAGAACCATTGCTATTCCTGCACAGAAGCTGCAGAATTTCAAGCTTCTAAATGCTAACTATTCAGCTCTCCGGTGTCAGAAGCAGGGTTAGATTTCACATCTGGAAAAGCCTGGGAGTCCTGAAGCAATGCTGCTCTGGCCTTATGCGGCCAAAGGCAGCACAAGCTCCACTTTCCGCAAGCCGGGCAGAACTTGACTGACTTTGGGGATATCCTTGACTGACTTAATGCACCTTTTTACTACTTAATCAAATCATAAATTAGAGGAAGACTCACTGGCCACCTAGGTTGTGTACACACCAGACATTTACACACACACTCAAATCCTGGAAACTATATTTTATTAAGTGTACTGAGAGTTGTTGGGAAACCCCTCATGGAGCTACAATTCCTAGCACCAGAACAACTCCTGGGATTCCTTGGGGAGAAAAAACATGATTTAAATGTGCTTTAAAAGTATGGCATGTGTGCCACCCTAGTCCCCACCCCACCCCTGTCCACACTCAACTTGATCCAAGAATCACTGCCTTTGAAATAAATATTCTCTTACTAATATCTCTGCCTTGGTCAATGGGGACACCACTGTTTGCGTTTCCTCCGCCTCATCACACTGTTGACTGCTGAAAGCTTAGTATGTGTACCCACACAGGACTTCCCAATCTCTCTCTCTCTCTCTCTCTCACATTCCTCCTGGCTGAGAACTGAGTGCAGATGGTGTAATTATCTGGGATTCCCTCCGGGGAACTATTTCCTCCACTGGAATCTTCCCTCCCAACCAGAGCACTGGTTTTATATTCTCCATGGGTGTTTTCTTAACAGCAGTCCCACAGTTCCCCTTCCTCTTCCACCTTCTCAGCAGGAGGATTGTACACCCCCCTTCTCTTTTATCGTCCCCTTTTTTTCTGCACAATTTGCTTAGTAACTTCCCCTCCCTCCCTCTGTGTTCCTTTGGGTCATATTTTAATCCTGGGCATCAACAGCAGCGGGAAGAGACTGTGTGATTTGGCAGCATGAACGTGATCGTAAATGCAACCTATTAGGGCTTCAGCATGCAAAACAACAAGAATTGTCTCAGTTTAGCAAGTTTTGTCTTGGTAGCAGAGTTATATCCCAGGTGGAATCTACACACATATTAAAAAACGCCATGAACATGCTTTTTTTTAAAAAAAGAAAAGTTTTGAAAAATACATAGAATTTTGCATAGCTCACTCTCACCATCTAGTGTCACATTTGTATATTTCACTTTACAGCACATTTAAAACGTTTTGTTGTTTTTTGCAGCTGTGTAGCTGAGTCCCCAGTTTGAGTTCCCCCGAGTGAGCTTGGCCCGCGTGAAGCTCCCCTTCTGCACCTCAGTGTCCTCCTCTGCTACCATCTCTAATCCTGGGTTTGGGGGCTTAATGTGCCTCACAGGTCAGAACTGGAAGTGGGGCAACCTTGCAGCTGAGGCAGGAACCCCAAATGCCCACTTCCAAAGCTTTCCAAGTTGTCAGGTGGAGCCATGATGCCATATTAGACCTGAGGCTCCAGCTGAACGGGAAAGCTGTGGGATCATAGAGACATGTTGGGTGATGAAATCTTGTTTGGCTCAACAAGCCAGAGGTCTAGAAGGATGGGCATTAGAGGGAAATAGCCACCGGAGCCATCACTTGCCCCCAAGTCAAGACCCCAGTGAAGGGCAGAGTTACACACAGCCCAGGGACCGCCAAACCCTTCCCCCACTGCAGCATTTCCACTTCTGAAAAAGGTGCCTGGGATGACGGAGTTAGGAAACTGCCTGACCCACACCTCCAGCTGCCTTGATGAGCTGCTGGCAGGACTTCTCCACATGTACCTTTCCTCCACTCTTTCTAGGCATGAACCATACCTGCTCTGGAGCATAGGACTCGAACCAATGGCTTCGAGTTGCAAGAAAGGAGATTCCGAATAAGCATTCGGAAAAGCTTTCTGACAGTAAGAGCTGTTCAGCAGTGGAACAGACTCCCATGAGAGGTGGTGGACTCTCCTTCCTTGGAGGTTTTAAATGACCTAGATGATTTAAAGCTTCATGTACAAGTGCCCTTTCCCCCCATCCTGCCACTTTCTCCACAAAAACCTGTTCTTTAAAGCTGAATTGGAGCAAACATCAATTTGTGGAAACCACGAATTTGCTCCAATTCAGCTGTAAAGAGCGGGTTCCCGTGGAGAAAGCTCAGGAAAAAGAAAACAAACAAATGCTCAGACACAGAGCAGTAAAGATCCAGGCAAAAGCTAAACGTGGATAATTGTTTTATTTGTTTGCTTGATGGTTGTTTGCAAATTTGAATAAATTTTTATATATAAAAAATCTAAAATCTTACCTTCAGCTGTCAAAACGGTGGCCCAGGAGGCCAGGATCAGAGGGAGCAAGTAAGCCATTGGGCCAGCCATCGAAATCTTCAGCCTACTCAGATGCCTGAAACACAAGTAGCTTCTTTCAGTGCAAAGGTTGGCATTGGCAAAGATAAGCAGTAAGGATTGTGTAACATCTGATGCCAGGAGAGTTCAGTTGCAGAGGAAAGGCCTGCGATTAACCTTGAACGGGGCTTGGAGATGGTCCAGCAGCAGCAGCTCCATCTCCCTTAGCAATTCCATTAATAATTAAGCAGGGGGTGCACTTGAACCCAAATTGATTCAGAAGGACAAAAAAAGGCAGAATTTTAATAATACTGGTTGATACTGGTTGGTATTTACGCACCTAAAAAGCAATTCTTTTCAAAAAACTATAAACAGAACTACTTGAATTTACAGATCAGAAGATTATTTTAATGGGAGTCTTAAATGGAGTTCCAACTTTAGAGAAAGACAGATCAGCCAGGAAAAAAGAGACCAAAGAAGGTAAACTGCCAAAAACATTTCGTATGCGACAACGGCCGCGAGAGTTCTACTAGCAGAAGGATGGAAGGATGGCAGACTGAAGAAACCCCAACTAAAGAATCGTGGCAAGAAAAACTGAGATGGAAAGGAATTGCTGAAATAATTAACAGAAGTGGAATACAAAAAGGGAGGTGTGAGGAGGTCGCGGAAATAAGTGAGTGAAAGATGGGATAATGAAACTGTTTGATTTGTTTTATTGTTTTTTGTTTTGCTTTGTAAATTTAATGTATTGTATTGGGTTTTTTTAGTGTTTAATTTTTTTGGAAAAATAATAAGTATTATTAAAAAAAGAAAAGAAAAACTGATGGACTATGCAGAAGTGGCAAAACTGACATACAAGCTACAGGACAAGGATAACTGTGACTTTAAAGATGAATGGGAACCCTTTACAAAGTATTTGAAGACGCAACAAAGCGAACTGGACTCCTTGGCTGGTTTTGAATAAACATTCACAAATTTTTTATTGATAATAATCAGCTAAATAGTGAGGATCTATACAACTTTGTAACATGCAGAAAACAGCATTCTCAAGGAAATCAAAGACTGGAACTGAGGGAAGCCAGGCGGTGGGGGTGGGTGGGTTTTGTGTGGGAGGGTGGGGGGAGGGAGGAAAAATGGGGGGGAAATAAGGATGATATGTTTCTGGATAATATGTTTTGTTTTAATTTTGAATAAAAAAATTAAGCGGGGGGGGGGGGAGGCTGTCAAGGGAGGCCAGACTCTGAAACACTGTCTGGTTTTAACCCCTGGAATTTGCAAGATGCGAGACTGTGCTCATTTACCAGCAGAACTCTTGGAACACAGATTGAGTTGCCCTCAGTTGACTTCTGGCTTTTATGCAATGCCACCCCTGAACTAATCTGCAATAGGGGAAAGTACTTACTGACCTTACACAGTTGTTTGTAAGAATTGCAACATGATGATATGCATGCAAAGCGTTTCTAAAGTGCTTTGTTGCTAAGGCTCTAAACTTTGTTAGACCACTGAATTTAGATCAAGAGTCTGCGCAGAACTCCTTTTTCAGATAGAATGGCAACAGTACACTTAGCTTGGCCAGAGTAATGTGGCTCCTTCACACTGAACTGAATGCAAAGCTGAATTATGGGACAGCAAGGCAACAGTCCTAAACACATTCTGCAGCAATAAGCAGAACTTCGTTCCAAGCACATATATTTAGCATTCATGTCTTTTATTGCCAGAGTTGCAACATTACATGCACCCAATTGTGAAGCTATGAGATATTTCAGGGGTGCCAGCACATTTCTCAGGTTTGTTTTCCTTAGAATAAAGGTCACAGTGGCGTCTTTTTTGTGATATATGATTTTATGTAGCCACACACGTAGCCTGAGCATAAGACGGAAGGGCTCACGATACAAATACTCCCAACAGATCTTGCTCCCCTGTGAGGTTACTAGCTCCCCTCTTCGCTGCCTCAGCCTCTGTGGTGGCTGACAATCTGTTGAGCATTCATTCTGATTTGCTTGCAGGCAGGCTATGCAATATTGTATCAAGAAAGTGTGCCATTCCTGGTCCCTTATCACCAAAAAGTGTGAGGGTTTTTGTTTTTGCTTTGTTTTTGGAGGGGGGAGCAAGTGTATTAAGCAAGAACACCAAATCAACTCTAACCACACAACCTGAACCTGTTGGTATGGGACCGAAGACGTCCTCAAAATATCAACAGACTGGAAGTACCCCATGTCTCTTCCTAGCCCAGTTCAAGATTCGACTGTCACCTGGGACTATTCGCTGATAACCTCCAGCCAGGTGAGGAGGACATACCTGCCCCCTTTCTGGAAGCATCTCCAGTTAGTAATTTTTGTAGCAAGCAGCCCCCTGCAAATAAATACTTAGCAGACTAGACCAGGGCCATTAACCTTAATGAAGACACTTAGTTTAGCTGGTCTCTTTTTCTATAGAATCCCGTCTTGTTTTATTTTGAATCTGCCTCTAAAACAGAGTGATTCTGTGTGTGTGCTGCCGTCACTGTCTTGGAGAGTCATGTGCTGGGGCCACACAGCGCAGAAAGCAGCACACAATAAAGATGGCTTTTATCATTACTGTATCACTTGTTGCCACACACACATTTGGCTTTAAGTTCAGCGCCTGCTGAAGTGGTGTATCTGTCAATCACAGCATGCTGTCTCTCTTTGATTCCTTCTGTGTCTCTCTGCCTGTGCATCGTAAGAGGTGTGTGTGTGTGTGTGTGTGTGTGTGTGTGTGTGTGTGTGTAAGCACTCACTGTTGTAAGCAGCAAAGCAGTGTTTCCTTTATAATTTTATAATGGTAGTAACGGCAATCATTACACAAATACACAGGCTTGCTGTTAACAACCCATGTGGCTTGCATACGCTGCCATGTGGTGCCCACGAGGGGAGAGACACTGTCAGTCACAAGGCCCACACAAGCCCTCTCCACACCAAACAAACACAGTGATATGCAAAAGCATCAGATTTGCTCGTCCGCAGGCAGTAGTGGAAGCAAACCCACCCCAGCTGCTCCTCTTCGACTTAGGATGACTCTTAGGGAGCAGGCAGCACTTTGCCACTGGCAGCTCCTCTGAATGAAGCTGTAGGGGAGGGCTAGGGAATAGGATCTGGCTGCCAGGGCTGTATTCTGCGCTCCCATCCCAGTCCTTTTGAGCCCCCTTGGCAGGCAGGTGCAGCTGTCGACCTGCCACTCACCTGACATCACCACAATGCTGGGTGGCCCAACTTCAAGGGGAAGAAGCAGGAGCAGGAGCTGTAAACACACACCTGACTCTTCCCTTTCTTCCCCTGCAGCCACACCTGAACTCAAAGGAAGAAACCCCGCCCAAGGGGGCTTGCAGGTGCCTTTGGCAAGGATTCTGCTGAGTGGAGCTGATCCTGCAGAGATTTCATGCTGCCTTGCAAAGCCACTTGGGGAGGGCGGCATGAGAAGGGAGCAACAACCATGCACCCTTCGTTCCCAGCCACACTTTTGCTGGTGAGGCCGGGGTCGAAGGGAACATGGCTGGTGTGCCCTTCTTATGCTGCCCTCCCCCGGATTTGAGCCTTGCAAAGCCATTCTGGGAGTGCAGTGTGAGGACACAACAGGCATGCCACTAGGGACTGGTGTTGCTCCAGCAGTGACGAGGGCTGGCTGGGTGAGCTAAGTGGGCTCCATTTGTTCTTTGTGTCTTGCCCCGTGTGAGCGCATGTGAACTGGGCATCATGGAGACACATGGCTTTTCCCGCTTCTAGCTCAGGATAAGTGAGCAGGAAGGGGCAGAGTCTTGCAGCTCTGGAATGTGCCTTTTGGGGGTTTGCCTCACTCTGGAAGTTTGATGTGGGTTTTGCTTCTGGGGTGTTTAAACTGCTGCCTTCAGCTATGCTTAACCTGTATACATCTGTAAAGAAACTCTAATATTATGAAATGGCCTCAGCGACCTCCTTCCAAAGGCAAACAAACTTGTGTGAGTGGAGCTGACCTGGAACTTCTCCCCACTTGGAGAAGCAGGCTGAATAAGAACATTATCAAGGATTAATTTAATCATTAACCATCTTTAGCAGTTCACAGACTGCTGTTTAAATATGCCCATGGAATTTGATTTCAATATTTATCAGACTGCCCAGCCCCCACCCCAAATGGGAACTGTAGTTTAAGGGTGCTGGGAACTGCAACTCTGTGGCATGCAAACTACAGTTCCCAGTGTTTGATAGTTGATATCTTTACTAAGCCACTCTGGGAATTTATCTGAAGGGTACTAGGAGTTTACGTCTGATAGGAAACAAAAGCCATAAACAGATGAGGAAGCAAAACAAATTTTAAGCAAATGATAACATTGAAATACCTCTTTAAAGCTCTACTGATAGTCAATACCATAAATTCTACATGAATTACTACATGCTACATGACTAATACGTTCTTCCCCCTGTACTTCTCACATAAAGCGACAGAGGCCGAGAAAGAGCTCAGCAGAAAAATGATGAAATACTGGAGCAACTTTGCCCGAAATGGGTGAGATTCTTGGCTATTTCAAAACACTATGCTAGAGGATAGATTACCAAGGAACCACCCACTAACAGCGTCTCGTTGTTTCGGATTGAGCCTCATCCAGTCCGTCACCATGACCAGGCACCAGTTCAGCACACCAACCATCTCAGCAGCAGAAAGAGAGATGCGTGCTGTCAGCATACGGATGGCAATACGCTCCGAGATGCTGTATGGGCCCCACTCAGTGGCTTTACGTACATGCCAAAAAGTACAAAACCAAAATGCTGAATAGGAACTGAATTCTCGGCTCTATCTTTTTCAGGAATCCAAATGGCAAAGGTTTGGTGGAATGGCCTCAGTATGGTCTGAATGAAGAATATTTGGAATTCAACCTGGAGCAAAGGAAAGCAGAGAAGCTGAGGAAGAACAAGGTGGACTTCTGGTTAAAGACACTGCCTGAAAAAATGAAGAAAATGGCTGAAGGAAAGGAAAAACATGGGGAACTGTAACCAGTGGCCAAATTGCCCCAGCTTATTTTTGTTTGTTTTGAGAACAAACACTTTCCAACAAGAATTATTTCAGTCTGAAAAATGCATTTGTTCAACGCATGTTCTAACGCCAAAAATCTTAGCTATTATGAGATACTATTTATACAGCAGAAATGCCAGGTGATTCACATCAACAATTAGGAAATCCTGCCAATGATTTGAAGAGTAATGAGTTTATGCCCCAGTGCAGTTTAAGAATCCTGGGCATGGCTGCAACGCCTTGTTGATTAGTCAGCTTAGGTCACTGATCTTAAAAAACGTCTCACGCAAATACTTGGCAAACAAGCACAGGCAGTTGGCATTATTTTAGGAGAGGCATTTCACCTTTTCTAAGATTGGGCCCACTTTGACAAGCTGACTTCCTCGCTGTTGGGTTTTAGATGAAAAATATAAATGGGGCAGGAAGTCACAGAAGGGAGATGTTCATGCCTAGCCCATGAGGGTGGGACAAGTGTCCTTCATGATTTACTCCTCCTTGGGAGGACCTGCCGCCACCTCCCCTTTTCAAACACCAAGTGAAGAAATCCAAAGCTTGGCAGGTTGGATAGGAATCTAAACGGGGTGGGGGCTCTTTGCAAACTCTGACCTGTGGACAGGCAGCTCAAATTCAATCTGTAATCTGCAGTTCTTAACCTTGGAGCCTGTATAAAGGCAGCATCATATAAAGCAAACAGAGAGCACAGTTACACAGTACAAAAAAAAATACAAACCAAATACAATACCTGAGAAGGTATTCCCTTCTCAGAATACCTGTGGATTGGGAAAATCCAGATTTAGTGGGTGTAAAATAAGGGCTGCCACTTAGATGTGGAGGTTGTGAAGAAATGATAATAATAAACTGAGAGATATCTCAGTTGGTAGAGCATGAGACTCTTAATCTCAGGGTTGTGAGTTTGAGCCCCATGTTGGGTGAATGATTCCTGCATTGCGGGGGGGGGGGGGTTGCACTTAGATGATCCTTATGGTCTATGTTTCTATATGTAAATGTAAATGCATCCATTAATTGGACAGGGAAATTTAAACCTCAAATCCACATTACACTCCAATGTGGATGAGCACACAGTTCCGTGAGAAGGAAGTTTCCAATCCTAACCTAGGAGCGCGGACAAAGTTCAGAGCGAAATAGGTAGAGAGATATAATCCCATCTCAGCCTCACAGCCTTTTGAGTTTGTAGGGATAAAGCTGCAATCCCTCTATCTATCCTCACACAAGAAACGCCGCCCGCCCCCCGGACTCGAAAGGACCCACCTGAGCCTTACAGAACTGCCGCTTCTCGTAGGTCAGACCCAATGTCCGTCCTGCATTTCCCCTGGTTAACGTTACCACTGAAACCAGCACACAAAGCCAAAGGTACGCAAGCCAGCAATTCCCTGTCTTGGTTGTGTACAAGACGACTCCACCACCGCCCGCATCTTAAGTCCGCCCAGAGCCCTGGCAACCTTCCACGCGCCCTGCGCGCCAACTCACGGAGCCCGTTTCCGCTTCAATGAAGCAGCAGCCTCCTCGCCTGCTTTCGGTTCGTGTATTTTTGCACAGGGTTGCTACGTTACAGGTGATTCCGGGTGCTCCAAGGTGTCTATTTCAAAAGCACTAACAAACGCACAGGCATGGTGGCAAGGAGCCATTTCTGTCCCTCCAACTGCCCCCTTCTGCCAGAATGCGCAAAAAAAAAAAAAAAGTATTATTAAGTTAAATCCAGGGACTCACACCATCCTCCAAGGTGCTCTCTCATCTCCTGCAAACACGCAGCTAGCAAACGGACCTACTTACTAGCAGTTCAGGCTCAGAAGAACAGCGGCTGGATGGAAGAAGAGGATCCCTGGGTTCATGGGATTTGTAAGGGGGAGGAGAGGGAGAGGGGTGTGGGTGACTTAGAGATCTCCTTGGTGTTCCTTGGCAAAATGAGCCACAAGAAAGACCCTCCTTTCCCGGTCACCTTATATTCAGTTACCCTTGCAACCTTCCAAACCCCCAGTCTCTGATCACACCTCAGGGCAATGCGGGAGGACAGTTCTCTTGCATTGCCAATGGCTCTCAATGGAGTTGTTTCTTAATGGCCCTAGCTTGGCCAGGTCGTTTTGCATAGGCTAGCCCAGGAATTTCTCTGCAGCTTGTTGTTCTCCCACATAATCAAAATCCTACCATTTATTAATTTCTGGGGTTTAGAGCCCCATCAAATCTATAACAATATTAATTTGTTCCAGTGAGCATATGGCTAGTGCTCAAAGCCAGAACCATAGCAAAAGAAACAAACAAAACCCCCTGACAAATAGTGAAAATTGTAAATATTCACTTTGAAAGAGTAAAACCATAATACAAAAGAAACTGTAAATTATTACATTAAAAAGTGAAACAATTACAATGGCCGTAATGTGATCACTAAATTTGCCCAATTAAATTTAAAGCATAATCACATAGTCACAAAATCAAAAAAGTGTACTTGATACAAAAAAGGAAGAAGTGCACATATACCCTACCATAGTATTTTATGGAGTTTACCACACAGTTACTCAACAATGCAAAATGTTAGATTTTGGGTAAACTGTCCATGTCAAAGGATGGGTTCTCTTTTGTAGGAGTGCAAATATCCAGGGTGTGGGGTCAGGTGGGATTACTATGAGGAATTATAAAATATGCATCAAGCCATTGTGTCCACGATGAATGCATTGTGTTGACTGGGTTTAATTCATTGACAATAATTTCTGTCCAAATCCCACAACCCTCTGCATCTCTGGACATTTCCTCTACTGTCCATTTCTCTTTCTTGACAAGTCACGTATGCAGCCCAGTTGCTTCCAGTTGCTTCACCAGGCAGGCATCCTGGGCCATAAAGATAGTGGGCAAGTTTCTTTGATGTAGCTTTTCTGATATGTTAATCTTAGGATGTTAATCTTAGGGCCAGGAAACAGGTCTCACATAAAGGTGATAATGATCGCTGTCCTCCTGGCCATCCTTCTTATCATGTATATTGCTTGTTTATGACCTCAGGGGTTGCCAAATGCACTCCTTTGTAGTTCTGTTTTGTTTACCCCAGAAAAAGCTACTCTCCATTCTTCTGCCCCAACGCTACATTTCAAGCATAAAATAGAGTTAGATACAAATTGCACCAAATCAAAACGGACATCTGGAAATGACTCTAGAGGCTTTATTTTAGAAGGCGACTACTATGATAATGAAAAATTAATAGCATTTCAAGTTTAGCAGTGGAGATTTGATCCCTTGTTCAGTTTTATTCAAGTGGTTTTTGCCACTGCTTTGCCAAATAACTTGTTTTGCTGGCACATATGGTTCACTTATAGCTTTAGTAAAATAGGGGAAAACACTGAAATACCACAGCAAAAGTAATTTTCCAATATATTTTAAAACTACACAGGCTTAGTTAGAACAGCCACACATTAACAGAGGCTTAAAATAAGATCTGCTATGATCACTAAATAGAAGAAGCATAGAATTATTTGTACTGACTGCTTAAAAGTGCATAAGAAATTATAGGTGAAGAATGACTTTTCTAACACCCTGCTGTCATATGAACGAAAGCAGTAAGAATGTTTAGAGGCAGAAATGCAGTACAGGAAGACAAGTTTAACAAGAGTAAATTAGATGCAGGCGATAGATATCCCCAGTATTAGGGTAGACTTTGTGGATTTCTGCTGTCCCACAGCACATTCTTGAGTGTTCGCCCCATGCTTCCTTGTTTTTTAAAATGTATTTTGACTCAGTGTGCATAGATGCCCTTGACTGGGCCATGCTCCCACAAGACGCACTGGGTGGGGCAGGAGCCCATGTTATCTTGGGAGAAGATACTCTCTGGGTCACATGTGGTTGGCCCCCCTCCCCCCTCCATTTACTTATTCCCTCCACTCTAAGTGTTTTTGACTATTGATGCAAGGAACAGTACCCTGCGGAAGAAGGAAGCAGAGGCAGGATCCAAAAGCATCTAGCAGAGGAGGATGCTGTTTTGGAAGCAGGGGTGTATGATTTGCGGTTGCCCAAAGCAAATTTTGAGGTGGGCACCATCAATTCCTTTTTAAAAATGAATTTATGATGTCAAGCTAAATGAGCTGAGAAAAGGGAACCAGCAACAATCTTCACCGTGGAATTAAAAGCCAACTAATGAGGCTGCAGAACTACGGAAACCCAGGGAAGGCAACAGTCCCTGTGAAGTACCATTCATAAAGGAAGGCTAAGGGCAAGCCGCCCAGCCAATCACAAGCATGCACTCTGCCGCTGTTCTTCTGAGCCTGAACTGCTAGTAAGTAGGTCCGTTTGCTAGCTGCGTGTACTGTGCTCTCTGTTTGCTTTATATGATGCTGCCTTTATACAGGCTCCAAGGTTAAGAACTGCAGATTACAGATTGAACTTGAGCTGCCTGTCCACAGGTCAGAGTTTGCAAAGAGCCCCCACCCCGTTTAGATTCCTATCCAACCTCAAGAAAGACCCTCTTTTCCCGGTCACCTTATATTCAGTTACCCTTGCAACCTTCCAAACCCCCAGTCTCTGATCACACCTCAGGGCAATGCGGGAGGACAGTTCTCTTGCATTGCCAATGGCTCTCAATGGAGTTGTTTCTTAATGGCCCTAGCTTGGCCAGGTCGTTTTGCATAGGCTAGCCCAGGAATTTCTCTGCAGCTTGTTGTTCTCCCACATAATCAAAATCCTACCATGTATTAATTTCTGGGGTTTAGAGCCCCATCAAATCTATAACAATATTAATTTGTTCCAGTGAGCATATGGCTAGTGCTCAAAGCCAGAACCATAGCAAAAGAAACAAACAAAACCCCCTGACAAATAGTGAAAATTGTAAATATTCACTTTGAAAGAGTAAAACCATAATACAAAAGAAACTAAATTATTACATTAAAAAGTGAAGCAATTACAATGGTCGTAATGTGATCACTAAATTTGCCCAATTAAATTTAAAGCATAATCACATAGTCACAAAATCAAAAAAGTGTACTTGATACAAAAAAGGAAGAAGTGCACATATACCCTACCATAGTATTTTATGGAGTTTACCACACAGTTACTCAACAATGCAAAATGTTAGATTTTGGGTAAACTGTCCATGTCAAAGGATGGGTTCTCTTTTGTAGGAGTGCAAATATCCAGGGTGTGGGGTCAGGTGGGATTACTATGAGGAATTATAAAATATGCATCAAGCCATTGTGTCCACGATGAATGCATTGTGTTGACTGGGTTTAATTCATTGACAATAATTTCTGTCCAAATCCCACAACCCTCTGCATCTCTGGCCATTTCCTCTACTGTCCATTTCTCTTTCTTGACAAGTCACGTATGCAGCCCAGTTGCTTCCAGTTGCTTCACCAGGCAGGCATCCCTGGCCATAAAGATAGTGGGCAAGTTTCTTTGATGTAGCTTTTCTGATATGTTAATCTTAGGATGTTAATCTTAGGGCCAGGAAACAGGTCTCACATAAAGGTGATAATGATCGCTGTCCTCCTGGCCATCCTTCTTATCATGTATATTGCTTGTTTATGACCTCAGGGGTTGCCGAATGCACTCCTTTGTAGTTCTGTTTTGTTTACCCCAGAAAAAGCTACTCTCCATTCTTCTGCCCCAACGCTAGATTTCAAGCATAAAATAGAGTTAGATACAAATTGCACCAAATCAAAACGGACATCTGGAAATGACTCTAGAGGCTTTATTTTAGAAGGCGACTACTATGATAATGAAAAATTAATAGCATTTCAAGTTTAGCAGTGGAGATTTGATCCCTTGTTCAGTTTTATTCAAGCGGTTTTTGCCACTGCTTTGCCAAATAACTTGTTTTGCTGGCACATATGGTTCACTTATAGCTTTAGTAAAATAGGGGAAAACACTGAAATACCACAGCAAAAGTAATTTTCCAATATATTTTAAAACTACACAGGCTTAGTTAGAACAGCCACACATTAACAGAGGCTTAAAATAAGATCTGCTATTGAGGCATCTAATCAAGATCTGCTTTGAGCTTAAAAAAATATATTTGTAAATATTTATATCTCTCATGCCAGGGAGAGACCAGCTGAATACTCTGGCAGCTGTTTATCTTCCTGTTCAAAGGCCCCATTGTATTTCAGGGTTGTAAAAAGTATTTCAGGGTTGTAAAAGGAAATTAGAGGCTGGGAGCAAAAGGTCACACTGACCATACAAATTACAGAATACAATCAAGCTGCAAAAACACAATTAAGAGCTGGTAAATAGTGAAATTTATTGTTTAACAGAAGACTCGAGCCATATTTTCATAAGGTTAAAGGGTAAATTTAAGTTGCTTTTAGAAACAGCAGCTGGTTAGGGAAAAAGGCTTCTCTCTGAAGCTGCTCTGAAGCTTCAGAGAATTTAGAGAACTTAGAGAACTTAGCTTTTACTAAGTTCCTTTTAATTTGAAAAGGCCTTTCCTTCTAAAAATCTATCTATGTTATGTATGAAATATATTGGCTTAAATGTAATTATGCAAAGGATTTAGAAAGTAAGAAATGTTAGATTCTTATGTTAGATTCTTATTATGGTGTGTGAGAAGGTGAACTCAAGATCTCTTTAAGATAAAAAATTAAAAACCATGCACCATCTGCTTTAGCCATCTGGTTTGCAGTGAATAGGGCAACAGGGGCCAAAGGTTATCTGGTAATTGAGGTGCCTGGTCGAGGTAAATGTAAGATATATGGCTACTTGTCTGCCATTTATGGATACAAGGAAATATAGCTCTTTGTCTCCCATAAAAGGAAATAGGAAATGGGTGTATCTTTTATGATTGGTTCTAGCAAACAACCAATAGGAATTTCAACCAGGCTGATTGGACAGAGGCAGCCAAAGGAGGAGCAAGGGGGCTGGGCTGAGGAAATATAAGTGCTGGCCATCAGGGCTGGAGTAGGCAGAGCTTTGGTATCCATATACCACTGTGTCTCTCATTTATTTGTCTGACAAATAAATTATTATTTTAATTTCTCTATTGCTGCGTTGAATATTTCATTCCAGCTAAGCGTTAACCACAAGCAGGGTGCTACACTATGATCACTAAATAGAAGAAGCATAGAATTATTTGTACTGACTGCTTAAAAGTGCATAAGAAATTATAGGTGAAGAATGACTTTTCTACCACCCTGCTGTCATATGAACGAAAGCAGTAAGAATGTTTAGAGGCAGAAATGCAGTACAGGAAGACAAGTTTAACAAGAGTAAATTAGATGCAGGCGATAGATATCCCCAGTATTAGGGTAGACTTTGCGGATTTCTGCTGTCCCACAGCACATTCTTGAGTGTTCGCCCCGTGCTTCCTTGTTTTTTAAAATGTATTTTGACTCAGTGTGCATAGATGCCCTTGACTGGGCCATGCTCCCACAAGACGCACTGGGAGCACTGTGAGAAAAATTCGCTTTGGGCACCCTCAATTCCTTTTTAAAAATGAATTTATGATGTCAAGCTAAATGAGCTGAGAAAAGGGAACCAGCAACAATCTTCACCGTGGAATTAAAAGCCAACTAATGAGGCTGCAGAACTACGGAAACCCAGGGAAGGCAACAGTCCCTGTGAAGTACCATTCATAAAGGAAGGCTAAGGGCAAGCCGCCCAGCCAATCACAAGCATGCACTCTGCTGCTGTTCTGAGCCTGAACTGCTAGTAAGTAGGTCCGTTTGCTAGCTGCGTGTTTGCAGGAGATGAGAGAGCCCCTTGGAGGATGGTGTGAGTCCCTGGATTTAACTTAATAATACTTTTGTTTTGTTTTGTTTTGTTTTGTTTTGTTTTGCGCATTCTGGCAGAAGGGGGCAATTGGAGGGAGAGAAATGGCTCCTTGCCACCATGCCTGTGCGTTTGTTGGTGCTTTTTTTTTTTTTTATAAAATATTTTATTAAGGATTTTCTTGTTTTACAGAAGTGTAGTGCCTCGTATTTTTTTTCTTTCATGTAACATTTTTACAAATCCGTTTCATTTGTTGAGGCATTAGGGGGAGAAGAAAAGAAAAAAGAAAAAAAGAAAGGGGGTGGAGAGAGGGAAGATGGATAGGGGTGGGGTCGGGTGGCGGTGTTTCTATTATGTTTAATGTATGTAGAGTTTGGTGTCAGCGTTGCTTGTGTTGTTCACTTGTGTTCCTTTGGTGGTGAGAGAGGTTGGGGTTGGCCTAGGGTGTGATTGTTTGCTTGTGATTGGCTGTGGTGATCTTTGTTTTCGTGTGTGAGTGAGGTGGGTGGGTGTTTTGGATCAGGTTAGCCATATTGATTTGTATGCTGTTGGTGGATTATTGTCATTGTCCTGTGGGGCTGTGTATGTGATAAAGGGGAGCCATACCGGGGTGAAGGCGTCTTCTTCTATTTGTCCCCGTGTCAGTTTCAGTTTATTAGTTAATTTTTCTAGTAGGGCTGTTTCCCATACTATTTGGTACCATTGGTCCATGCTTACTCCTGACAGGTCTCTCCAGTGTCTGGTTATGGTGTTTCTGGCTGCTGAGAGCAGGTGGGTTATGAGTTCTTTGTGGTGTAAATGGGCATTGTTGTCTTGGAGTTTGTTGGTGCTTTTGAAATAGACACCTTGGAGCACCCGGAATCACCTGTAACGTAGCAACCCTGTGCAAAAATACACGAACCGAAAGCAGGCGAGGAGGCTGCTGCTTCATTGAAGCGGAAACGGGCTCCGTGAGTGGGCGCGCAGGGCGCGTGGAAGGTTGCCAGGGCTCTGGGCGGACTTAAGATGCGGGCGGTGGTGGAGTCGTCTTGTACACAACCAAGACAGGGAATTGCTGGCTTGCGTACCTTTGGCTTTGTGTGCTGGTTTCAGTGGTAACGTTAACCAGGGGAAATGCAGGACGGACATTGGGTCTGACCTACGAGAAGCGGCAGTTCTGTAAGGCTCAGGTGGGTCCTTTCGAGTCCGGGGGGCGGGCGGCGTTTCTTCTGTGAGGATAGATAGAGGGATTGCAGCTTTATCCCTACAAACTCAAAAGGCTGTGAGGCTGAGATGGGATTATATCTCTCTACCTATTTCGCTCTGAACTTTGTCCGCGCTCCTAGGTTAGGATTGGAAACTTCCTTCTCACGGAACTGTGTGCTCATCCACATTGGAGTGTAATGTGGATTTGAGGTTTAAATTTCCCTGTCCAATTAATGGATGCATTTACATATAGAAACATAGACCATAAGGATCATCTAAGTGCAAACCCCCCCCCCCCCCGCAATTCAGGAATCTTTCACCCAACATGGGGCTCAAACTCACAACCCTGAGATTAAGAGTCTCATGCTCTACCAACTGAGATATCTCTCAGTTTATTATTATCATTTCTTCACAACCTCCACATCTAAGTGGCAGCCCTTATTTTACACCCACTAAATCTGGATTTTCCCAATCCACAGGTATTCTGAGAAGGGAATACCTTCTCAGGTATTGTATTTGGTTTGTATTTTTTTTTGTACTGTGTAACTGTGCTCTCTGTTTGCTTTATATGATGCTGCCTTTATACAGGCTCCAAGGTTAAGAACTGCAGATTACAGATTGAATTTGAGCTGCCTGTCCACAGGTCAGAGTTTGCAAAGAGCCCCCACCCCGTTTAGATTCCTATCCAACCTGCCAAGCTTTGGATTTCTTCACTTGGTGTTTGAAAAGGGGGGAGGTGGCGGCAGGTCCTCCCAAGGAGGAGTAAATCATGAAGGACACTTGTCCCACCCTCATGGGCTAGGCATGAACATCTCCCTTCTGTGACTTCCTGCCCCATTTATATTTTTCATCTAAAACCCAACAGCGAGGAAGTCAGCTTGTCAAAGTGGGCCCAATCTTAGAAAAGGTGAAATGCCTCTCCTAAAATAATGCCAACTGCCTGTGCTTGTTTGCCAAGTATTTGCGTGAGACGTTTTTTAAGATCAGTGACCTAAGCTGACTAATCAATAAGGCGTTGCAGCCATGCACAGGATTCTTAAACTGCACTGGGGCATAAACTCATTACTCTTCAAATCATTGGCAGGATTTCCTAATTGTTGATGTGAATCACCTGGCATTTCTGCTGTATAAATAGTATCTCATAATAGCTAAGATTTTCGGCGTTAGAACATGCGTTGAACAAATGCATTTTTCAGACTGAAATAATTCTTGTTGGAAAGTGTTTGTTCTCAAAACAAACAAAAATAAGCTGGGGCAATTTGGCCACTGGTTACAGTTCCCCATGTTTTTCCTTTCCTTCAGCCATTTTCTTCATTTTTTCAGGCAGTGTCTTTAACCAGAAGTCCACCTTGTTCTTCCTCAGCTTCTCTGCTTTCCTTTGCTCCAGGTTTAATTCCAAATATTCTTCATTCAGACCATACTGAGGCCATTCCACCAAACCTTTGCCATTTGGATTCCTGCAAAAGACAGAGCCGAGAATTCAGTTCCTATTCAGCATTTTGGTTTTGTACTTTTTGGCATGTACGTAAAGCCACTGAGTGGGCCCCATACAGCATCTCGGAGCGTATCGCCATCCGTATGCTGACGGCACGCATCTCTCTTTCTGCGCTGAGATGGCTGGTGTGCTGAACTGGTGCCTGGTCATGGTGACGGACTGGATGAGGCTCAATCCGAAACAACGAGACGCTGTTAGTGGGTGGTTCCTTGGTAATCTATCCTCTAGCAACCTCTGTTTTCGATTACAACAATGCACTATACATGAGGCTGCCTTTCAAGACAGCTCAAAAACTGCAGCTGGTGTAGGATGTGGCAGCACGACTGATGAGGGAAATGAAGTGGTCTGAGCCCATCATTGGTTCTGGCATAGCCGCACTGGCTATTTGTTTCCGGGACCAATTCCAAGTCTTAGTTTAACCTGGAAAGCCTTATGTGGCTCAAGGCCCTAAAGCAGGGGTCGGCAACCTAAGGCCCATGGGCCACAAGCGGCCCACGGGGGTGGTTTTACCAGCCCACGAGCCACCCCCGAACCGAGCCGCCTGCAGGGCAAGCCCCCGCGCACTGCGCTAAACCAGTGCGGGGACTCGCTTTCACAGTGCTGGAAATTGTGTCTGCGCATGCACAGATGCTGGAAATTACACCTGCGCAGACGCCGAAAATCACGCACCTGTGATCTGGCCCACAGAGGGGCTCTGTGGCAATGAACCAGCCGAGGCAAGGTAAGCCTTGCTGACCCCTGCCCTAAAGCCTCTCCTCTTAAACATGGGTAGACCTTGTGCTCATTGTTTGAGGCCCTTCGCTGGGTCTCCCCTCCAAGATAGGTCTAGAAGGTGGTGACAAGGGAGAGGGCCATTTTGGCTGCAGCCTCCCCAGTGAGGCCTTCCTGGTGCTGACATTTATTTACATCCTTTCAGCATCAGGTCAGAACGTACGTCTTCTCCCAGAATAGGATTACCAGGATTATTGATGCTTCTGTATTACAATTTTGCTGTTATTGCGGTTTATTGTTAAACTTGATTGTTGGTGTCCTTGTATTTGTAAGACACCTACAGATGCTTTATGATAGATATCAAATAATAGCAATTATTAATAACAATGCAAATATTTCAACCACTGAGGCATAGTGTTTTGAAATAGCCAAGAATCTTACCCATTTCGGGCAAAGTTGCTCCAGTATTTCATCATTTTTCTGCTGAGCTCTTTCTCGGCCTCTGTCGCTTTATGTGAGAAGTACAGGGGGAAGAATGTATTAGTCATGTAGCATGTAGTAATTCATGTAGAATTTATGGTATTGACTATCAGTAGAGCTTTAAAGAGGTATTTCAATGTTATCATTTGCTTAAAATTTGTTTTGCTTCCTCATCTGTTTACGGTTTTTGTTTCCTATCAGACATAAACTTCTACCATTCAGATAAATTCCCAGAGTGGCTTAGTAAAGATATCAAGCACTGGGAGCTGTAGTTTGCATGCCACAGAGTTGCAATTCCCAGCACCCTTAAACTACAGTTCCCATAATTTTTTTTTGTTTGGGGGGATGGACAGTCTGATAAATATTGAAATCAAATTCCTTGGGCATATTTAAACAGCAGTCTGTGAACTGCTAAAGCTGGTTAATGATTAAATTAATCCTTGATAATGTTGTTATTCAGCCCGCTTCTCCAAATGGGGAGAAGTTCCAGGTCAGCTCCACTCACCCAAGTTTGGTTGCCTTTGGAAGGAGGTCGCTGAGGCCATTTCATAATATTAGAGTTTCTTTACAGATCTATACAGGTTAAGCATAGCTGGAGGCAGCAGTTTAAACACCCCAGAAGCAAAACCCACATCAGACTTCCAGAGTGAGGCAAACCGCCAAAAGGTACATTCCAGAGCTGCAAGACTCTGCCCCTTCCTGCCCACTTATCCTGAGCTAGAAGCGGGAAAAGCCATGTGTCTCCATGATGCCCAGTTCACATGCGCTCACACGGGGCAAGACACAAAGAACAAATGGAGCCCACTTAGCTCACCCAGCCAGCCCTCGTCACTGCTGGAGCAACACCAGTCCCTAGTGGCATGCCTGTTGTGTCCTCACACTGCACTCCCAGAATGGCTTTGCAAGGCTCGAATCCGGGGAGGGCAGCATAAGAAGGGCACACCAGCCATGTTCCCTTCGACCCCGGCCTCACCAGCAAAAGTGTGGCTGGGAACGAAGGGTGCATGGTTGTTGCTCCCTTCTCATG